CCCGGGGGGGGGGGGAGATTACCCAATGCAGGAAACATGCCACAGAGAATCAGGACTAGCTGGAACCATGCTGTGTCCCTGGAGTTGCAAAATCGATTCCATGACCTCACCCCAGACACTGCATCTGGGAGAGAATCTGCAGACCTCCGAACACACTGAGGTGGCTGTGGAAGGTACAGGGCCCTGAATGAATCCTGCCACTCCTCAGAGGAGGAGGAGACGAGTGGTGGTGATAGGTGACTCCCTACTGAGGGAAACAGAGGCAGCTGTGTGTGGAGGTAACAGGTTGTCCCAGGAGCTGTGCTGTCTTTCAGGTGCTAAGATTCAAGATGTGACAGAGAAGTTGCCAAGTCTTAACAAGCCCTCTGACCAAAACCCCTTCCTTCTGATTCCTGTGGGTACAAACAATCCAGTCAGACACTGCTTTCAACAGACAGCAAGCGACCATGAACCTCTGGACAGGAAGCTGCAGGGCCTTGGGGCAGAGGGGTGGGGAGCCATGAGGTTCAGGCGAGAGAGGGAATGAGGAAAGAGAAAGAGGGGGAGTGAGAAGCCATACAATTGCATTCAGTACAATGGATCCTCTTGAATCAAATCAATCTGATTTGAAAAGATTTGACTTGATCCTCCTGAAACTGCGTGTTTTGTTCATTCCTCTCCACCCCCACCCCACCCCCAGTCAAATCAAACATCACCATCTGTTTCCAATGGCTGAACTGTAAAAACCAAGGATTGGGTAAGTTTCCAGTGTTGCAATGGTAGAAAAACATAGACAAAAGTCATGGATTTCTATGGATCCACATTTTTTTTTACAAGTGATCTGTTGGTTATGATTGGCTTAAAGAAGAACCCCCTGGATCCCTAGATCCAGATGCGCGGCAAACATTCTCTGATAAGAGAGCCCCAGCAGTGGTTTAAATCACAAAACATGCAACTTAGTAAAGCATGGAAATAGAGGCTGTTAGACCTTTAGAATATCCCATTTCTAATTCACTTTCAAAGCTTCCCCTTTAGCATAGAAAAGACCACAAAGTTGATTTTATTTCTATTTATTTAGATCTCAGGGCAGTTCACAGCATAGAAATACAAAATAAAAAGACATAATAAAAAGAAGAACAAGAACAAAACAAGCCCATAACTGCCCTCCCACAATTTAATGATAAGTATACAGTACATTTAATCTCAAACTTGTTAAAAGTCAGATTTATGTGCTTTTCCATACAGCAGCAAGAAAAACACTCGTAGAAAAACATAATTACAGAACTTGGAAAAGGGTTTCTAAGCACGTGGTCTGGGTTTTGGAGCAATTAGCCCAATGTCTTCTCTGGTTGGAGTCACATGATGGAAGAAAGTGGACAGCAAGAATTTGTTGACCCTTCGCCACTCAGTGAGAGGGGGTATGACCTAGCTCTGGCAAAACAGTTTACTCTATGCTTTTAACCCTTTCATGCATTAACTAGAGCTAAGCATGTGGGTTATATGAGGCTAAATTTCCCACAGGGTCTCCTCAAAACCACCCTCAAATCATAGGTCACATGTCCACAGATGTTTTGTTAGCACCTTTATTGTTAATCAATCTAAAACTCTGTGAGCAAAGGTGGATTTAGGGCAGTGCGAGTGGTGGGGTTGCACCAGGCGCACAGGCGAGGAGCGTGCCTTCTCAAAGCCCAGTAAGATGGCAAACGCTTGCCCGGCTTCAGCATGAGGCCTCTGACAGGGTCCTAGGGTCCTCCCACCTCCTTCTCAAAGCTGCAAGGGCTGGTGGGGGGAGGGTGACAAATGGTCCTGCACAAGCTGGCAAAATACCAAGGTTCACCCCTGCTGTGATCACATGACTCAAAGTCATATTTTTGGTTTGTCACTTTTCAATAAAGTCAATGAGCAATATTCCAATCTGGACACAACCACTTGGCAGTTGCATTCAGCTGAGCGGCACCCTGTCAAGAACATAGAGGGATAATATGCTTCCTGTTCCTCCCATTGCCATTACAATGTGACACATTTGGACACATTCACCACAACTCAATCCAGAAATTACTGAATTTCACAGACGGGAGAAATTATATTCTGAGTCACTCATCAGTGAGGCCAGTCCAATCTCTAAGCCTGCCTCCCTTGTCCCATCTGGCTTTATCATGCCTGACCAGCTCACCACCACCACATTCCCTGGATTATTTACAATCCACACCCTGCCTGGGTATGTTTTTCTCAAGTATTTGTGAAGGAACTCAAAGCCTCCCATTTATGCAGATATTTCTCCAGAAAACAAACTTCAAGTGAGTCAGGTGCCAACATTTTCTTCCAGTCAGTGCTCTTTAAAAAAAGGTGTGTTTGCTTTGGCACATTAGTTTACCCAAACAGCCATGCAAGGGAGGCGTTTCCATGTTTCCCTTCTCCCATGTCTGCATAAATTTGGGGATGTGAGTCCACTCCAGGCATTGGAAGGGAACACAGCTGTAGGTGTCATTTCCCACCAAGAAGAGTTTCCCACCAGCTGAGGACAGAGAAGCCAGGATGGTAAGTCACACTCTATTTTTTTGTCCCACTGTTGCTCTGATGTGGATTGGATGAAAAGATGTGAAAGGATTTACTAGAGAGGCAGATTTATGCAAAGAGCAGTCAGAATTACAAGGATGAGTTTTTGAAAAGTTCCTTGCCTTCTCTGACACCTGATCCATCTAGAATGCACCTCTTTCTCCTTCTTGACCCATTAGCAGTCACTGCAGCTTCCTCTGGAAACCACAAAAAGGGACAGAGCAAAGTAAACTGCCATATTTTTCGCCCTATAGGACGCACCGGCCCATAGGACGCACCTAGTATTTTTTGGGGGGGGGAAATAAAGAAAAAATTTTTTATCCCCCCCCCAGCCGCGGCTTCAGCGCGCCCCGCGCTCCGGGCAGCAGGCTGCTATCCGCAGCCTAGGGAGCCCTGCGGGAACTCCCGCAGGCTCCCCAGGCTTGCTGATAGCTTCCTGAAGCCTGGAGAGCGAGAGGGGTCGGTGCGCACCTACCCCTCTCGCTCTCCAAGCTTCAGCGAAAGCCTGCATTCACCCTATAGGACGCACACAGATTTCCCCTTCATTTTTGGAGGGGAAAAAGTGCATCCTATACGGCGAAAAATACGGTATATTCAAAACAAATTTAAACAAATCTTTAAAAAGATAGTTTAAAAGACTCTTCTTAAAAACCTAAAAACGCCCTTAAAAGAATCAAGTCTTCAAAAAAGTTATAAGATCTAAGAAAGTCTTTAAAAGAATCCTTCCAAAAGAATTTAAAAATTAAAATGTAGCACCTTAGAGACCAACTGAGTAGTTTTAGGTATAAGCTTTTGTCTGCATGCACACTTCTTCAGGTATCTTAAAGGTAAAGGACACATTAATTTCAGTAGCTCTGCTCTGACTCAGATTTAGTCAGATACAATCCATTTTAAACAGAAAAGGAAGCTCTAAATATAAATATTTGATAACACCCTCTTGAACTATTTGTGTGTCTGTTTTGCAGAAAATCCTCTTGAGCCTGACTGCCTTGTCTTTGACACTTGCCTTGTGTCAGGGATACTGCATGCTTAGCCAGCACAAAGTAGAGATTAAAGATGGTAAGTAAACAGCAACGCAATGTTGATAAGTGGGACGCGGGTGGCACTGTGGGTCAAACCTCAGTGCCTAGGACTTGCTGATCGTAAGGTCGGCGGTTCGAATCCCCGCGGCGGGGTGAGCTCCCATTGTTCGGTCCCAGCTCCTGCCCACCTAGCAGTTCGAAAGCACTCTTAAGTGCAAGTAGATAAATAGGTACCGCTTTATAGCGGGAAGGTAAACGGCGTTTCCGTGTGCGGCGCTGGTGCTGACTCGCCAGCTGCAGCTTCGTCACGCTGGCCACGTGACCCGGAAGTGTCTTCGGATGGCGCCGGCTCCCTGCCTCTTGAGCAAGAGGAGCGAGCAACCCTAGAGTCGGTCACGACTGGCCCGTAGGGGCAGGGGTACCTTTACCTTTAACTTTAATGTTGATAGGCAATCTATTTATGGCCAAATTATTATTTAATGTTTCGGAAATGTGTTCCTGACTAGAGATTTTTTAGCATACACCTACCAAATCTGCTCTTGCAGAACCAGAACACAGACCAAAGTGCAGCTACCTTCAAAATCTACACTTCTCTGGATGTTGTGATGCTGCTCAGAGTCTAAAATGACCTAACGCTGCTCCCGTCTCATCTTCTCATTGATGAGTTCCTGCTTAAGCTCTTACTTTTATTATGTATTTTGTGTTTCTTATATTGTATTTTTAGGTTGTGAACTGCCCTGAGTATGGTATATAATAACAGATAGAAATTGAAACGGACAGATTCCCCATCCCCAGGGCACCCCATTCACTCCCACCCTGTTTTAAGCTTGGAACCACCGTCTGCAGACACAAGCAGGAGACTGCATGGCCGCAGTATAAGCAAGACAGACATCCAGGGTCACTACCTTTCTGGTCAGCAACCAGGACATGCAAGAATAAAGGTGGCAAAGCTTCCCATTCCACTCCACTCCATGTCAGGAAACGCTTTACCTATTACATTTTCACTTATCAGGCTGCGGTCAGAAGCACAGGAGGAGCTGGACAAGTGGACAAGTTGCAGCCACTGTGCTTCTCTTGCACAGTCTCTGCATTGTGCTGAGCAGCAGCTTCTGATTGCATTGATGTTAAATGTATGGGATTTCTCTCCCTAGGTCAGCCGGTGCTGCCCACTGAGTGTACCGATCTCAATGATGGGAGCAAGCATCCATTTGGCTCTAAGTGGAATACAGCGCAGTGCATGGAATGCAGATGTAGTGAAAGGGGAATGCAGTGCTGTTCCAGGTAGGCCAAATACCCAGAATGGCACTGGGTCTATTAATCTCTTTCAAATTATTTTGCTCCGTTCTCTCTGAAAGACCTTCTGCTCAATAAACATTCATGGATGGAATTAGCTGAAGACGGGTGATCCAATTAATCTATACACCTGAAGATAGGTTGCATAAAATTGTTGCCTACATTTCCTTGAACCAAACAGTGAATTGATTGATTAATTAATTAAGATATTTATAGACTTTATAGAAAGCAGAGTCATGAAATTTGATCTGGTAACAAGCATTGAGCATGTCCAGAGTGCCTTTCCAATCATCCGATGACCAGGCATTTGCTGCATGGAAGCTTGGACTTTGGAATCTCCCTGAGTCCCAGATCCTCTCATCCGGAGACCACCTAGGAGTTGGTGCTGGGGAGAGGGACCCCGATGCACCCAATGGAAGAGGACCCCTCCTCTTTCCTGCACCTTCCTGTCTCCTTCTGTCTCCCTCCTAGCTGGCCTCTTGGTTTCGCATCAACATTTTGCTACACCCTTTTTTGTGCATGGATGCTGCCCTCAACCACCGCAAACATATGGGGGGGGGGGAAGAATCATCGTACAGCAACATGCAATGGCATATTGTGCAAGACATTCAGCTTGGATTCCCCAGGAGAATTTGGCCTCAGGGCAAATGTTTTCCAAGGGCTTGGTTTTCCCTGGATGGAGCAAACATCTTGCAAAACTGCTTTTCTGCCAGGTAGTTCCAATCATTCTTGGCATGTCCTAAGCGAGCAGGAGAAAGGAGCGCTCCTCTACAAGATTTCCATAAGCTCAGGGAAACCTTAGTTTACACATTGTTCTTCTTCTTTTTAGGTACGGTGGTATTGTTGATGTTCCGGGATGTAAAGCAGTGGTAAATCCAAACACATGTGAATATGAGTTCTATAAACTGGATGATCCCTCCAAACCCTGTTTCTGAGCTTTACAAATCCCACCCAAATTCCTTCCATGTAAGAGAATCTGAATAAATCAGTCATATATGCATTTCGGTGTGTATCTGTTGTCTTTGCTTGATATCACTACTTGCAGAATTTGGTACATATCATAATGATAGTGATGGACATGCCTATCTCAGCTATCAGCAGCTTTTTAGATTCTAATGGGTGGCGCTGTGGTCTAAAAAACAGAGCCTAGGGCTTGCCGATCAGAAGGTCGGTGGTTTGAATCCCCGCGACGGGGTGAGCTCCCATTGGTCAGTCCCTGCTTCTGCCCATCTAGCAGTTTGAAAGCACGTCAAGTGCAAGTAGATAAATAGGTACCACTCCGGCGGGAAGGTAAATGGCGTTTCTGTGCGCTGCTCTGGTTTCGCCAGAAACGGCTTAGTCATGCTGGCCACATGACCCGGAAGCTGTCTGTGGACAAACGCCGGCTCCCTTGGCCTATAGAGCGAGATGAGCGCCGCAACCCCAGAGTCGTCCACAACTGGACATAACGGTCAGGGGTACCTTTACCTTTACTTTTTAACTCCTAGGTAAGTGCAGGTGTGGATTTATAGTTATTTGTGGCCCTCTTCCTTCACATAAACAAATATGATTATGTCGACATGGGGGGGTGAGTCGACAACAATAATATTTCTGGGTTTGCACTGTGATTCCCCTCCCCAAACAACTTGGGAACAATTCCTGCTGGAGGAAAAGGTGGTGCTACGTTTCTGAAATACATGCCCCCCCCCAAAAAAAATTGGGGGGAAATATGATGACAAAGCTGCTGCTGCTGATCTTGATGATACTTTTGTACTGCCTCCCAAGACAACTTGTGAATCATCTGGAGAAAGTTTATAACAATGCTGATGCCTCCACACTGGGAACCCCCCTCCCCACTTGGAAGATTTAGGGAAAAGATCAAGATGATTTAAATTCTGATAATGATTATAATAATGCATCTGCACTGCCCCCAAGAACAATAGCTTGAGAAAAATTAGGTAAAATTAGATCATGGGCCAGGGCCGGATTTAGAGAGGCCCTGTGCTATTCCACTTGTGAGGCCCCTCCCCTACCTCCCCCCTCATGACGAGAATAAAATGGAAGAGTGTTGTAAACAAAACTGAGTGAAGCCATGGATGATGCCGGGTACTTAAAATTCTGCAATTCACAATTTCTCCTTCTAAAGGACATAAGATGTTATTGTTAAATACCATGGTGATTTTAGAAATGCATAATATTAACCCTGAAAAACTTTTGCAATAAGTGAACTTTGTAAACCTTTTGTGGAATAGGCATTATTTTTTTAGGAAAATGAAGTTGCAATGTTATTCCTCAAAAAAACACCTTGAGTTTACAAATTATATTGCCGTGGAAGCGTAAATAATATTATATGATTACCTGACAGTGTGGCACTTTTAGAATCCACTTTATGTTGTCATTAGAAAGTCATTTTTAAAATAGATATTAAGAAGTAAACTACAACCATCAAATACAGTAAGGCTAAAATGTTTTTTTCCTAACTTCCTCATAGCAAAATCATCCAAAACTTCATCAAAATTTGTTTGTCTAAGTTTGTCACTTTCAAAGTATGGTCTTCCTGTTATATACCTGCTGAGATTGATAAGGCATCTGGCCCTCATCTGAATCTCATAGCTCTCCTGACAGGTGATTTGGTCTGCAGTCACAGTGTGGAAATAAAGGAGGAGATTGCCCACAAGATACCAGGCACTCTACTATTCAAATTAGGCCCCAGTGTTTTTCTTACAATCCCCTTCTCAATGAATTAATCAATTTTAATCTAGCATGTAAAATCTTAAAACTTTCTTATTGTGAATTCGAGCAAGTAAACTACTGCTCTCACTTCATTACAAACTGTATTTCTACCTGCAACACACTTGAGCAAACACGCTCCTCTTCCTTTCACAGATATTTTGTTTCCATTTGTAACTGTAACTGCCTCTGATGAGTTATCATTTAACTCTCGGCGGGGGGGATTAGCATCAGACGTCATGTGCATGGAAGTTGCCAAATCAATTAACCAACTAGAAGGGTTACTGTTAATAGCACCAGTTTTCCTATAACTTGTTATTGCTGGACAGTTCGGATGAACTGCAAAAGCATTTTTAGTTTGCTTTCTGTTGCCACCCTGGAACTTTTCTTTATTAGTGCCACTTTGTTTTGTACGTTTCCTTGCAAATGAAGGAAAACAACTTTTCTGCTTGTATATGTTGATAATATAATTTAGGTTGCTGAGAACAAACAAGGTTGTACAAAAACAAGATTGTGAGCAGGCCTGGCCAGGACATAGGCATCCTGACTGTGACAAAGGTGACCTGTGTGCTTGCTTGCTTGATTAACAGCCGTTGGGAACTTCAAGGTTCCTGCTCTCCCTTCTTATGGTCTTTATACTGGACCTGGAGACTCCAATAGAGAGCATTCCATGTCAAGAAGTAGGGCAAGTGGGCACCCTATCAAATGGCAGGGCAGGAGCTACACGGAGCCGGGCCTTTTCACTGGTGGTGCCCATTGTATGGCTTGCTCTTCCCAGACCTGCTCTCTTTTGGCCTGTATTTTGGAGCTTTATAATTTAGGAAGACTTTGGAGGAACTGGTTGACAAGTCTTATCAGTCGCTGACGTATGAGTGGATTTTATTTGCTGCTATTCTGGGCTTCTGGTGCACCAGGGTTTACACCAGTGTAATAGAGTTGGCCAGGATGGCAGAAGGGATACAATTTGCGAGCTTTCTCCATTATCTGCACAGCAGGGGGTGTTCAGTCAACAGTGCAAATGCTGAGCTGAAGTGTTTCCTGCTGGTTACCTGCTTTCAGCAATAGGGGTCGCTGTTTGGTAGTACCTGATTGGTAGCTGTCAGATTCTAGAGCTCCCTATTGGTGGCTCTTAGGTAATTCCAAAAATACAGAGTCCATTAATAAAACACAGTGTTCATTCATAAAGCAGTAACATAAATCTCCATTGCTACATATTGGGTGTGTATTTCAGCGGTTGAACATACACACTTATGGCCATGCTGTAGTGTAGTGCTTATGTGACTGTGAATAAAAGGTGGCTGAGCTCTGTCAGGAGTTCAGCCTACACTCGAGTAGGACCCTGGCAGAGACACATGCCCGACTGGCATGTTTTCTCCCTCCTGGTCGATCGTTCAGGAGCTTCATAAGCTTTCTTCAGCCCGAACATCACAGCGACCGATGCCAACCGACACGGCACACTTAGGGATCCGCAGAGTTTGCACAGCATTGCGTGACAGACCTCAGCAACTCAGCATGTTGGCTAATCTACTTTATTTACATATAAACACACAGAGAGCACTACAACATGGCTCCCTCTCTCTCTAGCATCAGACAGCAAAGAGAAAAAGAACAAAGGACAATAGTCCCACTTCACGGAACACAGTAACACAAACATCCTGTCTCCATCAGTTCCCACTCTGTGGAGTCAGAACATATACCGTCATGTGGGAGACAACAGTCGTATGACTGCAATCATAGATCAGGAATTCTAACAGGCTCATCATCCCAGGTTTTTTTTTGGGGGCGGTGACAAAACTGATTTCAAGTAAGTGCCCCCCCTTTATTTCCATAACAAGTCCTTGAGTCTGTACTCTGAATAATGACACCAGGGACCTAGAAGGTGCAGGGCTTGTCAATCCAACCCATGCACAGTCTCATCGGGGCTGACCTTAAGGCAACTGGAGCAATTTGGCTAAATTGGGCCCCATGGGCTGCTCCTAAGGGTGCTCCTGCACCAGGGCAATCTAGATGGATTTTATTTATATGTATAAGATTTTGCAGACTTTGGCTGTGACCTGTGGCCCTACCAAAACAAAAAAACCTCAAGTTGTGCCCACCCCACTGCTTCTAACTGGGCCCCACTGGCTAGCCCTGAGTCTCATAGTTGCTGGGCCGGAGTTGCCCTGCTCTCGCATGACGTCTTGGGTTTGCAATTTTGGGAGAGGGGAGACTGCGGCACTAGGGAGATGGCAGGCTGGCGAGGCCCTCTAGATTATGAGGCCCAAGTTGCCCTGCCCTCACATGAAGTCTTGGGTTTGCATTTTGGGAGAGGGGAGGTTGCATGCTGGGGAGCGGGCACGCTGGCGAGGCGCCCTAGATTTAGAGGCCCTAGGCTTCAGTCTACTTAGCCTATACATAAATCCCGCACTGCATGGGGCTGATGAGGCCTCTGAACTAGGTGGCCTCCTGCAACCGCTTTGCAACAACCTCTGCTGTGCAGCAGGCAGCAGAAACAAAAAAGCATTCCCATCTCCTCCCCTCTCTCTCATATTGCACTGAGGCGCCTCTCAAGTAGCTGCCTGCTTCATATGTCTGCAGGCAAGAAAAGAAACACGGCAGCCATGGGTTGACCCCCCTATTTCTGCCTCCAACCCACCCTGGCATTTTCAAAAATTCCCTCAAGGAGCAACACAAGGAACAGGCAATTCCTGCACTGCTCCGCATCCCAACACACACTTTTTAAATAAAAGAGTAGCTGCCTGCCTACTGCTCCATGTGGCTGGCAGGCAGCAAAGCAAAACTGGCAAGTGGGTGGATTCTGCCCTTCTTCCTCCAGCACTACATAGGGTGAGGTGGGGCAGATTGATGCAGAAAAATTCAATATCATATTTTATGTAACAAAAATGAGTCAAATAATTTTTTTGCTTTATGCATGGCATAACTAATCAATATTATAATAGAACTATTATAAAAGAACTATTATAGTTAGAAGAACAAGAATATAATGACTTTAGTAAAAAAAATATGAATTTTGTATCATTCTGCTCCACCTACAGGGCACTTTGTTACATTGGATGGGGCACTTTGATACAAAGTGTAAATTTTATGGGAATGGTAACTATTTGCAAAAAATTAATGAAAAAAAATTTTTTTATTGTGAGAGATCATAATCAGCCATACAATTTATTACTTAAAATCTAAATAACATATCAAAACTAACAGTGTTTCACACATTTCATAGACTTTATGGCAGGTTTTCTTAACAAAACATCAAAACTTATATTAATCTTTCATCAAACACCTATCCATTAAAAAAAACTTTGAAAAAACTTGTAAAAGTATAAGAACTCACATTAGATGGTTAAAAAATAGCAATTTAAACAAAATACTTATAAGAAATAAGATAATTACTTAATGTTTAGCTTCTATTGCACATTATATCCACTGAAGTCAATAGAAAAAGTATAAAGAGATGATCGAGATGTGCCCTTTGAGAAATTTGGTTTTGGCAACTGCAAAACAACATCCTTGAAATCAATACTTGCCTTATCATCTAGAATGGGGAAGACAAACATACAAGATCCTCTTTTTTCCCTGAGACATGACACTTGAAATTCGGTCATATTATATTATTACATACGATGTAAAACAGCATTGGAACGCTTTTACATTTCATGTAATTTTTTAGTTGGCCGCGCTAAAAACACACCTACTCTCATCAAATGATAACAGCTAACTGGTGGGCGGCGCGGTCTCAGCTGTTGTACTCACACATGTATACAAACATTTTAGTGATGTCACGACACGAATAATGTTTCTCAAAATTGAAATACTGTTGGCGTATCAATGTGCCCCTTGCATCAATGTGCCCTGCCTCACCCTATACACACACTTTGAAACAAAAAAACAAAAAACACTCCTCCGTGCCCGGAGCAGCTGCCTGGCAAAGCAAGGAGGAGGGAATCAGACCCTGACATGTCTGCTCCCTCCTTTTCAAAAGGACCCCCCCCCCGCAGACAATAAAATGTTTCCCTCCACATTTTCCATAAGCCCTTCCATGGGTGGCAAAGTAAAGGGAAGGCTGGCGGATGTGACACTTTTGAGCCCTCATGGCTTTTCAAATGCCCTTTCATGGGCAGCCAAAGCAGAGGTGGTGAACAGCACTTCCCGTACCCCTAACAGCACCCCCAAAGTCCCTCTCTGGTTTAGTCCCACCACATCTGCCAAGGCAAGGGCTTCCCTCCAGAAAGGAGTGGAGGAAGGAACAGCAGAGCCAGTTGTAGCTGGAAGTGGGTGTTCTGGGCTGCAGAACCAGAAGAAGCATTAGACTCCCCCCTCTCTTTGCGTTGGGTTATCAGCCCTCAGCTTAGATGGTTGCCTGCACATTATCTGTCAAAATATTTTGTTTCTAGAAGGGCTAGAGACTTCCTTTTGTTAAAAAGAAAGCTCATCATACAGCCCAGGCTAGCATAGGTTCAGGTGCAATTACTCTAACTGCACCATTAGAAATTGGGCCCTGCTAGGATGTTGGGACTCCTATTGCTTGGTGTCCAAACAACTCACCAATCACAATTCTGACTTGGCTGAAACCTCTGACAGACAGGAGTGGCCAGGCTGGCTCATTTAACAGAAGCTGCTTAGAAAATGCACATTGTGCTTCATAACTTTCTTCCTAGGAGGGTTAGAGACTCACCTTTTAAAAGGCACCTCTCTCTGGGGCAGGGGGGGGCAGTTCAGAGACCTGGAGTGGCAGCAGTGACTGCCCAGAGGACTCCCAAGGAGAGGGGAGAAGAGAGGAGGCTGAGGGAACCCTCCACAAGGGAGGGGTGAGGGGCTGCCGGCTCTGCAGGCAAGAGGTGACACAACTGGGCTCCTGAGCCCCACAGGAGTCTACAGAAAGAATGTAGTTGGTCAAGGGAGCTGTGGACTCAAAAAGGCTGAAAACCTCTGCTCTAGCCAATGATCCCAAACTGTCTTTGACGCTGGAAAAAAGACACAACCACAGTATAGCTCAACTCTTGTTTCTTGGGTAGCTCATTGACAGTGCCAGAATGAGGGTGGTGTAGGCGGTTCCCCCATCCAGGTATTAATAATAAAACCTACACTTCTACGGGTACCTACTCAAAGTTAAACCCTGGGTTATTGAGTCACCACAACTATGACATAATGCACTTGAGAGCATGCGCTGAATGGAAGGCGGGAGGCAGAAGGGTGCCAAATGAATCTTTGGGGAGCCAAATTTTGTCCTCGCTCAGAGCGCCATATTCCTAAAGTCTGCCCCTGCCATTGAGTGAGATGCCTTTTTGTGCATCTCAGTGGAGCTGAAGTTCCTCCTCCAGATGTCACTGGACTGCAACTCCCATCAGTTTCCCTGATTACAAAAGCAGATAAAGAAGCCGGTTTTGTTTCTGACACAGTTCATTAAAATGGCAATCAGCTTAATCTTATGGCTTAATTTAAAAACACAGCTAAATGAGCAAGCAAATGATCTCAAGATCTTGATAGACCCAGAATTGTTATAGTCATCTGCTGATTTTCCTTCTCTTTTGCCTCTTTCAGAAAGTCATCCTATGAGCAAAGGATGATTTGATGCTTTGAATACACACACACACACACACACACACACACACACACACACACGTAAAGGACCCCTGGACAATTAAGTCCAGTCAAAGGCAACTATCTCACTATATAAATTTGTTTTCCTACATTTTGTTATTTTCCATTTTGTTATTTTCCAATTCAACAAAAGTAGTGACTTCCCGCTCACCCAACATTGATGCTTATCACCCAATTATCCAATTTCATCCTCTTTAGCATGTTTCTTAATATGTTCTGCTATTTTCTTACACTTCAATCCCCACTATGGTCTTCTCGTATGGGAAATAACTTCTTAAATAGACTACAGTCTATTTAAGGCCGTCTTTAGCATATGCGCCACTGGGGTGCAAAGATCCGCCCAGCGCCCCCAAATTTACTTTAGCCCCCAAATTAACTTTTATTATGCCTGTGTCACTTTTATCATTTGATAAATAGTGCTCACACCTGCACAGCTCCAAAAGGAGGGCTTTTTTGTGTTTTTTGTTTAAAACCAGCTTTTCTAAAGAAGACAAAGAACACTTGTAAAGTGTAAAGACTCCAGGCATGCGCTTACAGTCGTAGGGAGGTGTCTGGAAGATGAGACGGGCGGGCATTGTGCGCATGCGTGGGAGAGCCGTCTCGGGCAGCCTTTCATTGTGGGAGCAACCTTCTTTCTAGAAGAGCTGGGAGGGCCCTTGTGAGCACACATATATGAGTTCTTCTTGGGAAGGTTCCGGAGCCTGCGCACACTCCCGTCACTAGATAGGTGCGTTCTCTTTCTGTCTCTCCCTCTTTCCTGTCACTTCCCCTCCTCCCAGCTTTGGTGAGCGGCAGGCATGCGGCACAAGATCAGTCGTGTCGAAGGTGCTGCTGACCCCGCTGCCGCAGTGCAGCTCAATACAATATGCTTAGGTGGCTTCATCGGTGGGCGCCTGGTGCCCCCCAGAATTCGGCGTCCGGTGCTCTGCACCCTTGCACCCCCGGGTAAAGACGGCCCTGGGTATGGACATTCCCTTTAAGCCAGGCATGGCCAAACTTGGCCCTCCAGATGTCTTGGGACTACAACGCCCACCATCCTTAGCTAACAGGACCAGTGGTCAGGGATGGAGCAATGACAACCTAGCAGCGTATGGCCAATGCCTCCCCTCAAAACAACCCCTTTAATGGGGAACCCTGGGATCGGCGCCGTGGGGGAGGGGTCACCGCTCCCCCCCCCCATTTAGGGAAGACAGACTAAAGGATTCCGCCCAAGGCCTGAAACCGCCAAAGTTGTGACGTTTTGCTACGGGGAAGGCAAAATCTGCCAATGCAGAAAAATTCCTTTCCAGCCCTTCAACAGCGACCATAATGTAGCAGCACCTGCGTACCTGTGGAGAAGAGGTTAACCTGCAAAAGAAGGCTTAACTGAGGGAGGGCAGGGTGGGAGAAGCTCTGGAGCCGACTGAGAACTCCCAGGCAAGTTCTGCCCACTGTTGTGTGGGCTGGTCAGTCCCTCCCCTTACCTGGCCAACTCTCTCCTGGTAACGCAGGAGATGTCCACAAGTTCTACTCTTCATAGAATAGAATCATAGAATCATAGAATCATAGAGTTGGAATAGACCACAAGGGCCATCGAGTCCAACCCCCTGCCAAGCAGGAAACACCATCAGAGCACTCCTGACATATGGTTGTCAAGCCTCTGCTTAAAGACCTCCAAAGAAGGAGACTCCACCACACTCCTTGGCAGCAAATTCCACTGTCGAACAGCTCTTACTGTCAGGAAGTTCTTCCTAATGTTTAGGTGGAATCTTCTTTCTTGTAGTTTGGATCCATTGCTCCGTGTCCGCTTCTCTGGAGCAGCAGAAAACAACCTTTCTCCCTCCTCTATGTGACATCCTTTTACGTATATATTTGAACATGGCTATCATATCACCCCTTAACCTCCTCTTCTCCAGGCTAAACATGCCCAGCTCCCTTAGCTGTTCCTCATAAGGCATCGTTTCCAGGCCTTTGACCATTTTGGTTGCCCTCCTCTGGACACGTTCCAGTTTGTCAGTGTCCTTCTTGAACTGTGGTGCCCAGAACTGGACACAGTACTCCAGGTGAGGTCTGACCAGAGCAGAATACAGTGGCACTATTACTTCCCTTGATCTAGATGCTATACTCCTATTGATGCAGCCCAGAATTGCATTGGCTTTTTAGCTGCCGCGTCACACTGTTGGCTCATGTCAAGTTTGTGGTCAACCAAGACTCCTAGATCCTTTTCACATGTACTGCTCTCAAGCCAGGTGTCACCCATCTTGTATTTGTGCCTCTCCTTTTTTTGCCCAAGTGCAATACTTTACATTTCTCCCTGTTAAAATTCATCTTGTTTGTTTTGGCCCAGTTCTCTAATCTGTCAAGGTCGTTTTGAAGTGTGATCCTGTCCTCTTGGGTGTTAGCCACCCCTCCCAATTTGGTGTCATCTGCAAATTTGATCAGGATGCCCTTGAGTCCATCATCCAAGTCGTTGATAAAGATGTTGAATAAGACCGGGCCCAAGACAGAACCCTGTGGCACCCCACTAGTCACTCTTCTCCAGGATGAAGAGGAACCATTGATGAGCACCCTTTGGGTTCGGTCAGTCAGCCAGTTACAAATCCACTGAGTGGTAGCATAGTCAAGACCGCATTTTACCAGCTTCTTTACAAGAATATCATGAGGCACCTTGTCAAATGCCTTGCTGAAATCAAGGTAGGCTACATCCACTGCATTCCCTTCATCTACCAGGCTTGTAATTCTGTAAAAAAAACGAGATCAGGTTAGTCTGACATGACTTATTTTTCAGAAATCCATGCTGACTATTGGTGATCACAGCATTCCTTTCTAGGTGCTCACAGACTGTTTGCTTAATGATCTGCTCCAGAATCTTCCCTGGTATTGATGTCAGACTGACTGGGCGGTAATTATTTGGGTCCTCTCTTTTCCCTTTTTGAAAATAGGGACAACATTTGCCCTCCTCCAGTCTGCAGGGACTTCGCCTGTTCTCCAGGAATTCTCAAAGATGACTGCCAGTGGTTCTGAGATTACATCTGCCAGTTCTTTTAATACTCTTGGATGCAGTTCATCTGGCCCTGGAGACTTGAATACATCTAAACTAGCCAAGTATTCTTGTACTATCTCCTTAGTTATTCTGGGCTGTGTTTCCTTTGCTGAATCATTTGCTCCAAATTCTTCAGGTCGGGCATTGTTTTCTTTATCGGAGAAGACTGAGGCAAAGAAGGCATTGAGGAGTTCAGCCCTTTCTGTGTCCCCTGTTTGCATTTCACCATCTTCTCCTCTGAGTGACCCCACTGTTTCTTTGTTCTTCCTTTTGCTACGGACATACCCATAAAAGCCTTTTTTGTTGCTTTTAACCTCTCTAGCAAGCCTGAGTTCATTCTGTGCTTTAGCTTTTCTGACTTTGTGTCTACACGTGCTGGCTATTTGTTTGAATTCCTCTTTGGTGGTTTCCCCCCTTTTCCATTTTTTGTACACATCCTTTTTTAATCTTAACTCAGTTAAAAGTTCTTTAGATAGCCACCCTGGCTTCTTTAGGCACCTTCCATGTTTCCGTACTCTTATGAGAGATAAAAACTTTACTTTCTCCACTTTGCTCCACACCCTTGTTCATTTTGCTGGCCTTTTTTGACAGTATCCTTCTTGAGGTGAGGCTGTAAAGACAAATATCTAGAGCCATATCTCTTGCAGAACTCAACACTGTTGTTGTTGTTGTTTAGTCGTTTAGTCGTGTCCGACTGTTCGTGACCCCCTGGACCAGAGCACGCCAGGCACTTCTGTCTTTCACTGCCTCCTGCAGTTTAGTCAAACTGATGCTGGTAGCTTCGAGAACACTATCCAACCATCTCGTCCTCAGTCGTCCCCTTCTCCTTGTGCCCTCCATCTTTCCCAACATCAGGGTCTTTTCCAGGGAGTCTTCTCTTCTCATGAGGTGGCCAAAGTTTTGGAGTCTCAGCTTCAGGATCTGTCCTTCCAGTGAGCACTCAGGGCTGATTTCCTTCAGAATGCAGAGGTTGGATCTTCTTGCAGTCCATGGGACTCTCAAGAGTCTCCTCCAGCACCATAATTCAAAAGCATCAATTCTTCGGCGATCAGCCTTCTTTATGGTCCAGCTTTCACTTCCATACATCACTACTGGGAAAACCATAGCTTTTACGATACGGACCTTTGTTGGCAAGGTGATGTCTCTGCTTTTTAAGACGCTGTCTAGGTTTGCCATCGCCTTCCTCCCAAGAAGCAGGCGTCTTTTAATTTCGTGGCTGCTGTCACTATCTGCAGTGATCATGGAGCCCAAGAAAGTAAAATCTCTCACTGCCTCCATTTCTTCCCCTTCTATTTGCCATCTTTCTGCCATCAAGGTTGTGTCATCTGCATATCTGAGGTTGTTGATATTTCTTCCGGCAATCTTAATTCCGGCTAGGGATTCATCCAGCCCAGCCTTTCGCATGATGAATTCTGCATATAAGTTAAATAAGCAGGGAGACAATATACAGCCTTGTCGTACTCCTTTCCCTATGTTGAACCAATCAGTTGTTCCATATCCAGTTCTAACTGTAGCTTCTTGTCCCACAAGAGATTTCTCAGGAGACAGATGAGGTGATCAAGCACTCCCATTTCTTTAAGAACTTGCCATAGTTTGCTGTGGTCGACACAGTCAAAGGCTTTTGCATAGTCAATGAAGCAGAAGTAGATGTCTTTCTGGAACTCTCTAGCTTTCTCCATAATCCAGCGCATGTTTGCAATTTGGTCTCTGGTTCCTCTGCCCTTTCGAAATCAAGCTTGCACTTCTGAGAGTTCTCGGTCCACATACTGCTTAAGCCTGTCTTGTAGAATTTTAAGCATAGCCTTGCTAGCGTGTGAAATGAGTGCAATTGTGGGGTAGTTGGAGCATTCTTTGGCACTGCCCTTCTTTGGGATTGGGATGTAGACTGATCTTCTCCAATCCTCTGGCCACTGCTGAGTTTTCCAAATTTGCTGGCATATTGAGTGTAGCACCTTAACAGCATCATCTTTTAAAATTTTAAATAGTTCAGCTGGAATATCATCACTTCCACTGGCCTTGTTATTTGCAGTGCTTTCTATGGCCCGTTTGACTTCACTCTCCAGAATGTCTGGCTCAAGGTCAGCAACCACACTACCTGGGGTGTACGAGCCATCCATATCTTTCTGGTATAATTCCTCTGTGTATTCTTGCCACCTCTTCTTGATGTCTTCTGCTTCTGTTTGGTCCTTACCACTTCTGTCCTTTATTATGGTAATCTTTGTACGAAATGTTCCTTTCATATCTCCAATTTTCTTGAACAGATCTCTGGTTCTTCCCATTCTGTTGTTTTCCTCTATTTCTTTGCATTGCTCGTTTAAGAAGGCCTTCTTGTCTCTCCTTGCTATTTTTTGGAAATCTGCATTCAATTTCCTGTATCTTTCACTATCTCCCTCACATTTTGCTTGCCTTCTCTCTCCCGCTATTTGTAAGGCCTCATTGGACAGCCACTTTGCTTTCTTGCATTTCTTTTTCATTGGGATGGTTTTCGTTGCTGCCTCCTGTATAATGTTGCGAGCCTCCATCCATAGTTCTTCAGGCACTCTGTCCAGCAAATCTAAATCCTTAAACCTGTTTCTCACTTCCACTGCGTATTCATAAGGGATTTGGTTTAGATTGTATCTTACCGGTCCAGTGGTTTTTCCTACTTTCTTCAGTTTGAGCTTGAATTTTGCTATAAGAAGCTGACGATCTGAGCCACAGTCAGCTCCAGGTCTTGTTTTTGCTGACTGTATAGAGCTTCTCCATCTTTGGCTGCAGAGAATATAATCAATCTGGAATGCTGGTGATGTCCATGTGTAGAGTCGTCTCCTGTGTTATTGGAAGAGTGTTTGTGATGACCAGCTTGTTCTCTTGACAGAACTCTATTAGCCTTTGCCCTGCTTCATTTTGATCACCAAGGCCAAACTTGCCAGTTGTTCCTTTTATCTCTTGATTCCCTACTTTAGCATTCCAGTCCCCTATAATGAGAAGAACATCCTTCTTTGGTGTCACTTCTATAAGGTCTTGTAAGTCTTCATAAAATTGGTCAATTTCAGTTTCTTCAGCACCAGTAGTTGGTGCATAAACTTGGATTACTGTGATGTTAAAAGGTCTGCCTTGGATTCGTATCAAGATCATTCTATCATTTTTGAGATTGCATCCCAGTACAGCTTTCGCCACTCTTTTGTTGACTATGAGGGCCACTCCATTTCTTTTACGGGTTTCTTGCCCACAGTAGTAGATATGATAGTCATCTGAACTGAATTCGCCCATTCCTGTCCATTTTAGTTCACTGATGCCCAGGATGTCAGTATTTATTCTTGCCATCTCATTTTTGACCACATCCAACTTACCCAGGTTCATGGTTCTTACATTCCAAGTTCCTATGCAATATTTTTCTTTATAGCATTGGACTTTCCTTTCGCTTCCAGGCATATCCACAACTGAGCGTCCTTTCGGCATTGGCCCAGCCGCTTCATCAGCTCTGGATCTACTTGCACTTGTCCTCCGCTCTTCCCCAGTAGCATGTTGGACGCCTTCCGACCTGAGGGGCTCATCTTCCAGCGTCATAACTTTTATATGCCTCTTGTCTTTGTCCATTGAGTTTTCTTGGCAGGGATACTGGAGTGGCTTGCCAGTTCCTCCTCCAGGTGAATCACGTTTGGTCAAAACTCTCCACTATGACCTGTTCATCTTGGGTGCCCTGCTTGGCATAGTTCATAGCTTCTCTGAGTTATTCAAGCCCCTTCGCCACGGCAAGGCAGTGATCCATGAAGGAAGGAACTCAACACTATCCTGGTCTAATAACATTTAACATGATTTTCCTGTTCCCGGTTCTGGTTCTGAACTGCACTTATCAATGAATATCTCCGGAAGACGTAGAACTCTCCAGGCTGTTCTTGTAAACATTTATGTCATCAGAAGCAAATGTTTCCTTCCTGGCAAGCATTTCCTTCCCCCGTTAGGACCTCCATCCCTCTCATTTTGCCCTTCCTCCTTCCCATTTGTATGAAAGGGGGCATGGGATTCTCCACAGACTTACATGAGGGACACCAGAGCTCTTTCCTGCACGCCCCAATAACAGTTTGCCAGCAACTCATTGAAAAACCAAGATGGTAAGTGGAATGCTTTGGGGACGGTTGGTAACAATTTTTTCTTTATTCTAGATTAGGTTTAAATGGTGGAAAGGGGGATTTGAGGTGTGGAGAGGGGGTGTGCAAAGGCATGCAGAATTATGAGGATTAAGTACCTCACTTGCTGAGGCTTTCTCAGACTCCAGGCTTATCTGAAGTCTTATCCACCCTTACTTTTCCTCTGCTTTTTCCAGGCACAGTCTGTGCTTTTTAGCAGGGGTAGGCAACCTAAGACTGGATGCGGCCCAATCACCTTCTCAATCCGACCCGCGGACGATCTGGGAATCAGTGTGTATTTACATGAGTAGAATGTTTCCTTTTATTTAAAATGCAACTCTGGGTTATTTGAGGGGCATAGGAATTTGTTCATATTTTCTTCCAAAATATAGTCTGGCCCACCACAAGGTCTGAGGGACGGTGGACCGGCCCACGGCTGAAAAAGTTTGCTGACCCCTGCTTTATAGCTTTAGAGCTCACATTTGGGGATCAAATCCAAAGCCGGGATTGCTTTTGTAATTCTGGAACTGTCCCTGGAAAATCAGAGCATTTGGAGGTTATGCCTTCTCTCTATCCAGACCCCCATTCAGACCAGTGCTCACAACATTATTTAGTTATCTTTAGCTGGGGTAGTGAAACTTTTTTTATATAAATTCCAGTGCAACCCTGCTGCTCAGGTTAATTACTTAGGACTCATTACAATGACCTACAGTTGGAACTCTCACAGCAACAACTCCAGGCTACAAACCACATAGCCTGAGCTTCCCTCTGACTGTTTTCTTTCCTGCATTTGTCAGGAAATTGGCCGGGGGAATTGGCCAAAGGCATTTTCTTGGCCAACCTGAGCATCACCCTGTGCTTTAATGTAAATAGTCATTTATCTCTGAACGCTCCTCTCTTTGCTGTGGCTCAGAATCCAAAACTGATGGACTTTGAGAACAGATATATACAGTGGGGCCTCGCAAGACGAAATTAATTCGTTCCGCGAGTTTTTTCGTCTTGCGATTTTTTTCGTCTTTCGAAGCACGGTGTTGGGAAAGTTTTGGAAAAGCTTCAAAAATCACCAAAGTCTTCAAAAACCTCAAAAAAGGCTACCACACCGCGTGCTATGAGTTGCTCCTCGAAGTCAAGTCGCAACTGTATTAACGGTTTTAAGAAAAAGGAAACAAACTTGCAAGACGTTTCCGTCTTGCGAAGCAAGCCCATAGCGAAAATCGTCTTGCGAAGCAACTCAAAGAACCTAAAACCCTTTCGTCTTGCGAGTTTTCTGTCTTGCGAGGCATTCGTCTTGCGAGGTACCACTGTAAACAAAATCGATGTTTCTGAGGTATTGAATGCTATGGGATTTGTGGGGGAGGGCAGTTTACTTTATAAAAAATCCCACTAAGTATAAAATGACCCAACTCAGCTACTGAAGTGTATAATTTGAAGTGTATAAGCTTAATGTAGAGGGAATTTTTCAAAGGCCTTGGGTTGAATCCAGTGTGAATCATACCCAGAGTAGATCCATTGAAATTGATGGACAAGACTAACTAAAAGGGTAAAGGGACCCCTGACCATTAGGTCCAGTTGTGACCAACTCTGGGCTCATCTCGCTTTGTTGGCCGAGGGAGCCGGCGTACAGCTTCCGGGCCAGCATGACTAAGCCACTTCAGGTGAACCAGAGCAGCGCACGGAAACGCCGTTTACCTTCCCACCAGAGCGGTACCTATTTATCTACTTGCACTTTGACATGCTTTCGAACTGCTAGGTTGGCAGGAGCAGGGACTGAGCAACGGGAGTTCACCCCGTCACGGGGATTCGAACCGCCAAGCTTTTGATCGGCAAGCCCTAGGCTCTGTGCTTTAGACTAACTTAGGCACATTAATTTCATTGGCTCTGCTCTGACTAAAATTTAGTCACATACAATGCATTTTTTAACAGCAAGAGAGGCTATAAATATGATAACACCATCTTGAATGATTTGTGCATGTGTGTGCCTCTTTTGCAGAAAATCCTCTTGAGCCTGGCTGCCTTGTCTTTGACACCTGCCTTGTGTCAGGGATCCTGCATGTTTAGCGGGTTCAAAGCAGAGATTAAAGATGGTAAGTTAATAACAGCAGCAGCAACAACAACAGCAGAAACAACAACAACAAATGATGTTGTCAAGCAGCCTATTCATTTAGCCAAATCATTATTTAATGTTTGGGAAATGTGTTCCTGACTAGAGATTTTTTAGCATACACCTACCAAATCTGCTCTTGCAGAACCAGAACACAGAACAAAGTGCAGCTACCTTCAAAATCTACACTTCTTTGGATGTTGTGATGCTGCTCAGAGTCTAAAATGACCTGACGCTGCTCCCGTCTCATCTTCTCATTGATGAGTCCCTGCTTAAGCTCTTACTTTTATTATGTATTTTGTGTTCTTTATATTGTATTTTTAGGTTGTGAACTGCCCTGAGGATGGTATATAAATAGTAATAATAATAATAATAACTGGTAGAAATTGAAACGGCCAGATTCCCCATCCCCAGGGCACCCCATTCACTCCCACCCTGTTTTAAGCTTGGAACCACCATCTGCAGACTCAAGCAGGAGACTGCATGGCCGCAGTATAAGCAAGACAGACGTCCAGGGTCACTACCTTTCTTGTCAGCAACCAGGACATGCAAGAATAAAGGTGGCAAAGCTTCCCACTCCACTCCATGTCAGGAAACACTTTACCTACTACATTTTCACGTATCAGGCTGCTGTCAGAAGCACAGGAGGAGCTGGACAAGTGGACAAGTTGCAGCCACTGTGCTTCTCTTGCACAGTCTCTGCATTGTGCTGAGCAGCAGCTTCTGATTTCACGAGCTGTTTGGGGGCTGATGTTAAATGTATAGGATTTCTCTCCCTAGGTCAGCCGGTGCTGCCCACTGAGTGTACTGATCCCATTGATGGGAGCAAGCATCCATTCTACTTCAAGTGGAATACACCGAATTGCATGGAATGCGTATGTAGTGAAAGGGGAATGCTGTGCTGTTCCAGGTAGGCCAAATACCCAGAATGGCACTGGGTCTATTATTTTGCCCCGTTCTCTCTGGAAGACCTTCTGCTCAATAAACATTACATCTGATAGGTTGCATGTCCAGAGTGACTTTCCAATCATCTGATGACCAGGCATTCGCTGTGTGGAAGCTTGGACTTTGGAATCTCCCTGAGTCCCAGATCCTCTCATCCAGAGACCACCTAGGAGTTGGTGCTGGGGAGAGGGACCCCAATGCACCCAATGGAACAGGACCCCTCCTCTTTCCTGCACCTTCCTGTCTCCTTCTGTCTCCCTCCTGGCTGGCCTCTTGGTTTCGCACCAACATTTTGCTACACCCTTTTTTGTGCATGGGTGCTGCCCTCAACCACCGCAAACATAGTGGAGGGGGGGGGAAGAGGTCATCGTACAGCAACATGCAATGGCATATTGTGCAAGACATGTCCTTTGTGCATTCAGCTTGGGTTCCCCAGGTGAATTTGGCCTCAGGCCAAATGTTTTCCAAGGGCTTGGTTTTCCCTGGATGGAGCAAACATCTTGCAAAACTGCTTTTCTGCCAGGCAGTTCCAGTCATTCTTGGCATGTCCTAAGTGAGCAGGAGAAAGGAACGCTCCTCTACAAGATCTCCATAAGCTCAGGGAAGCCTTTGTTTACACATTCTTCTTCTTCTTTTTAGGTACTTTGATCATGTCGAACGTCAGGGATGTAAAGCATTGTTCAATCCAAACAAATGTGAATATGAGTTCTATAAACTGGATGATCTCTCCAAACCCTGTCCCTGAGCTTTACAAATCCCTCATAATTCCTTTCATGTAAAAGAATCTGAATAAATCAGTCATATATGCATTTCTGTGTGTATCTGTTGTCTTTGCTTGATATCACTACTTGCAGAATTTGGTACATATCATAATGAAAGTGATGGACATGCCTATCTCAGCTATCAGCAGCTTTTTAGATTCTAATGGATTATTAAATATTGCTCAATTTGATATACACTGTTTATTTTAAAATTATTGTGACTTTTTTTTTGTATTGGATCCGATACAAGTCACTCACCAATCACAATTCTGACTTGGCTGAACCCCCTGACAGACAGGAGTGGCCAGGCTGGCTCATTTAACAGAGGTTGCTTAGAACATGCACATTGTGCTTCATAACCTTCTGCCTAGAAGGGTTAGAGACTCACCTTTTAACATTTATTTTTATTATATTTGTATACTGCCCTCCACCCAAAGATCTCAGGGTGGTTGGCAGCATAAAAATACGAAATAAAAACACAAAATACATACTAAAAACAGGAAGAGAAAAAGAAAAGAAAAAGGAAAACTACCTCTCAAGAAAGGAGGAGGAGTGGCGTTATATGTCAGGGATGTGTATACCTGTGAAGAGATCCAAGATTTAGAACCTCAAAGCCAAAGTGAGAGCATTTGGGTCAAAATTAAGGGCGAGAAGAATAACAGAGACCTCATTGTGGGAGTTTACTATAGATCCCCAAGCTAAACGGAGGACATAGATGATGCCTTCCTGGAACAGATGGCCAAGCATGCAAAAGGAAGGGAGATAGTAGTAATGGGGGACTTCAATTACCTGGATATTTGTTGGATGTCAAACTCAGCCAAGAGCATAAGGTCAAACAGATTCCTCACTGGCCTTGCAGACAACTTCATTGTCCAGAAAGTGGGAGAAGCAACAAGAGGAACAGCCATTTTAGATCTGGTCCTAACCAATGTTGATGACCTGGTTAGTGGGGTAGAAGTGGAAGGATCATAAGGCGCGAGTGATCATGCTCTTCTGAAGTTTACTATATAGTGGAAAGGAGCAGCCAAGCATACTAGGACTCAATTTCTTGACTTTAAGAAAGCCGACTTCATAAAACTTAGGGAAGTGCTGGGTGAGATCCCATGGACAGTAATACTAAAAGGAAAGGGAGTTCATGATGGCTGGGAGTTTGTTAAGAGGGAGATAGTAAAAGCACAACTTCAGGCAATACCAATGAGACGGAAACATGGAAGGTGCCTAAAGAAGCCAGGGTGGCTATCTAAAGAACTTTTAACTGAGTTAAGATTAAAAAGGATGTGTACAAAAATGGAAAAGGGGGAAACCACCAAAGAGGAATTCAAACAAATAGCCAGCACGTGTAGACACAAAGTCAGAAAAGCTAAAGCACAAAATGAACTCAGGCTTGCTAGAGAGGTTAAAAGCAACAAAAAAGGCTTTTATGGGTATGTCCGTAGCAAAAGGAAGAACAAAGAGACAGTGGGGTCGCTCAGAGGAGAAGATGGTGAAATGCAAACAGGGGACACAGAAAGGGCTGAACTCCTCAATGCCTTCTTTGCCTCAGTCTTCTCCGATAAAGACTGCCCGACCTGAAGAATTTGGAGCAAATGATTCAGCAAAGGAAACACAGCCCAGAATAACTAAGGAGATAGTACAAGAATACTTGGCTACTTTAGATGTATTCAAGTCTCCAGGGCCAGATGAACTGCATCCAAGAGTATTAAAAGAACTGGCAGATGTGATCTCAGAACCACTGGCAGTCGTCTTTGAGAATTCCTGGAGAACAGGCGAAATCCCGGCAGACTGGAGGAGGGCAAATGTTGTCCCTATTTACAAAAAGGGGAAAAGAGAGGACCCAAATAATTATCGCCCAGTCAGTCTGACATCAATACCAGGGAAGATTCTGTAGCAGATCATTAAGCAAACAGTCTGTGAGCACCTAGAAAGGAATGCTGTGATCACCAATAGTCAGCATGGATTTCTGAAAAATAAGTCATGTCAGACTAACCTGATCTCATTTTTGACAGAATTACAAGCCTGGTAGATGAAGGGAACGCAGTGGATGTAGCCTACCTTGATTTCAGCAAGGCATTTGACAAGGTGCCTCATGATATTCTTGTAAAGAAGCTGGTAAAATGTGGTCTTGACTATGCTACCACTCAGTGGATTTGTAACTGGCTGACTGACCGAACCCAAAGGGTGCTCATCAATGGTTCCTCTTCATCCTGGAGAAGAGTGACTAGTGGGGTGCCACAGATTCTGTCTTGGGCCCGGTCTTATTCAACATCTTTATCAACGACTTGGATGATGGACTCAAGGGCATCCTGATCAAATTTGCAGATGACACCAAACTGGGAGGGGTGGCTAACACCCCAGAGGACAGGATCACACTTCAAAACGACCTTGACAGATTAGAAAACTGGGCCAAAACAAACAAGATGAATTTTAACAGGGAGAAATGTAAAGTATTGCACTTGGGCAAAAAAAATGAGAGGCACAAATACAAGATGGGGGACACCTGGCTTGAGAGCAGTACATGTGAAAAGGATCTAGGAGTCTTGGTTGACCACAAACTTGACATGAGCCAACAGTGTGACGCGGCAGCTAAAAAGGCCAATGCAATTCTGGGCTGCATCAATAGGAGTATAGCATCTAGATCAAGGGAAGTAATAGTGCCACTGTATTCTGCTCTGGTCAGACCTCACCTGGAGTACTGTGTCCAGTTCTGGGCACCACAGTTCAAGAAGGACACTGACAAACTGGAACGTGTCCAGAGGAGGGCAACCAAAATGGTCAAAGGCCTGGAAACGATGCCTTATGAGGAACGGCTAAGGGAGCTGGGCATGTTTAGCCTGGAGAAGAGGAGGTTAAGGGGTGATATGATAGCCATGTTCAAATATATAAAAGGATGTCACATAGAGGAGGGAGAAAGGTTGTTTTCTGCTGCTCCAGAGAAGCGGACACGGAGCAATGGATCCAAACTACAAGAAAGAAGATTCCACCTAAACATTAGGAAGAACTTCCTGACAGTAAGAGCTGTTCGACAGTGGAATTTGCTGCCAAGGAGTGTGGTGGAGTCTCTTTCTTTGGAGGTCTTTAAGCAGAGGCTTGACAACCATATGTCAGGAGTGCTCTGATGGTGTTTCCTGCTTGGCAGGGGGTTGGACTCGATGGCCCTTGTGGTCTATTCCAACTCTATGATTCTATGACTCTCCCACCCACTGGACCTCTTGGGAAGGAGGCACATGAAGAAGGGCCTCAGAAGATGATTGTAGGGTCCGGGTAGTGTCAGGCTTTGGAGGATCAGACCCCTCCCACGGTGGCAGCCAAGAGGCAGAGAAAGGATGAAAGTTCTTACCAAGCAATTTATTCAATAATTCACAAAGCGTGACAAAGGCATGCAGTCTTCCCTAAATAATGGCATTGCTCCAAGTAAAGTCCCCTCCCCTCCAGGTCTCCCCTATTCTACGTCACTCCTGCATCGGCTTATCTGAGCTGTCTGATTCTGAGCTCTCTGTTCTGCTACCCTCGATGCCCACCTGGCCCTGGAAGGGGGGCTGATCAGGAATCCTTTCCAAGGACACGGAGTCTGTCAGCTTTCTCTCCCCTGGTGCTGCTGCTTCTTCTGCTCTTCCTCTCCCAATATTTCCCAGCTTCTCCCCTCTGCAGCCTCTCGGTTATGCCCTTCTGCAAACCACTGTTCTAAATCTATACTGCCCTCCTGTTCTCAGGTTGGTTCAGGAGAAGGGGGGGTCCCCACCATTCCTCCTTAGTCCAGCCCCTGACCGGTAGGAGAGAGTCAGTCCTTGGTATTGTGATCCTGAGCCCTTTAAGGCTGGCACACAGCAACACAAGCAACAGGCAATTCCTGCACTTTTCTCCATCCAAACAAACCCTTTTTTTAAAAAAAGGAAAGTAGCCGCCTGTCACTCCCGCATGTGGCTGGCAGGCAGCAAAACTGAACAATTAGAGCAGCGAGCATGACATATACACCCCTTTCCAAAAACTCCTGTATGGCTAGAGCAGCTGCCTGGCCAGGATGTGGCAAACCAGCCCTGGCACCCCTCCCTGCTTTTCAAAAGCCCCTGCCTACAAGAGAATGTCTCCTGCCCCTTTTGTTAAGCAGCAAAGCAAAGAGAAGGCAAATGGGAATGATACCTTTCAGGTCTCCCACTTTTTCAAAAGGCAGCCCAAGCAGGGGAAGTGAAATGGCCTCAACACTTCTCCCACTCTTTGGGATGACGCAGAAGGATGCCCAGGCTTCCAAGAGAGTTGCCACTGCTGCAAACCGTAGGAAGGAAAAACAAAGAAGCTGTGATCCTACTTCTGCTAATGGTAAGACATGCTGGACATTTTGTCCTCTCCCTGGGGAAATTCAATGAAATCCCACTTTCTCTGCCCATAAATAAGCTGGAGGAGTTTTAAAGACTGTTGCTCAAAGCTCTGTTTCAAATATTCCTGAAGATGCTTCTGTTGCCATTCTTCAAAATGAACACAAACTAAAGTCTGAAGCAAATATTTTCTTCTCGTTAACTTTTTTTTTGGACACATTAGTACACCAGAACTGCAACATGAAGAGGGCATCTCCTCAGCTTAATCTCTGGCCCCATATCTGCATACATTTGGGAGGCAGATCCCTGCAGTCACTTGCAAGGAACAGCCCTTGGAGAAGCAGCTGTGTCTTAGCCGGAAGGATTTGTGCATCGAAAAGCCAGGATGGTAAGCAGAATTGTAATAATAATAATAATAATAATAATAATAATAATAATAATAATATGCCACCCATCTGGATTGTCCCAGCCACTCTGAGTGCCTTTCAACAAATTATGGTTTTATGTGTTAGTGTATCCAACAGTTTCTTACAACTGGATCTTGTAAAATGCTGGAAAAGTTGCAGTGGAAAGGCAGATTTACACGGATCAGCAGCGAAAGGATAAGGTGCTCTGTCCTCTTTGACCTTTGGACCATCTACTGTCTGCCCTGCGTTCATCCTGTGCCTGCAGACCTTTCATGGTTTCCTGATGGTTTCTTTGGAACTTTGCAGGGAATTGGTTTGGTTTTTTTTAATAAAAACTAGATTTTAGAAGTAGGCTTCTGAAAACCTTTACAAATCAAGTTAACTAGCATAACATTTCTGAGTGCAGAATTCCTTTTTTCTTGGGAGGAGTCACAAACACACCCAACACAGATTCTGGGTATTTTGGAGTGGTAATTCTGTGCCATTTTAAAAAAATGCTCAGTCTCTCAGTATTAGCCTCAACACAAGTTTGCAGAGGCCCAGTTTGGGGGCCGGAGTGGGGACAGTTCAGAGACCTGGAGTGGCAGCAGTGACTGCCCAGAGGACTCCCAAGGAGAGGGGAGAAGAGAGGAGGCTGATGGAACCCTCCACAAGGGAGGGAGAGGGGCTGCCGGCTCTGCAGGCAAGAGGTGACACAACTGGGCTCCTGAGCCCCACAGTAGTCTACAGAAAGAATGTAGTTGGTCAAGGGAGCTGTGGACTCAAAAAGATTGAAAACCTCTGCTCTAGCCAATGATCCCAAACTGTCTTTGACGCTGGAAAAAAGACACAACCACAGTATAGCTCAACTCTTGTTTCTTGGGTAGCTCATTGACAGTGCCAGAATGAGGGTGGTGTAGGCGGTTCCCCCATCCAGGTATTAATAATAAAACCTATACTTCTACGGGTACCTACTCAAAGTTAAACCCTGGGTTATTGAGTCACCACAACTATGACATAATGCACTTGAGAGCATGCGCTGAATGGAAGGCGGGAGGCAGAAGGGTGCCAAATGAATCTTTGGGGCACTAAATTTTGTCCTCGCTCAGAGCGCCATATTCCTAAAGTCTGCCCCTGCCATTGAGTGAGATGCCTTTTTGTGCATCTCAGTGGAGCTGAAGTTCCTCCTCCAGATGTCACTGGACTGCAACTCCCATCAGTTTCCCTGATTACAAAAGCAGATAAAGAAGCCGGTTTTGTTTCTGACACAGTTCATTAAAATGGCAATCAGCTTAATTTTATGGCTTAATTTAAAAACACAGCTAAATGAGCAAACAAATGATCTCAAGATCTTGATAGACCCAGAATTGTTATAGTCATCTGCTGATTTTCCTTCTCTTTTGCCTCTTTCAGAAAGTCATCCTACCACTGATTGTTTTGCCCCATGGGTTTTGCTTCCTTGGCCCCTTCAAAGCAGAGATAAAAAATGGCAACATTGTCAAGCAGCCTATTAATATGAGCAAAGGATGATTTGATGCTTTGAACACACACACACACACACACACACACACACACACACACACGTAAAGGACCCCTGTCCAGTCCAGCCAAAGGCGACTATCTCACTATATAAATTTGTTTTCCTACATTTTGTTAACAGTTATTTTCCAATTCAACAAAACTAGTGATTCCCGCTCACCCAACATTGATGCTTATTCACCCAATTATCCAATTTCATCCTCTTTAGCATGTTTCTTAATATGTTCTGCTCTTTTCTTACACTTCAACCCCTGCTATGGTCTTCTCGTATGGGAAAGAACCTCTTAAATTGACTACAGACTGAGCTATAAGGCCGTCTTTAGCATAGGCTCCACGGGGGTGCAAAGATCCGCCCAGCGCCCCCAAATTTAGTTTAGCTCCCAAATTAACTTTTATTATGCTTGTGTCACTATTATCATTTGATAAATAGCGCTCACACCTGCGCAGCTCCAAAAGGAGGGCTTTTTTGTGTTGTTTGTTTAAAACCAGCTTTTCTAAAGAAGACAAAGAACACTTGTAAAGTGTAAAGACTCCAGGCATGCGCTTACAGTCGTAGGGAGGTGTCTGGAAGATGAGACGGGCGGGCATTGTGCGCATGCGTGGGAGAGCCGTCTCGGGCAGCCTTTCATTGTGGGAGCAACCTTCTTTCTAGAAGAGCTGGGAGGGCCCTTGTGAGCACACATATATGAGTTCTTCTTGGGAAGGTTCCGGAGCCTGCGCACACTCCCGTCGCTAGATAGGCATGTTCTCTTTCTGTCTCTCCCTCTTTCCTGTCACTCCCCCTCCTCCCAGCTTTGGTGAGCGGCAGGCATGCGGCGCAAGATCAGTCGTGTGAAAGGTCATCCCTAGCTAACAGGACCAGTCATCAGGGATGGTGGGAATTGTAGTCCCAAAACATCTGGAGGGCCGAGTGTGGCCATGTCTGCCTTAAGCAGTCCTCCTTAAAAGATTCTCAATTTGTGTCTCTAATCATTGCCTCAGTTTTGCCCTCTCTGCATATTCCAGGATTTCCATCAGCCATTCTTCCTTTGAGGGTATCCTCTTATCCTTCCATTTCTATACGTAGAGAATCCTTGCCACTGTAGTTACATACATAAATACAGCTGAGGCTTTCTTTGGAATTTTGCTTTCTAACATCCCCAGCAGGAAGAATTCTGGCCTCTTGGGAAAGGTCAGTTCATCCCCCCCCCCCCATTATGTATCATGTCCCAAAAGGCCTTGGTCTTCCTGCAGATCCACCGCATTTGATAAAATGATCCCTCACAGTTCTTGCATTTGCAACATTTCTTTGATACATTCTTATACATTTGAGCTAGTTCTTTGTAGATAGAAACCATCTGCACATCTTAGTTGCTCACTAAGTTTCAAATTTTGTTGAACTTTTTAAGCTTACATGCATTTTCCTGAAAGCTGAATAGATCTCTGTATAGAACCCATTTAGGCTGCATGTTTATTCTTTTATGCACAGAGGCCTCTTTAACTGTGTGTCTGTCTGTCTGTCTGTGTGTGTGTGTGTGTGTGTGTGTGTGTGTGTGTGTGTGTGTGTGTAACTGGTCCTGAAAGCAACTGCCTCTCCCACTCTGGAGGGCACAGCTAAAGAATACCAGGCCATCTAGTCTCGGTTCTAAAACTTCCAAGAAAGGCCAGTCCCACCTTCCCAGGTAATCTGTTTCTGAAGAAATTTGTGTTTGTTCATGCTTCAGTCATCAGGCATCTTTAGCAACCTTGCGGTCAGGGGCTTTTTAGCAAGAAGGGAGAGGCACCAAGGGCCACACAGGGAGGAAAACATGGCCCCCCAGGACCAGATTACGGCTGTGCCGAGGCAGAAATCACCACTTCCTTGGAGCCCCACGGAAGTGAATTCCTCAGCAATATTTTGGGAGATGTACGTGGGTAGCGCTGTGGTGTAAGCCAGTGAGCCTTGGGCTTGCCGATCGGAAGGTCAGAGGTTCAAATCCCTGCAACGGGGTGAGCTCCTGTTGCTTGGTGCCAGCTCCTGCCCACCTAGCAGTTCGAAAGCACGTCAACGTGCAAGGAGATAAATAGGTATCATTCCAGCGGGAAGGTAAACGGCGCTTCCATGCACTGCTCTGGTTTCGCCGGAAGTGGCTTAGTCATGCTGGCCACATGACCCGGAAAAACTGTTTGTGGACAAAGGTCAGCTCCCTCGGCCAGTAAAGCCAGAGTCGTTCACTAGACTTAACTGTCAGGGGTCCTTTTACCTTTTTACAAGTAGCGAGCTACACTTCCAGAGTAGTTTAACAATCAATCCCTCTTCCCAGGCAAGTTTATTAAAACTTCAGCTGTAGGGAGACCTTGGCTTAGGCATTGGGTATTTATCCCTCCCAGTCCCTGGCCAGGGATCTGGGGAACATCAGGGTTATCCAGAAAATGTGGGGATTGGGCTGGCTCTGGAGAATGTCTGTTCTGCCCCCCATTTCGACACCGTGGCAGGAGGAGAGCAATGACAACCTAACGGCGTATGGCCAATGCCTCCCCTCAAAAGAACCCCTTTAATGGGGAACCCTGGGATCGCTGCTGCAGGGGTGGCGGTGTGGGTCACCGCTTCGCCCCCCCCCCCCATTTAGGGAAGACAGACTAAAGGATTCCGCCCAAGGCCTGAAACCGCCAAAGTTGTGACGTTTTGCTATGGGGAAGGCAAAATCTGCCAATGCAGGAAAATTCCTTTCCAGCCCTTCAACAGCGACCATAACGTAGCAGCGCCTGCGTACCTGTGGAGAAGAGGTTAACCTGCAAAAGAAGTCTTAACTGAGGGAGGGCAGGGTGGGAGAAGCTCTGGAGCCGACTGAGAACTCCCAGGCAAGTTCTGCCCACTGTTGTGTGGGCTGGTCAGTCCCTCCGGTGACCTGGCCAACTCTCTCCTGGCAACGCAGGAGATGTCCACAAGTTCTACTCTTATGAGAGATAAAAACTTTACTTTCTCCACTTTGCTCCACCCCCTTGTTCATTTTGCTGGCCTTTTTTGACAGTATCCTTCTTGAGGTGAGGCTGTAAAGACAAATATCTAGAGCCATATCTCTTGCAGAACTCAACCCTATCCTGGTCTAATAACATTTAACATGATTTTCCTGTTCCCGGTTCTGGTTCTGATCTGCACTTATCAGTGAATATCTCCGGAAGACGTAGAACTCTCCAGGCTGTTCTTGTAAACATTTATGTCATCAGAAGCAAATGTTTCCTTCCTGGCAAGCATTTCCTTCCCCCGTTAGGACCTCCATCCCTCTCATTTTGCCCCTCCTCCTTCCCATTTGTATAAAAGGGGGCATGGGATACTCCACAGACTTACAGGAAGGACACCAGAGCTCTTTCCTCCACGCCCCAATAAGAGTTTGCCAGCAACTCATTGAAAAACCAAGATGGTAAGTGGAATGCTTTGGGGACGGTTGGTACACAATTTTTTCTTTATTCTAGATTAGGTTTAAATGGTGGAAAGGGAGATTTGTGTGTGGAGAGGGGGTGTGCAAAGGCATTCAGAATTATGAGGATTGAGTATCTCAGTTGCTGAGGCTTTCTCAGACTCCAGGCTTATCTGGAGGCTTATCCACCCTTACTTTTCCTCTGCTTTTTCCAGGCACAGTCTGTGCTTTTTAGCAGGGGTAGGCAACCTAAGACTGGATGCGGCCCAATCGCCTTCTCAATCCGACCCGCGGACGATCTGGGAATCAGTGTGTATTTACATGAGTAGAATGTTTCCTTTTATTTAAAATGCAACTCTGGGTTATTTGAGGGGCATAGGAATTCGTTCATATTTCCCCCAAAAATATAGTCCAGCCCACCACATGCTCTGAGGGACGGTGGACCGGCCCACGGCTGAAAAATATTGCTGACCCTGCTTTATAGCTTTAGAGCTCACATTTGGGGATCAAATCCAAAGCCGGGATGGCTTTTGTAATTCTGGAACTGTCCCTGGAAAATCAGAGCATTTGGAGGTTATGCCTTCTCTCTATCCAGACCCCCATTCAGACCAGTGCTCACAACATTATTTAGTTATCTTTAGCTGGGGTAGTGAAACTTTTTTTATATAAATTCCAGTGCAACCCCGCTGCTCAGGTTAATTACTTAGGACTCATTACAATGACCTACAGTTGGAACTCTCACAGCAACAACTCCAGGGTACAAACCACATAGCCTGAGCTTCCCTCTGACTGTTTTCTTTCCTGCATTTGTCAGGAAATTGGCCGGGGGAATTGGCCAAAGGCATTTTCTTGGCCAACCTGAGCATCACCCTGTGCTTTAATGTAAATAGTCATTTATCTCTGAACGCTCCTCTCTTTGCTGTGGCTCAGAATCCAAAACTGATGGACTTTGAGAACAGATATATAAACAAAATCGATGTTTCTGAGGTATTGAATGCTATGGGATTTGTGGGGGAGGGCAGTTTACTTTATAAAAAATCCCACTAAGTATAAAATGACCCAACTCAGCTACTGAAGTGTATAAGCTTAATGTAGAGGGAATTTTTCAAAGGCCTTGGGTTGAATCCAGTGCGAATCATACCCAGAGTAGATCCATTGAAATTGATGGACAAGACTAACTAAAAGGGTAAAGGGACCCCTGACCATTAGGTCCAGTCGTGACCGACTCTGGGGTTGCGGTGCTCATCTCGCTTTATTGGCCGAGGGAGCTGGCGTACAGCTTCCGGGTCATGTGGCCAGCATGACTAAGCCGCTTCTGGAGAACCAGAGCAGCGCACAGAAATGCCGTTTACCTTCCCACCAGAGCGGTACCTATTTATCTACTTGCACTTTGACGTGCTTTCGAACTGCTAGGTTGGCAGGAGCAGGGACCAAGCAACGGGAGCTCACCCCGTTGCGGGGATTCGAACCGCCAACCTTTTGATCGGCAAGCCCTAGGCTCTGTGCTTTAGACTAACTTAGGCACATTAATTTCATTGGCTCTGCTCTGACTAAAATTTAGTCACATACAATGCATTTTTTAACAGCAAGAGAGGCTATAAATATGATAACACCATCTTGAATGATTTGTGCATGTGTGTGCCTCTTTTGCAGAAAATCCTCTTGAGCCTGGCTGCCTTGTCTTTGACACCTGCCTTGTGTCAGGGATCCTGCATGTTTAGCGGGTTCAAAGCAGAGATTAAAGATGGTAAGTTAATAACAGCAGCAGCAACAACAACAGCAGCAACAACAACAAGAAATGATGTTGTCAAGCAGCCTATTCATTTAGCCAAATCAGTATTTAATGTTTGGGAAATGTGTTCCTGACTAGAGATTTTTTAGCATACACCTACCAAATCTGCTCTTGCAGAACCAGAACACAGAACAAAGTGCAGCTACCTTCAAAATCTACACTTCTTTGGATGTTGTGATGCTGCTCAGAGTCTAAAATGACCTGACGCTGCTCCCGTCTCATCTTCTCATTGATGAGTCCCTGCTTAAGCTCTTACTTTTATTATGTATTTTGTGTTCTTTATATTGTATTTTTAGGTTGTGAACTGCCCTGAGGATGGTATATAAATAGTAATAATAATAATAATAACTGGTAGAAATTGAAACGGCCAAAATCCCCATCCCCAGGGCACCCCATTCACTCCCACCCTGTTTTAAGCTTGGAACCACCATCTGCAGACGCAAGCAGGAGACTGCATGGCCGCAGTATAAGCAAGACAGACGTCCAGGGTCACTACCTTTCTTGTCAGCAACCAGGACATGCAAGAATAAAGGTGGCAAAGCTTCCCACTCCACTCCATGTCAGGAAACACTTTACCTACTACATTTTCACGTATCAGGCTGCTGTCAGAAGCACAGGAGGAGCTGGACAAGTGGACAAGTTGCAGCCACTGTGCTTCTCTTGCACAGTCTCTGCATTGTGCTGAGCAGCAGCTTCTGATTTCACGAGCTGTTTGGGGGCTGATGTTAAATGTATAGGATTTCTCTCCCTAGGTCAGCCGGTGCTGCCCACTGAGTGTACTGATCCCATTGATGGGAGCAAGCATCCATTCGGCTCCAAGTGGAATACACCGAATTGCATGGAATGCATATGTAATGAAATGGGAATGGCGTGCTGTGCCAGGTAGGCCAAATACCCAGAATGGCACTGGGTCTATAAATCTATTTCAAATTATTTTGCCCCGTTCTCTCTGAAAGACCTTCTGCTCAATTAAAATTCATGGACGGAATGAGCTGAAGACGGGTGTCCCAATTAATCTTTACATCTGATAGGTTGCATGTCCAGAGTGCCTTTCCAATCATGCGATGACCAGGCATTCGGTGTGCGGAAGCTTGGACTTTGGGATCTCCCTGAGTCCCAGATCCTCTCATCCGGAGACCACCTAGGAGCTGGTGCTGGGGAGAGGGACCCCGATGCGCCCAATGGAACAGGACCCCTCCTCTTTCCTGCACCTTCCTGTCTCCTTCTGTCTCCCTCCTGGCTGGCCTCTTGGTTTTGCACCAACATTTTGCTACACCCTTTTTTGTGCATGGGTGCTGCCCTCAACCACCGCAAACATATTGGGGGGGGGGGGAAATCATCGTACAGCAACATGCAATGGCATATTGTGCAAGACATGTCCTTTGTGCATTCAGCTTGGGTTCCCCAGGTGAATTTGGCCTCAGGCCAAATGTTTTCCAAGGGCTTGGTTTTCCCTGGATGGAGCAAACATCTTGCAAAACTGCTTTTCTGCCAGGCAGTTCCAATCATTCTTGGCATGTCCTAAGTGAGCAGGAGAAAGGAGCGCTCCTCTACAAGATCTCCATAAGCTCAGGGAAGCCTTTGTTTACACATTCTTCTTCTTCTTCTTTTTAGGTACTTTGGTCATATCGAACGTCAGGGATGTAAAACACTGTTCAATCCAAACAAATGTGAATATGAGTTCTATAAACTTGATGATCCCTCCAAGCCCTGTCCCTGAGCTTTACAAATCCCACCCAAATTCCTTTCATGTAAAAGAATCTGAATAAATCAGTCATATATGCATTTCAGTGTGTATCTGTTGTCTTTGCTTGATATCACTACTTGCAGAATTTGGTACATATCATAATGAAAGTGATGGACATGCCTATCTCAGCTATCAGCAGCTTTTTAGATTCTAATGGATTATTAAATATTGCTCAATTTGATATACACTGTTTATTTTAAAATTATTGTGACTTTTTTCTTTTGTATTGGATCCGATACAAGTCACTCACCAATCACAATCAGGGCTGAACCCCCTGACAGACAGGAGTGGCCAGGCTGGCTCATTTAACAGAAGTTGCTTAGAACATGCACATTATGCTTCATAACCTTCTGCCTAGAAGGGTTAGAGACTCACCTTTTAACATTTATTTTTATTATATTTGTATACTGCCCTCCACCCAAAGATCTCAGGGTGGTTGGCAGCATAAAAATACGAAATAAAAACACAAAATACATACTAAAAACAGGAAGAGAAAAAGAAAAGAAAAAGGAAAACTACCTCTCAAGAAAGGAGGAGGAGTGGCGTTATATGTCAGGGATGTGTATACCTGTGAAGAGATCCAAGATTTAGAACCTCAAAGCCAAAGTGAGAGCATTTGGGTCAAAATTAAGGGAGAGAAGAATAACAGAGACCTCATTGTGGGAGTTTACTATAGATCCCCAAGCCAAATGGAGGACATAGATGATGCCTTCCTGGAACAGATGGCCAAGCATGCAAAAGGAAGGGAGATAGTAGTAATAGGGGACTTCAATTACCTGGATATTTGTTGGATGTCAAACTCAGCCAAGAGCATAAGGTCAAACAGATTCCTCACTGGCCTTGCAGACAACTTCATTGTCCAGAAAGTGGGAGAAGCAACAAGAGGAACAGCCATTTTAGATCTGGTCCTAACCAATGTTGATGACCTGGTTAGTGGGGTAGAAGTGGAAGGATCATTAGGCGCGAGTGATCATGCTCTTCTGAAGTTTACTATATAGTGGAAAGGAGCAGCCAAGCATACTAGGACTCAATTTCTTGACTTTAAGAAAGCCGACTTCATAAAACTTAGGGAAGTGCTGGGTGAGATCCCATGGACAGTAATACTAAAAGGAAAGGGAGTTCATGATGGCTGGGAGTTTGTTAAGAGGGAGATAGTAAAACCACAACTTCAGGCAATACCAATGAGACGGAAACATGGAAGGTGCCTAAAGAAGCCAGGGTGGCTATCTAAAGAACTTTTAACTGAGTTAAGATTAAAAAAGGATGTGTACAAAAAATGGAAAAGGGGGGAAACCACCAAAGAGGAATTCAAACAAATAACCAGCACGTGTAGACACAAAGTCAGAAAAGCTAAAGCACAGAATGAACTCAGGCTTGCTAGAGAGGTTAAAAGCAACAAAAAAGGCTTTTATGGGTATGACCGTAGCAAAAGGAAGAACAAAGAAACAGTGGGGTCGCTCAGAGGAGAAGATGGTGAAATGCAAACAGGGGACACAGAAAGGGCTGAACTCCTCAATGCCTTATTTGCCTCAGTCTTCTCCGATAAAGAAACAATGCCCGACCTGAAGAATTTGGAGCAAATGATTCAGCAAAGGAAACACAGCCCAGAATAACTAAGGAGATAGTACAAGAATACTTGGCTAGTTTAGATGTATTCAAGTCTCCAGGGCCAGATGAACTGCATCCAAGAGTATTAAAAGAACTGGCAGATGTGATCTCAGAACCACTGGCAGTCATCTTTGAGAATTCCTGGAGAACAGGCGAAGTCCCGGCAGGCTGGAGGAGGGCAAATGTTGTCCCTATTTTCAAAAAGGGGAAAAGAGAGGACCCAAATAATTACCGCCCAGTCAGTCTGACATCAATACCAGAGAAGATTCTGGAGCAGATCATTAAGCAAACAGTCTGTGAGCACCTAGAAAGGAATGCTGTGATCACCAATAGTCAGCATGGATTTCTGAAAAATAAGTCATGTCAGACTAACCTGATCTCATTTTTTGACAGAATTACAAGCCTGGTAGATGAAGGGAACGCAGTGGATGTAGCCTACCTTGATTTCAGCAAGGCATTTGACAAGGTGCCCCATGATATTCTTGTAAAGAAGCTGGTAAAATGCGGTCTTGACTATGCTTCCACTCAGTGGATTTGTAACTGGCTGACTGACCGAACCCAAAGGGTGCTCATCAATGGTTCCTCTTCATCCTGGAGAAGAGTGACTAGTGGGGTGCCACAGGGTTCTGTCTTGGGCCTGGTCTTATTCAACATCTTTATCAACGACTTGGATGATGGACTCAAGGGCGTCCTGATCAAATTTGCAGATGACACCAAACTGGGAGGGGTGGCTAACACCCCAGAGGACAGGATCACACTCCAAAACAACCTTGACAGATTAGAGCACTGGGCCAAAACAAACAAGATGAACTTTAACAGGGAGAAATGTAAAGCATTGCACTTGGGGGGAAAAATTAGAGGCACAAATACAAGATGGGGGACACCTGGCTTGAGAGCAGTACATGTGAAAAGGATCTAGGAGTCTTGGTTGACCACAAACTTGACATGAGCCAACAGTGTGACACGGCAGCTAAAAAAGCCAATGCAATTCTGGGCTGCATCACTAGGAGTATAGCATCTAGATCAAGGGAAGTAATAGTGCCACTGTATTCTGCTCTGGTCAGACCTCACCTGGAGTACTGTGTCCAGTTCTGGGCACCACAGTTCAAGAAGGACACTGACAAACTGGAACGTGTCCAGAGGAGGGCAACCAAAATGGTCAAAGGTGTGGGAGGACTTCCGGGGTGGTGCCATCGGCAATGGCGGACTCCCTCTGATCTGGAGGGACTAGCTCCACACGAAACGGGTTTTTTCCGCTACGGCGAAGCGGGGACCCATTCAAAAATCACAGGCGGATGAAGCCTGTGACCATGGGACTTGGCGGGCACCCTTAGCGCCCCCCCCAACCCGCAAAGGAACCCACTAACGGGCTCCGAAGCAAAGAGGGGGAAGTGGCGTGGTGCTGAGAGTCAACTGCTTCTTCCGTGGAGCGAAGCCGCATAGCGCTGCCTTTTTCCTGGGACAATTTGGCTTCTAAAATAATCACCCGTGAGTACTTAAATTTCGGACAATTGGATTTTAAATAAGGACTTGCGAGCGGAAAGGAATTGGACTTAAAAATTTACTTCAATTTGGCACTGAAACGGGAAGGTCTAAACAGGAAGTCAGCCTTCCGTTTCTTTGTAGACAGATTAAAGCAAAGACAAGGTAAACTAGAGCTCAGAAAATCGCTTCTAAAAGATTAACTTTCATCATTTAAAATTGTTGAGCCCCCCTTCGGAAGCAGGAGAAGAAGGGGGATTTTTTTCGGACTGTTTAAACCTGCAGAAGTGAGTTTAAAGTACAGTAACTTTCCACCGTCTTGATCCTGGAGCGGGGTGTCAGGACTGACTTTTTTTTTGAAGCTCATTGACCAGAGGCAAACGTTTTTGACAGTTAGTTAAAATAAGTGAAATATAGTGATTCCATTGTTCCCCTTCGCATTTTAAAGGAACAAATATCGACAAAATATTTGAAAAAAGGAAACTTTGTTGCTAGATTTGTCCTTAAAAGAAAGAACTAATAGAATTTTCCCCCCTAGAGGGAGACTGTGAAACTGTAACCAATTCCAGGGAGCTTGCAGCTGTTACAGATTACAATCGCGGGAATAGACTTTTGACCTTGAAGGACAATGTATTCAGAAGCTCTGTTGTGTGCTCTCTGTAAAACAAATGCCCTACTGGAACAATTAAATGAGAAGACGGATTTGATGACTGATGCGATCAGAATTTTTGAACAGGCAGTGGGAAACTATATGGAGCCCACCCAGGAATTAAATCAGGAGTGTGCCCTGACAGAACAGATGAGAGAAGAGGATGTTGCTGAATCTTGGGCACCAGAGATGGAGGGAGCTGTGGCCCTGCAGGAACATGAGCTTTTGGATTTGACAAATGAACTTGGAAAAAGCCAGATTTGGAAAGGTAAAGTTTGGACTGGTTTGGAAATGGGGGGTTGGATAGACACTCCTATGCAGGGATGTTTGGACTTTTCAAGTCTGGCAATGGGCCGTGAGGTGCTTGGGGCTGTGGGGGCTCTTAATTTTGGAGGGATTCTGAAACATGTTTTTAAATACCACATGGAGTTTAGTCTGGACTATGGAAAAGGGGCTGATTTGTTGAAAAGGGTCAAAAACATTGCCAAGCTGGAGTTCCCACGAGTGAAAGGAGAATATGAAGAAGAGCCGCGGAAGGGACATGGAAGGGACTTAAGGGCCTCGGATATAAGGTTACCAGGTTAATGCGCTAGATTAATGGGATAAAAAGGACTGACAAAACCCGTGACCAGGAGGAAGGGACGCTAGATGAAGATTGGATTGTTTTTATATCTTTTTTTTATTACTAGGATTGTTTTATAAAATTGATGAATGTTAGAAAAATGTTGGAACGAAATTACTTGGCTTTAGCAAAAATGTTTAAAGAATTAGGTAAGAATATTATGGTTATGAGAAGTTGGTAAAAATAAGATTTAAGTTTTAAGTTTTAAGGTTCTTTATAAGATAAAAGGAAAATAGATTAAGGTAATGTAATGACAGAATATTATGAAATATGGAAAGGATTTGCTGCGACAATTAACAACTAGGATACAAAAAAAGGGAGGAGGAGGAGGTCAAAGAAAGAAGGTAATGAAAGTTGAGGATTCGAGAATGATGGATTTGTTTTTGTGTGTTTGTTGTGTATTTTTGTTTTTTGAATTTGTATTGTTTGATGTGGTTTGTTTTTTCTTTGGTTTTTTTCTTTTCCTGCTTTATACTCTTTTGTAATTCTAAAATTTTTTCAATAAATATCATTTAAAAAAACAAAAACAAAATGGTCAAAGGTCTGGAAACGATGCCTTATGAGGAACGGCTAAGGGAGCTGGGCATGTTTAGCCTGGAGAAGAGGAGGTTAAGGGGTGCTATGATAGCCATGTTCAAATATATAAAAGGATGTCACATAGAGGAGGGAGAAAGGTTGTTTTCTGCTGCTCCAGAGAAGCGGACACGGAGCAATGGATCCAAACTACAAGAAAGAAGATTCTACCTAAACATTAGGAAGAACTTCCTGACAGTAAGAGCTGTTCGACAGTGGAATTTGCTGCCAAGGAGTGTGGTGGAGTCTCTTTCTTTGGAGGTCTTTAAGCAGAGGCTTGACAACCATATGTCAGGAGTGCTCTGATGGTGTTTCCTGCTTGGCAGGGGTTGGACTCGATGGCCCTTGTGGTCTATTCCAACTCTATGATTCTATGACTCTCCCACCCACTGGACCTCTTGGGAAGGAGGCACATGAAGAAGGGCCTCAGAAGATGATTGTAGGGTCCGGGTAGTGTCAGGCTTTGGAGGATCAGACCCCTCCCACGGTGGCAGCCAAGAGGCAGAGAAAGGATGAAAGTTCTTACCAAGCAATTTATTCAATAATTCACAAAGCGTGACAAAGGCATGCAGTCTTCCCTAAATAATGGCATTGCTCCAAGTAAAGTCCCCTCCCCTCCAGGTCTCCCCTATTCTACGTCACTCCTGCATCGGCTTATCTGAGCTGTCTGATTCTGAGCTCTCTGTTCTGCTACCCTCGATGCCCACCTGGCCCTGGAAGGGGGGCTGATCAGGAATCCTTTCCAAGGACACGGAGTCTGTCAGCTTTCTCTCCCCTGGTGCTGCTGCTTCTTCTGCTCTTCCTCTCCCAATATTTCCCAGCTTCTCCCCTCTGCAGCCTCTCGGTTATGCCCTTCTGCAAACCACTGTTCTAAATCTATACTGCCCTCCTGTTCTCAGGTTGGTTCAGGAGAAGGGGGGGTCCCCACCATTCCTCCTTAGTCCAGCCCCTGACCGGTAGGAGAGAGTCAGTCCTTGGTATTGTGATCCTGAGCCCTTTAAGGCTGGCACACAGCAACACAAGCAACAGGCAATTCCTGCACTTTTCTCCATCCAAACAAACCCTTTTTTTAAAAAAAGGAAAGTAGCCGCCTGTCACTCCCGCATGTGGCTGGCAGGCAGCAAAACTGAACAATTAGAGCAGCGAGCATGACATATACACCCCTTTCCAAAAACTCCTGTATGGCTAGAGCAGCTGCCTGGCCAGGATGTGGCAAACCAGCCCTGGCACCCCTCCCTGCTTTTCAAAAGCCCCTGCCTACAAGAGAATGTCTCCTGCCCCTTTTGTTAAGCAGCAAAGCAAAGAGAAGGCAAATGGGAATGATACCTTTCAGGTCTCCCACTTTTTCAAAAGGCAGCCCAAGCAGGGGAAGTGAAATGGCCTCAACACTTCTCCCACCCTTTGGGATGACGCAGAAGGATGCCCAGGCTTCCAAGAGAGTTGCCACTGCTGCAAACCGTAGGAAGGAAAAACAAAGAAGCTGTGATCCTACTTCTGCTAATGGTAAGACATGCTGGACATTTTGTCCTCTCCCTGGGGAAATTCAATGAAATCCCACTTTCTCTGCCCATAAATAAGCTGGAGGAGTTTTAAAGACTGTTGCTCAAAGCTCTGTTTCAAATATTCCTGAAGATGCTTCTGTTGCCATTCTTCAAAATGAACACAAACTAAAGTCTGAAGCAAATATTTTCTTCTCGTTAACTTTTTTTTTTTTGGACACATTAGTACACCAGAACTGCAACATGAAGAGGGCATCTCCTCAGCTTAATCTCTGGCCCCATATCTGCATACATTTGGGAGGCAGATTCCCTGCAGTCACTTGCAAGGAACAGCCCTTGGAGAAGCAGCTGTGTCTTAGCCGGAAGGATTTGTGCATCGAAAAGCCAGGATGGTAAGCAGAATTGTAATAATAATAATAATAATAATAATAATAATAATAATATGCCACCCATCTGGATTGTCCCAGCCACTCTGAGTGCCTTTCAACAAATTATGGTTTTATGTGTTAGTGTATCCAACAGTTTCTTACAACTGGATCTTGTAAAATGCTGGAAAAGTTGCAGTGGAAAGGCAGATTTACACGGATCAGCAGCGAAAGGATAAGGTGCTCTTGTCCTCTTTGACCTTTGGACCATCTACTGTCTGCCCTGCGTTCATCCTGTGCCTGCAGACCTTTCATGGTTTCCTGATGGTTTCTTTGGAACTTTGCAGGGAATTGGTTTGGTTTTTTTTAATAAAAACTAGATTTTAGAAGTAGGCTTCTGAAAACCTTTACAAATCAAGTTAACTAGCATAACATTTCTGAGTGCAGAATTCCTTTTTTCTTGGGAGGGGAGTCACAAACACACCCAACACAGATTCTGGGTATTTTGGAGTGGTAATTCTGTGCCATTTTAAAAAAATGCTCAGTCTCTCAGTATTAGCCTCAACACAAGTTTGCAGAGGCCCAGTTTGGGGGCCGGAGTGGGGACAGTTCAGAGACCTGGAGTGGCAGCAGTGACTGCCCAGAGGACTCCCAAGGAGAGGGGAGAAGAGAGGAGGCTGATGGAACCCTCCACAAGGGAGGGAGAGGGGCTGCCGGCTCTGCAGGCAAGAGGTGACACAACTGGGCTCCTGAGCCCCACAGTAGTCTACAGAAAGAATGTAGTTGGTCAAGGGAGCTGTGGACTCAAAAGATTGAAAACCTCTGCTCTAGCCAATGATCCCAAACTGTCTTTGACGCTGGAAAAAAGACACAACCACAGTATAGCTCAACTCTTGTTTCTTGGGTAGCTCATTGACAGTGCCAGAATGAGGGTGGTGTAGGCGGTTCCCCCATCCAGGTATTAATAATAAAACCTATACTTCTACGGGTACCTACTCAAAGTTAAACCCTGGGTTATTGAGTCACCACAACTATGACATAATGCACTTGAGAGCATGCGCTGAATGGAAGGCGGGAGGCAGAAGGGTGCCAAATGAATCTTTGGGGCACTAAATTTTGTCCTCGCTCAGAGCGCCATATTCCTAAAGTCTGCCCCTGCCATTGAGTGAGATGCCTTTTTGTGCATCTCAGTGGAGCTGAAGTTCCTCCTCCTTCTGCTTGTTTTTCAGAAAGATCTCCTCAGCCTGACTGTCCTCTGTTTCAGCCTGGCTTCCTGCTGTGGATTCTGCTTCCAAGAAGTGCATAAAATAAGGGTTAGAAATGGTAAGGCTACAGTGGGTGACTACCCGTTCCATTTGTTAGGGAGATTGCTGGCCAGTGGTCCTTAAGGGCCCATGTGGGGTGGTCAATTTAGTAAAGACAGTCCTCTATCTGGAGGGGGTCAGGGGCAGTTCTCTAGATGAAGAAGCCCTCTTTTGGAAGGAATGGCTGGTCCAAGATCAGTTCAAAGAAAAATTAGAGCAGGGGCCCTGAAGTTGCTCACCAACAATGAGCACCTAGGAAGCCAACCGGTTAGCCATACATATACATTGCACCTATACATATACAATAGCAGGTGCAAAGTTTGTGCAAATCTGTGCCCTCTGTTAGTAATGTCTTTCCTCTTTTTTGTGATCCATTAGTGGCCACTCATTGATATCTCTTTAGAGGAGCAAACTGTTAGATCAGGGGTCAGCAAACTTTTTCAGCCGTGGGCCGGTCCACCATCCCTCAGACCATGTGGTGGGCCGGACTGTATTTTGAAAAAAAATATGAACGAATTCCTATGCCCCACAAATAACCCAGAGATTCATTTCAAATAAAAGGACACATTCTACTCATGTAAAAAGACGCTGGTTCCTGGACCATCCACGGGCCGGAGTGAGAAGGCAATTGGGCCGCATCCAGTCCCCGGACCTTAGGTTGCCTACCCCTGTGTTAGATGGTTTCCTGTTGATAAAGAGATGCCCTTGAATGTGCCAAGGTCAGAGGCAGTGTCCCTCTGAACAGCACTCCATGCCACCCAGTGCAGGCATGGGGGGGGAGCGAGGGGTGAAGGACAAATGAAGCCCACCCAGCCCCCACCAGAGTGACACCAGCCCCAAGTGGCATGGCTGTTGCACCCCCCTCCCCAGCTCCGAACCTTGTGAGGCTCACACAAGGCTGGGATTGAAGGGCGCATGGTTGCCGCGTCCCCGCACCCCCTCCCTGAGCAGCCTTGCAAAGCTCGGATCGAGGGAGGGCGGCACAAGAAGGGCACAACAGCCATGGCATGCTGGGGGGCCTGCATTGGGGCACCTGCTTCACACCCCTTCAGAAACCTGTGCCCAGGGCCATTGCCCCTCTGGCTCTTCAATCTGCAGAGTTCATTTTATTTATTTATTTAGAGAGAGAGCGCGTGCAAGTTTTTAGCATTTGTAGAAACTGAGATCAAAATGTTCGCAGATGTATTAATCATTTTATTGCTTGCTGGGGTCCTTTTGGAGAAAGGATGAGATAGAAACAAAATAAAAAATAAAATAAAATGATATGCAGGTGCTATTCTCATCATTTTTAAAAAAGTGAAAAGCTTACCTACTCCCACCTTTCAGTTATTTATTTTATTTGGAGTATTTGCTTTGCTCTCATCTTTCTCTTGAAAAAAATCCTATGGACATCAGTAGGAGTTCCTATCTCCAAGTCTCTCTTTTCCCCCATAGATCACTTTATTTTGGTCGTTCCATTGCCTGCTGGTAGGTGGAGAGGCTTGGTGGAACCTTGACCAGTAAGGCAAGAGTGGGAGATGGATGAGGTCCCCCCTGCACAATTCTTTAAGGTGCCAGATATTATCCCCATGTCTCTTTGTGACTATGGCCTGGTTCAGATGCTCAGTGGCCCTGGCAGGATTGCCTGTGTCTGAGGCCACTGCCATTTGCACATGCGCACATCATCTTGGAAACACGGCTCTGTGAATGCACCTGCGTGTCTCAGCCCCACGGAGGCCTGAGGATTCTCCTCATGAGGCTCCATGCTCCCTCACATGGGGCAAACAAAGGAGCATGTGAGATATTTGTGCAACAGGCATCATTTTGAATACAGTTATCTTGTGTCTGGTTTCCCTGTTTGATGCTAACATGATAAAAAAGCAACAACAGCTCCATAAAGGAAGCAGCGGAAAGTTTCTTTCTTGTTTCCTTTTCAAACAAAGAAGCTCGTCTTATTTCTCTAGCAAGTGTCCTTCATGCATTCCATGACAGTATCTGTTTCACAGGTTAAGCCTGGGAATGTGGGAGCTATTATGTAGATTCCTGGTGACATAAGCCTTCTTTCATGAAACCCATTTCCCTTGCCTTAAAATTCCCTGGTGTCCAGGGGATTCCCGACACTGAGAGCATGTTATATATAAAAAATAGCTAGTAAGTGATTGCATCACATTGCAAGGAAGTGTATACGCTGTGTTTAGAACCCCACAATCTGATTCCCTTTTGCCTATCAGGTGTTTAGTGGGGTGCATCTGAAAGGGGGAAAAGGTTTGACCTTGTGCAAAGTGTGCAATTACCGTACATTTCCTGGGTAATTACATTTCCTGGGTTTCATTGATACTTGGAGGTTGATGCTATTGCCAAGGAGATTGGTGGGATTTCTTCTCCCCCACCCCAGGTGAACTCCTGCGTCCAAGTGAGTGTACGGATATATATGACGGGAGCCAGCATCCATTGGGAACTGCCTGGAATACAGCTGAGTGCATGCGATGTGAATGCAAGGAAGGAGGAATGGAATGCTGTGCCAGGTAGGCAAAAACCCTGAGTGGGATTGGATTTATTCACCCTATTGAAAGTAGGGTATTAGGAGTAGAAGCAGCAGCCCCTCTCTCCCGCTGCACATAGGGCAGGGCCTTTAGAAGTGGGAGATCAACAGTAGGTGGCTCCAGAACCAGCTAGTTTTAGCTTTGCCTCCATGTTGCTTCCTGCTGAGTTTTGCTGAGACTAAGGAGGAGGAAGCTGCCAAGGCAGTGCCACCCCTGGACTGATTTGCAAGTAGGCAGGCAGGTTTGGTCAGACTGAGGTGGGTGGGTCAGGGCATTTGCCCTAATGGACCAGCCTCCACCAGGCAGGGCAAAGAGCAGTTGGAAGGAGAGCTTGTAGCCTCAGTAGGCGGGTGGAGATTTCTCCATCATTTGAGAGGGTAGCACATGCCCAGCTCTGACGATAATTCTGCATATGGATCCAAATAGTTCCTTCCTTAGTATTCCTCAAAAAAGAAACAAGCCCTGATACCCTCAGCATCATAGTAAGCTGCCTTATACAGAGTCAGACCATTGGTCCATTTACAGTGCTCAGCACTGTCTGCCGTGACTGGCACTGGCTTTGCAGGGTTTCAGGCGGGGGCCCTGGTAGGCTGGCCCTCCCTGGAGAACCTCACAACCTCTTTTAGTGCTCAGCTCTGCTCCAGAAAGTACAAAGAGGGGTCTGAGCACAGTGCAGAGTCACTTTGCCTCACCATTGCAGGATAGTCCCTGGCCCTAAGCTAGTTGGAACTGTGTTGTTGACCACCAACACTATGAATTGGAACCAGAAACAAACTGGAAGCCAATGCAACTGATGTAAGACCAGTATAACATGGTCTTAAAAACATACACCAGAAAGCAAAGCAACTGTTGCCTTTTGTCCAAAGCTGCAGTTTCTGAACATTCTCCCAGGGCAGCTCCAGGGAAAGCATGTTGTAGTCATTGAGCCAGGAGATGACGAGGTGATACAGGAATGGATGCAGGTGGTACATCAGCTGCAGGTGGGCAAAATGCTCCTGGGCACACCAGCCACCCAGGCATGCAGAAGCATTGCCAAATCCAGGAGCACTCCCCAAACTCTCTTGATAGACAGGGATGGGGAACTTTAAGACTGGGGGTCAGATGTGACCCTGCAGTTCTCTCTTTCTGGCCCTCAGGACCCTGGCAAGGCCATGGCTCATCCTGGTCATGTCCTGTGCTCCTTTCAAGTGATGTTGCCTCTCTGAAATGGGACTTTGTTGTCTGGAAAGAGAAAAGTTCTGGCTTCTGCCTGGCTGGAACATAGCCTGTGATACAAAAGAAAGAGTCCCATCCTTTGCTCTGCGCACTTTAGCCACCACTAACTTGTGCCCCTCCCCAAGTTGCCCACTGGGGAATGCAGCCCTCAACTTGAAAAGGATTCTTCACCCTGTTGTAAATCCTTATTAAGTATCTTTATGAAAAGGTGGTCCATAAATGATTTAAAAATAGAATTTTTCTTTTTCTTTTCAGATATGGTGGCATTCTAGATGTTGTAGGATGCAAAGCAGTGATTGATCCAGAAACGTGCCAGTATAAGTTATATAAGCTTGATGACCCCACAACGCTGTGTGCCTATTAATTTCCAGAGGGTCCTGGCAGTGTCCTCCCTGGGAGTTCACTCTCTTTTGAGGTGGCCTCTGGACAGACCCACTTTGGGGACTGTTTTAAGCCTCACCTTCCATGTGTCTCACCTGCCGAACAGCGAAACAAGGGACCGGCTTGAATTTCATATTAACTTAATGCTTGCTAAATGCTAAAACAACAGCAGCAGATTCTCACTCCCAGTAGAGAACATAAGTGATCTTCAGTTGTGGGGATGGCTTTCAACCCAAGAGTCACATCCCCTCCCCACAGGGCCAGTGGGGGGGGGGGCAGAGGGACAAAGTTGGTGCAGCAATAGATGTGAACCTGACCTTTGTACCACAGGCTACATTCCAGTCCCACAAATCTAGGGTGTCTCCCCCATCTTCCCCACATATCTCTCCATCCAAACAATACAGTTCAGAATCACATTCTTGCAGATCAAAGCATTTGAGGAGGGGGCAGAGCAGGGCCAGAGAGGGTGTGGCCTGAGAAGGAGACAGGATTCGGGGAGATCCTGACATGGGATGGATAGCGAGGCCTCCAGGGTTGCCTGGATCCCCCAGGCCTGCAGACCCACCACCACCACCTAAGGAACACTGACACCATTGGTTACCAGATATATATATATATATATATATATATATATATATATATATATAATGATATTTATTAAAGTTTCTAAGAAAAGATTACATAGATAAAAAGAAAGGAAAAAGAAAAAAAAGAAAAAAGAAAAAATACAAATTACAGAAAAAAGATTAAAAAAAAACTTTAAAAACACATCGATCTTTCCATACCTTACATTTCATTTCCTTACTTCCCTGACTTCCTCACACCTCCCCTTTTTGTATTCCCGTTTACAAAATCCTTTCAGCAAATCCTTACCCTCTTTCATTTATCTTTACTCTGTATCTTAACCTATTATAACTATATATTTTCATCCATATAACTATCAATATTTACATATTCTTATTAACCTTATTACCAAAACCACTTATTTTCAGTCCAACATCATTTTAACATTCATTAATTTTACAGTATTTCTGCAAATAGTCTTTAAACTTCTTCCAATCTTCTTCCACCAACTCTTCTCCCTGGTCTCGGATTCTGCCAGTCATTTCCGCCATTTCCATATAGTCCATCACCTTCATCTGCCATTCTTCCAAAGTGGGTAAATCTTGTGTCTTCCAATACTTTGCAATAAGTATTCTTGCTGCTGTTGTAGCATACATAAAAAAAGTTCTATCCTTCTTTGGCACCAATTGGCCGACTATACCCAAGAGGAAGGCCTCTGGTTTCTTCAGGAAGGTAAATTTAAATACCTTTTTCATTTCATTATAGATCATCTCCCAGAACGCCTTGATCTTTGGGCACGTCCACCAAAGGTGAAAGAATGTACCTTCAGTTTCTTTACATTTCCAACATTTATTATCGGGCAAATGATAGATTTTTGCAAGCTTGACTGGTGTCATGTACCACCTATAAATCATTTTCATAATATTCTCTTTTAGGGCATTACATGCCGTAAATTTTATACCTGTGGTCCACAACTGTTCCCAGTCAGCAAACATAATGTTATGTCCAACGTCCTGTGCCCATTTAATCATGGCAGATTTAACCGTCTCGTCCTGAGTGTTCCATTTTAACAGCAAGTTATACATTCTTGAAAGTATCTTTGTTTTAGGATCTAACAGTTCTGTTTCCAACTTTGATTTTTCCACCTGGAAGCCATTTTTTTTGTCTAAATTATAAGCCTCTCTTATTTGATAATAGTGAAGCCAATCTCGCACTTTATCTTTTAGTTTCTCAAAACTCTGCAGTTTCAATTTGTCTCCTTCCTGCTCCAAAATTTCCCAATATTTCAGCCATTTGGCCTCCATATTGAGCTTTTTCAGGGCCTTTGCCTCCATCGGTGACAACCACCTTGGGGTTTTGTTTTCAAGTAAGTCTTTATATCTTGTCCAGACATTAAACAATGCTTTCCTGACAATATGGTTTTTAAATGCTTTATGTGCTTTGACCTTGTCGTACCACAAGTATGCATGCCATCCAAAAACATTATTAAATCCTTCTAAATCCAAAATGTCTGTGTTCTCAAGAAGCAGCCAATCTTTCAACCAGCAGAAAGCTGCTGATTCATAATAAAGTTTGAAATCTGGCAGGGCAAATCCCCCTCTTTCTTTTGCATCAGTTAATATTTTAAATTTTATTCTGGGCTTCTTGCCCTGCCAGACAAATCTAGAAATATCTCTCTGCCACTTCTTGAAACAATCCATTTTGTCTAGAATTTGTAATGATTGAAACAAAAACAGCATTCTCGGCAATACATTCATCTTTATAGCAGCAATTCGACCCAACAAGGAAAGCTTCAGATTTGACCATATTTCTAAATCCTTTTTCACATCCGACCAACATTTTTCATAATTGTCTTTGAATAAGTTCCCATTTTTAGCTGTCATATTAATCCCCAAGTATTTCACCTTCTTAACCACTGTTAAACCTGTCTCATTCTGAAACCTCTCTTTCTCAATCATTGTTAAGTTTTTCTCAAGGACTTTAGTTTTTAACTTATTCAACTTAAATCCTGCCACATGACCAAATTCTTGGATCAGTTCTAATACTCTTTTAGTACTAGATTCTGGCTCCTGTAAAGTCAATACTAAGTCATCTGCAAAGGCTTTCAATTTATATTGTTTAGCTCTGACCTTTATACCCTTGATCAGATGGTCCCTTCTAATCATATTTAACAGAACCTCCAGGACCGAAATAAAAAGTAATGGGGAAATTGGGCAGCCTTGTCGTGTCCCTTTCTCTATCTTGAATTCCTCTGTCACCACATTGTTAACTATTAGTTTAGCCTTTTGTTCTGAATAAATTGCACTTATACCATTTTCAAACCCTTGACCGACCCCCATCCCCTGAAGATTTTTCTTCATAAAGCTCCAAGAAATATTGTCAAAGGCTTTCTCGGCATCCACAAAGATTAAAACTGCTTTGGTATTACTGTCCTCTTGCAACTTCTCCAAAATGTTAATTATATTCCTCGTATTGTCAGACAAGTGTCTGCCTGGGAGAAAGCCAGCTTGGTCCTTATGTATCTCTTCCCCTAATACTTTTTTTAGCCTTTTAGCCAAAATGTCAGCAAATATTTTGTAATCCACATTTAACAGGGATATGGGTCGGTAGTTTTTAAGTTGTGTCTTTTCAGACTCAGTTTTCGGTACAAGTGTAATATATGCTTCTTTCCACGACTCTGGCGCTTTTTCCCCCTCCAAAATTTCATTGCAAACCTCCTTTAGTGGTTGAATTATCCAGTCCTTCAAAGTTCTATAGTATTTTGAGGTTAAACCATCCGGCCCTGGAGATTTTCCCAACTGCATATTCTGAATGGCACCTTCTACCTCCTGTTCCGTAATTTTGTAATTCAACATTGTCTTATTTTCTTGAGAGATTTTTTGCAATCCATTTGTTTTCAGAAACTGGTCTATATCAAACTCTTTCTGAGGCCCTTGTGTATATAACTGTTTAAAGTACCTCTGGAAACATTTTCTAATTTCCACTGGATTCTGAATGTTCTTTCCATCCACCTCCAAATTAGCAATAGTGTTTAGCTTTTGTCTTTTTTTCATCTGCCAAGCTAACAGTTTCCCACATTTATTAGTCGATTCAAAAGTCTTTTGTCTCATTTGTTTAATTTTCCATTCAATTTCCTGATTCATCATCTTCATATATTGCACTTGATGTAACTTTATTTCTCTCAGAATCTCTTGTGAATTTGGTTTCACTCTCAGTTTCTTCTTGCCCTCTTTTATTTTTTCCAATTTTTTTTTCTTTTTTCTCATTTTGGGCTCTCTTCTTTAATGAATTCTGTTGAATCAGGAACCCCCTCATAACTGCTTTGCTTGAGTCCCAGATTACTCTTTTTTCAACGGTAATGTTCAAGTTTATCTCAAAATAGTCTCTCAGGGTTTTTTGGGCCTTCTTGGTAACCTCTTGATCTCTAAACAAGGTGTCATTCATCCTCCATCTGAAGGAACTGGTTGGTGTTAGTTTCATCTCCATTTTCACGGCATTATGGTCGGAGCACGTCTTAGGGCAGATCTCTACTTTTTGAGTCTTAGGTGCCAGTCCTCTAGTTATCCAGATTTGGTCAATTCTTGTCCACGTCTTTTGGGCTTCAGAAAAGAAGGTTCCCTCTCTACCCAAGGGGTTCCTAATTCTCCAAATGTCAATCAAATCCATATTGTCAGTCAATTCAAAAAAAGTTTTTGGTAGTCTACCATCTTTAGTAACTACCTGTCTCTGCGACTTATCCATGTTTGTGGGTACCACACCATTCATATCATCATCAAAATAATGTTGCTGTCCATATAGTCCAGCAAGGTCTCATGCAACTTCTTATAGAATTCAGATTTCCCCTCATTCGGTGCATGTACTCCTACTATCAAAAATTTTTCTCCACACACATTGGTTACCAGATATAAAAGATAAAAAGACTTTATCACAGAAGAACATCTTGGAAACATTTTCAACTACAGTAGTCTGACTAGGAAAAACTGGCAGGCACATGTTAGGACACCTACAGCAAGTTCCTTTGCATGTTTACTTTGAAGTAAGTCCCCTCTGTTCCTTGTGGTGGAAGTGAAGAGAGTTGGACCTGGTTTCACAGCTCTCTGTGCAGAAGAGCACATTCCTCTGTGGCCTACCCTCACGCCCGATGCCCTCCTGTTTCTTTGCTACCGGAATAAAACAACTTGATTTGTAATTCAAGGCAGCCTTCGCAACCTCCAATCTGTGTTGTAGTTAGCAATAAATATGGAGGAGGGGAAGTCAGATAAAAGCCAAACTTGCTCTGTTGTTTCAGCTGTAGCAGGAGAATGAAAGCAAATCCCCACCCTATAGTTAAAGTACATTCAATGCACACAGCTGCCCCCCCCCCCCGAATCCTGGGAACTGTAGTTCCCCCCCTCACGGAGCTATACAGTAGGACATTGGAAAAGAAGCAAAGAAAATAAAGGGACTGTCTGGATGCTGTTATGTTTCTCATTTCTATAGTGAACAAATAAAAGCTAATCTTCACACTGCTCTCCATGGATATCTTTTCTTTAAAATGTTACTGTCATTTGATAGTTTCATCACTGCAGCTATTTTCCATGCTGTTTATTCCATGAGTAATCAAGAGTCACACCAAACATATTTTAATTCATTACATTTATCCATTAATCCATATCCTTGTCTTTCAAAATATCCAGATTGCATGCTTCAGGATGAAGAAGCAGTTAGAAATAGTGGCATATGAAGGGCAGAGCAATCCTCCCCTCCCCATCCTAATACCCAACCCAATGCTTTCAGGGGTTAGGATTCAGTGCAGCTGCTCCTCCCCTTCACTGGGATCCCCTGGGCTGTGCCAGCAGGGGAGGGGGCACCTTCAAAGAGGTGCCAATCTGCCAAAAGTGTGGAAGAGTGCATGCAACCCCTGGCAACAGCTGCTGCAAAATGGGGCAGGTCAGGTGATGGATCAACTGCATACAAGTTGTGTCCATTTCCTGGGCAGGAGCCCAATCCAGACTGGATTAACCAAGGAACTGGTGCAGTGAAAAGGGAATAATATATATACACCTCCTTCTCTCTCTCTTTCTCTTTCTTTCTCTCTCTCTCTCCCTCTCTCCTTCTGCTGTAGATGTAGTTTAGCAGGGGGCAGCAAGGTTTATCTTGCCTGGGCCGGATTGGTCCCACAGAGATCCCTCCATGGGCTGGATTGTGTGTGTGTGTGAGAGCACGTGTGCCCGCGATTTTCAGCACTGCGGAAGTGAGTCCCTGCATCGCGCTGTGCCAGTTTAGTGCAGCGTGCAAGCAGGCGACTCAGTTCGGGGATGGCTCGGGGGCTGGTCAAACGACCTCTGTGGGCCGCTTCTGGTCCATAGGCCTTAGGTTGCTGACCCCTGTAGTGGAGAATCCTCCACTGCTTGCCTTCCTGGTTAGACAGGAAATGCATTGTAAATGCAAACGCATCTGCAGATGTTGTAGAGTTGTAGTGAACAAAACTGAGAGGCAGTGTTTAAAACTGGGATTAGGATCATGAAAGACGATAATCTGTGTTGTTTTTGGTAGCCTTCCAAACGCTGCCCTGGGACAACTGGAATTCTACCCTGAGGAAAGTGTTGCCAAACAAAGTGAATTTGCACAACCCCCTTTCTAAAATCTGGCTTTTCAAGGAGGGGTGTTGGTGGCAGATCCTTGACTAGAACGGATGGACTGGGAGTCAGAGAGGACAGGGAATGTTTCTGAAGCCCATTTTGGCAAGACCAAATATAGTTGCATCATCACAACAATCTTTACAGCATTTCCATAGAGAACAGATTAAAGATTTGGATATCTGGCCTTACTGAAACACAAAAGCATTAGTTGACTTTCTAGTTTTGCTGTGCAGATGGAAAGTCTTCATGGTGAGAAATGGCTCCTAAAGAAAAGGAGTGTCATATGGTAATGGCAGCAAGGAATCTTCATTTATAAAAGGAGGAGAAGCCGAATGAAGGAAAATGCCTTTTTAAGCAGAGGTTGGATGGCCATCTGTCTTGGGTGCTTTAGTTGAGATTCCTGCGATATCATTCTTTTTAGTGGATGCAGAGGCCAATAAAGAAGATGCCTACAGAGGCCTCCGCTGCCAACTGATGGTGCCCTTCTCTCAACCCCTTCACTTACCTGAAAGAGAGAGAGAGAGAGAGAGAGAGAGAGAGAGAGAGAGATAAGCCATTCCTGCATGCATAGAATAGTCTCAGCAGGGGTGATGGCCAGTTTCCTGAGAATGGAAATCAGTTTCTTATTATGGCTTCACCATTGTCACTTAAGCTTCTGAAGGCTTCAAATACAGTGGTACCTCTGGATGCAAACGGGATCCATTCCAGAGCCCCGTTCGCATCCAGAGCAGAATGCAACCCGTGTCTGTGCGTGCGCGGGTCGTGATTCGCCGCTTCCGCGCATGTGCATGACGTCATTTTGAGCATCTGTGCATGCGCGAGTGGCACAACCCGGAAGTAACCTATTCTGTTACTTCCGGGTCACCGTGGAGCACAACCCGAAAATGCTCAACCCAAAGCTACTTCAACCCGAGGTATGACTGTAATAAGAATTTGCAAGATCATAACAGGTGATTTCTCATCTTCTCAGAAAAGCAGAAGTTTCAGAAATAAGAAGCGGCTGAGATACGGTGCAATGACATGTACAAGACACACACTGTCTGAGGTTGCTCACGCATGCCATGCAGGTACATGGGAGGGGTCCTGGTGGGTCCATCGCTCACTGATAGAGCACCTCCTTTGGGGGGAAGGTCTGCAGCTCAGCACCAGAGGGCACATCTGTCCATTTCATTTCCCCTCAGGTTCTCATTTTCCTAAGCCTCAATTTCGTCTTCCACATGTTAGGGAGATTGCTGGTTACTTAATGGCCTAGGTAGGCTGGTCAGTTTACTGAGGACAGTCCTCTATCCTGCCCACAAGGCTCTATGCTATGGTTACCAGATGTCCCCATTTCCCGGGGACAGTCCCCGGGTATACAAATCTGTCCCCGGACAAAATCCATCCCCAGAATGTCCCCGGATTTCATTTAATCTCCCTGGATTTATATTTTAAGTGTTGTAGATTTATTAGTAGGGAATGAATGTTGTGTGATTAATTCAACGGCACAAGACACATCATATGGGGACTTCCAGCGAGGCAAAATGGCGGGCGCCATGGCAGCGAGCAGCTCCTGAAGCCAGCCAGAGCCAACTGCACTACCAGGCTGGCAGACTGCTGTTGCGGCCGCCACTGCCAAGGGGGAACTGGGGATGCCCGGCACGTCAAGTGGGGGGACCACTGACACCCCCCTGTGACCCAAATCAAGCCAGGCACAAGAGTGTGTGGCCAACTGCCCAGTGGAGCTCTGGTGCCAGGAAAACCCTGGAGCTGACGTAGGGAGAAGGAGGAGCGGAGAAGGAGAAGGAAGAGAGAGAAAGAGGAAGGAGAAAAAAGAGGGGAGCCCCGACCTTGCCGTGCCAGTGCCGGCACCACTGCTGAGGAGGAGAGGTAGGAGAGCACCAAGAGGGCCAAGCCCAGGCCTGACCCAAGCCTACTCCATGGCAGCTAGCGCTCCAAGAGAGCAGGCCGGGGTCCAGAGTAAGGTCGCAGGACAGAGGAGACCACAGAAGAGAAGATATCTTAATTTTTTAAATAACTTTTTAAAAATATATTTTCTCTCTTTTTTTAAAAAAAGTGTCCCTTGATTCTTTGAAGAAATCTGGTAACCTTACTCTATCCACCCTTGCAAGGGGCAGATTTAGGAGCATGTGAGGTTTTTTTACAAGCACCAACCATCTTGAATACTGTAATAGATCTGTGGTGCTAAATGTTTAGGTACAGTAGTACCTTGGTTTTCGAATGTAATCCATTCCAGAAGACCTTCGAGTTCTGAAACATTTGAAAACCGAAAAAGCAATAGCCGACAGCTAGGCCTCGGGATCTTGCACTCGGCGGAAGTCACGTGGCATGTTTGACTTCCGAGGCGTGTTCGAAAACTGAAGCATTTATTTCTGGGTTTACGGCATTCAAAAACCAAAATGTTTGTTAACAGAGAAGTTCGAAAACTGAGGTACCACTGTATAGTAAATATCAGGATTTAATTAGAACTTCTTTGTTATAACTGGAATATGTTATAAGACAGCTTCAATGTGTCTTAGAAAGGAGGCTATGCAAGGGTTTAATTAGTGTTTATGTGTAAAGACTGTGTGTCAGACTTTGAGATCCATGGATATTGGAATGTGTGTACCTACCTCTGTGTATCAGCAATTAGCATGTGAAGAGTTAATTAATCTATGTAAATGTCCTAAGTGTGTACCAGTCTGTAATCCTACTCCATCAACAAGTGTTGATGAACTCAGGGGAACTCCTTTGTTACGTGACACCTGCGGGGATTGCTCATTAGTACTGAAATCTTGGCCCTGTTGCCATATGTAAGGTGAGCATTCCACTTCTCATTATATGTGGTACATTTATGGCACCAAAATTGTGTCCCTGGGTCTTCAGTTTCTCAGCTTGCTAATGACACTGTAATCTCTGCATTGTGCAGAGGTCTACCAAATATTCTGGAAGAAAAAGAACCAGGGATTTTCCTTGTTCTTGTTTAACTCATGTTTAGCCAATGTTTAACTCATACTGCCCAGAAAATTTCCTGGAGAGTGTGTTGCTCCAGGTGGCTGATGTCTAGTCAAAGTCATAATTCCTGTGTGCTCCTTCAAAAAAAAGAGTAAGCCATTTACAAGGGGTATTCATTCTCTTTGGAAGAATCCCAAACTGAAGTGAGCCAGTTGGGAGAGTCAGAAGCTGCCAAAAGTGAAGGGGGTTCCCCTCTGAATCGGTCTGCGCTGGATTCCAGAAGGTTTACGTTCCCCAAAATTTAAGACCTATTTGCAGTTTTCTCAAATGAAAACAACATCCTCCTATGTTCTCCAACAAAATGCCAGGGAGTGAGGATGAAAAGGATGGGGTGAAGTTTTATGACAGACAAGCTAACAGGAGCTAATTATAGTGGTACCTCGGGTTACAGATGCTTCAGGTTACAGACTCCGCTAACCCAGAAAGAGTACCTCGGGTTAAGAACTTTGCTTCAGGATGAGAACAGATTGTGCTCTGGTGGCGCGGCGGCAGCAGGAGGCCCCATTAGCTAAAGTGGTAGCTCAGGTTAAGGACAGTTTCAGGCTAAGAATGGACCTCCAGAACAAATTAAGTTCTTAACCCAAGGTACAGGGAATGGTTTTACCAAGGCTCTCCAATTACAGTGCTTTGGGGAATGATATGGAAGCAACATATCAGAAAAGAGCACAAAACTATGGTGTGTGTATGAAGTGAATCCTTTTTTATCCTCCCACAATTCAACTTTAAAGGCACTTGGCACAACCACCTTGCCCCATCCTGCCCAGCACAGCTGTCTGAAATCTGGCAGATTTCATACCCTTAGAATTCCATCCATTTGCAAATTCCATCCATTTCTGCTAAAACATTTAAAAAAGTCATAGGCTGTTTTCCTTTTTAAATAAACTTTAACTTTAATTAATTTATATAGTTTTAAAAATAGTTATATACTGCAGTTTCATTTTTAAAAACTTAAATTAGTTTACAACATGCACACACATACACACATTCCCATCAGTTTTGCCTTGTACAATATAGTTTTGTATGTTATCTTTGGTAACAATTTTGTATTTTTTTTTTGTAGATGTGGCACATAGAAGTGCGTCATCTAAATTTGTGTTTCTACAACACAAAGTTAGATGACTCACTCCTTTTCGCCACATTGCATTTGAAAAGGTTAATAAGTTAAGTTCACATTAAAATGTAAAACGACTCAAATTTCTTCCCCATCCACATAAGAGGAGAGTGTTCCGCCTGTGCTCCAGTAATTCACATAGCACCTTGAATTAGCCTCTCGGACTTTTTCTGGTTATATAAATGTGGTGGATAGTTAACTGGCATTATCACACAGAACTGCTTTAAGAGCAGTATTTCTTACTTAGTTTCACTAAGGTCTCCTTTGATGTGGTTTGCATAGAATTTTTGTAAAGGTTTTGATGGTAGTGCAAATTGATTTGGTCTGGCTACAGTGGGCTTCAGAATTGCTCGAACATTGCCAGATACTTCCAGTAAAAGAACGTTAGGCATGTTTTGTTCCAATTAATGAGGCATTAAGATTGATGGGAGAGGTAATTAAGGTACAAGTCTATAGGTTCTTGAATGCTGCTTAAGCAATTAGCATCCCCAAGGAACACAATCTGAAGAGGAAATCTCCTTCCATGTAGAAGGCAAAAGTCCTCAACCTTCCTGGGCTGTGAAGGCCCATAGATAAAGATCAAAGAGAGGAGGGTCTTACTCATGTTTGCTAGAACACTCTCAGATCTTCCACATGATTCCCCGCCTTTGTGGATGCTCAATTGTGCAGAGAGACCTAATGAAATCTTTTGAATTTCATTTTTTAAAGTTAACCTTTATTTTATTTTATATATACAAATACTTATATACTCCAGTTTTGTAAAATAAAAAATTAAAGCAGTTTTCAACAGTTCAACAGTTATATATATTCAATAAAAGCCACACAGCAAATTTAATTCAGAAATCACCAACTAACTATTATAGAAGTTATGTTGTTTGTCTGCATGAGTGTTCAGCAAAAGTTTAAAAGTTACAGCAGAGAACACCTGCTGAATCTCAAGTGGAAGACTGCACTGAAGGTGGGATTGTGTTGACAACAGATGGGGATGGATGGTGTCAATTTCAGTTTCTCATTTATCAAAGCCTATGTTTGGTTTGCCACATCTCCAAATCAGCCTTCTTAGTGCCCCAATGAAAATCTGCCACCTTTTTAGGGTTCACTCAAGCTAATGTACAAGTTGGTTTGCAATTTTGCATAATACACGTTTTCCAGGCAATTTAGCCTAACACTGTGTTCTTGTATTTTATTTCCAGTAACATATGTAAGATTATGTACACTTCCCCTAAAATGTGAATTTTTGTACACATCATTCAGACCAAAAAAATAAAATAAGCCCAAATTTAAAAGAATCAATTCTGCTTGCTACATTTCCACTTCAGATTGCAAATGTAAATTAAAGGTAAAGGTAAAGGGACCCCTGACCATTAGGGTCCAGTCGTGGCTGACTTAGGGGTTGCGGCACTCATCTCGCATTACTGGCCAAGGGAGCCAGCGTACAGCTTCCAGGTCATGTGGCCAGCATGACTAAGCCGCTTCTGGCGAACCAGAGCAGCGCATGGAAACGCCGTTTACCTTCCCGCCGGAGCGGTACCTATTCATCTACTTGCACTTGGATGTGCTTTTGCACTGCTAGGTGGGCAGGAGCTGGGATCGGGAGCTCACCCCGTCGCGGGGATTCGAACTGCCGACCTTCTGATCAGCAAGTCCTAGGCTCAGTGGTTTAACCCACAGCGCCACCCACGTCCCACCAAATGTAAATTAGTTAGGTCCATATTAAAACATGACATTTCTTCCCCTTTCTGTACAGGAAGAAGAGGGTTTTTTTGTTTTTGTGTGTGTGTTTTTGGCGGGGGTGGTCACATTAATTCAAATAGAAGGAGGCGTTCTCTTTGATTTTGCCTCTTGGGCATATATAAATGTGATAGATTCCTTGCTCCCATTACCACAGAACACTCCTTTATTCAAGCAGCCATTTCTTAGCAAGAAGTCCTTTCTGTCTACGCAGCAAAAAGTCAAGATGGTAAGTGGATTAATGCTTTTGTGCCTCACTAAGGTCAGTGATCCAAACCTTTCACCTGTTGCAAAGGCTTATGTGGCAATGCAAATTTATTTGCTCTGACTAAAATGGGCTTCAGAATTAGGGTGCTTCAAAGGCTCCCTGTCCCCTCTGACTCCTGCCAGTCAATATCAGAATCCTAGTCATTAGTCACACAGTTCAGCTTTTTCCAACTAGATGCCTGCCAGATGTTTTGGATGACACCTCCCACAAGCCCAGACCTGCACAACTGTACGCCCATCAGCATCATACAACTATGGGGGTTTTGGCTCATGGGAGTTGTAGTCCAAAGCACCTGGAGGGCACTAGGCTGGAGAAGGCTGTCTTAGCAAACCTGCACCTCATGTGCTTTCATGACGCAACTCACGTGTGTCTCTCAGTCTATACGTTTAAAAAAGCACATTCGCTAGAAAATTATATGCAATATATACACCTTCAAAGAGAATATAAAAAATTACTTTGGGCCGGGGGAGGAAAAGCATATCCACCATACTTGGATGGAGTTAGGCCACGCTTCCATAGAAAGGGATTCAACTAGATTCCGGGCCCTGGTGGCAAAAGGGACAAGAGAGGCAAACGGCCCCATTGATAAGCAAATTACCTCTGTGCAATGGCATGCACACTCTTCTTCTCTCTTCCATCTGTCTAGCCTAGGAACCTCCTTGAATTCCCATGATAACATAGATACTCCTGTGCTATCTTCCTGCCCTGAATGGGACCCAGTAACTGATGATGAAATAAATGTCTTGATTAACTCCCTCCCTACCAAAAAAGCTCCTGGAGTATATGGTATTTGTTCCCTGGGTAATTATTAAAACAAATCGTGGCTGGTGGTCCCCAGTCCTTGCTTCATTGTTTACCCATATCATGGGAAAATTCCCCAAAGGTGGGGAGTAAGTATAATTGTTCCCATTCACAAAAAAAGGTTCCAAGGCTGACCCAAAGAATTTCAGACCAATTAATCTACTGAGTACCGTGTCAAAATTATACTCAAAATATCTATTGGGTAATTTGGGAGTCGGGGGCTGCTGAAATACAGTTATAGCTGAAGAACAATCAAGGTTTATGGAGGGTAAATCCACAATAGACCAATGTTTTGTCCTTCACCTACCACAAAATGGTAGGAAAGAGTTGTATGCAGCTTTTGTGGGTCTTATTTTTGCCTTCGACCTGATAGAGAAGGGACGTCTTTGGCAAAAGTTAGCCTCCACTAATACTGACAGAAGGCTGCTCTCTTTAGTTCAACGGCTGCAGACCCACACTCCGCTTAGGGTTAGACTTGGAGCAAATGGGTTGCTAGGGGATGCCTCTTAGCACACTTTCTTTTCAGTTTTTATATAAATGATATTGTTCAAGAACTAAGAGGGCTAGAATATTTTCCTGTTTCTATTCAGGATGTCAAACTCTCAGTTCTTCTGTATGCCGATGATTTTGGTTTCTGCAACCTTAATTGGGATGCGGAGATGAGGAAGTTGAATGTATTTTGCACAAAGAGCAGTTAACAGTCAACCATTCTAAAACTAAAGTGGTGATTTTGGGGAAGAAGAGAAAACCTCACAGATGGAGTTTGGACAATAAACCTGTTGAACAACAGTGCTATTATAAGTACCTGGGCTTGGGCTTTAATTCAAAATTGTCCTGGAAGCCACACCTACTTGCAGTTAATTGAAACCCTCTCACTCTATTCACTCTTTATTACAGTTTTCCAGAGTTCAGGGGGGAGTTTAGTTGCCCCCACAGTTGAGGTATTACAAAAGAAGATTATGCCAGTACAGTGCAGAGATTTGGGGATATATTAATGTCCTCCCCTTAGAAGTGGTGCAGAACTCTTTCCTGAAATCACTGTTGATTGTCCCCAAAGGTACACCTGCCCCCTTTTAAGAGCTGAAACAGGGCTAATCTGCTTACAAACCAGTGTGCATGTATTGCTAGCCCTATACTGGCTGAAACTGGCTAGCATGAGTAATACCAGGCTCCCTAAAAATGCTTCCGAGAGCAATTGCATTTTATACCCTGAAGCTCTTGGGCAAACTCAGTCAGTAAGATTCTCCATTATTATGGGATTAATGTGGACTCCCTACCAAATCTTGCCTCTAACAGAGTCAAACAACTCATCAAAGAGAAAAACCATTTGGACTCTAAATGGCGGGACCTTCATTTACTTTCCCAGATGGCATACTCATCCTGGTATCCAATATAGAAAACATATTTTGGGCTGGAGCCGTACTTCATTAATCTCACGCTGGCACCGCTTAGAAAAGCATTTACAGCTTTGCGTCTTCAGTGTATGCCCTCTGCATATCTAGTGGGGAGATTCAATAACGCCCCTGTGCACCAAAGACTCTGCATCTGTGAGTCGGGAGACACGGAGGACATTCCATCCCATTTGTTACTGTGCCCTTTATAGACAAAAATTCCTTCATTGCATCCTTTCCTCTCTTTCCCCTTGAGCAAATCTCTATTTTGCTGGCTGGCAATAACATATTTATTACTGCACAGGTTGCAAAATTTGCCTTGGCTGCAAGTAAGTTGAGCACTAGGCACCAAGACACGTATCATAAGGGGGAGTGTGAGATGTGGAGTGCTTAACTTATGCAGGTGTGATTTTTGAATTTTTGCTTTGCTGTTGTTGTTGTTTAGTTTCAAATCAATTATTTGTATTCTATGCATTGTGACCAATTGTGACAGCTTATAGCTTTTGGCAATAAATATTTCATTCATTTATTAAAATGTAAATAACCACAAAGTTCTAGTGCAGTCAAAGCTTAGTGTAAACTCTCAAAGCAACTGAAAGCCTGTTTTGCTGAATTCTTCCCCCTTCCCATTGCTCTTTTTCAGAAAGTTGCTCTCATCCTGATCATGTTATGCATCACCTGGCTGGGCAAGTGCCAAGGCTCCTGTGTCCGAACCATAAATAAAGCAGAAGTTAAAGATGGTAAAGTTATTGAACAGCCTACTGATTTGTGCAATTGATTATTTCATGCTTGGCTTTTTTTAAAAAAAAATTGATCCTGACTCAGGATTAGGGATGTGAGAGAAATTCCATTCAGTTTGCATTTGAAGGTGAATCTATCAAATTATCAAGATGTTATAGATTATACAAGACATGAGAAACAAAACAAAGTCTTCCTTTGCAATCTGCAGTTATATGAATTTTGCAAGGCAGTTCTCCAAGCAAATAGTGTTTACAGAAATGCATATGCTAGGTATGTAAAATATGTAAAAAAGTATGTAAAATATGTGTGTAAAAATGAACATATTAGCAAAAACATAAAAATAAATGCAATATATTGGGAGAAATCACTTGCAAAAATGGGGACATTAGTCAAAACTGCATACAAAATGTGCTTATTGTGAAATATTTGCACTAGCAATGTTGAACAATTTTCATGAAGAAAGAGCAGGGCCTGCACACTCAAGCAAGCATTTCCATAGACTTCAACCTACCCCTACTTGCTGGGACAAGGCACCAGATGGCCAAATTCATGGAGATCCAGGCTTGGGCTGAGTCAGGTTGAGACAGCCCTAAATTGCCCTGGGTTGAATCAGGCCTCCAGAGCAATGAAAAGCTGTCAGGAGACAGCATGTCCAGAAGGAAGACTGCAGAGGTCAGCTTCACCACCTTGTTAAAAGCAACAGCTAAACATTAACTCTCCACCCAAATTGATTCAGGACTGGTTCGTGGGTGGGAGGGTTGAGTCCTAGATTGTCCTGGATCAGGTGAAGGGTGTTTTGGAAATTCAAGCATTCTTTTGGATTCAGTGGCAACAGCAACAGTAGTGGAGAGGAGTTCACTGCCTTTATAGTGTCAGGCTCGAACACAGCATAAAAAACAGTGACACATACTTTTAGCAGAATAACATAGCATAAGCAAGATAAAATACTTTCCCCTTCAGTTATCAGGAGCACCAGAGAATAATAACAGAGAGATTTTAGCTGGCCAGTACAGAGCAGGAACAGATCAGCGCCTACGTCAAAGCTCAAAGGTCAGACCCTATCAGGAAGATTGACATCCCTGAGAGGCTGCATGCTGGCTGGACTGACATCCAAAGGTCCTCCCACACCCTGCCAGCACTTATCCCTGAAGCACATTAGCAAATCAGGGCAATAAAGCAACCCCTGAGAGTCCTAAAGGGTGTAACCTTTTAGGATGGGCCAATAATGAAGCAGGAAGACTTGTATAAACCAAGAAACCTATCTCCTCAGTATACAAAATTCTTCCACAATAGGTTTTCCCTATAGAGGGGAGTGTGTGCACAGCCTTACGATGTACCAGGAAATATTCTTATTTCCTGATCCATGCACTTGATCAGTTACCATCCATATTTTGGTCCTTTGGTTTGCCTTCTGGGCATACCTTCTCAAACTGTGTTTTGCAGGATTGCCAGAGTTGCCCTCCTTCAGTATCCAGTCCCCTCTTCAGGTTCCCTAAAAATTAAAGATTTGAGTGGGCAATGGTGTGTATCTTCTCTTTCCCACAGGAGTGGGGAATCTGTGGATCATCACTCTCACGATCCCCAGCCATTAATCACGCTGGTGGGTGGAGTCTAAAATGCAAATTGGAGTCTAAAAACACCTGGAAGGTCGCACCTTGTCCATCCCTGGCCTAATATACAACTTGTTGAATGCACACACATGCACCCAAAAGCACCAGCCAGACCACAACCTGTCGTTTCATCAACCATTTCATCAACCACTGCAGCTGCAGAGGTGTATTTTGAAACCATCGGTTGTGGTCATGCGGGGGTGGGGGGAACCACTGCCCTCTCTCCCAGATGCCTCGTAATTTCCAGATCCCCATTTTTATTTTTTAAAAGTGGGAGGAGAGTGCATTTCTAGCATTTGTATAATTTGAACTTTCAGGCAAGATGTACAGGTGCTATTCTTCTCAATCTTGGGAGATAAACTAGTCTGTTCCCCCAGGGGGAAGCCCACAAGCGGAGAACAGGAGCAACTGGGACTCAGAAACAGGCTGTCTCCCATAGTGGGAAGAGCCAGACTGGAGAAATAAGCTGTGGATGCTGTTACAGGCTGGGCAACCATGAGAGTGTGGTGCCAAGTGGTGATAATTTCCCCAGGTTATCTTCTGATTTGAACAGCTGCTTTTTGTTGCATTTTGGAAGTGCGGGCACTGATGTTGATGAAACTGACCGTGTTCTCCCTGCCATCTCTAGGATCAGTCATTCCTCCAGATGGATGCACTTCTCCTTTGGATGGGACAAAACACGGAATGGGGTCTGAGTGGAATGGAGCTAACGGCATGAAATGCACATGCAGCAGAAGTGGAGCAGAATGCTGCGACAATAGGTAGGAAAAAGTAAAAGATTGGCACTGGGCCTATTCATGCATTGCCCACACTGGCAGGGGGAGAATCTCCCTCTGTCAGTGAATAGAGGCTTGGTCAGTTATGCATCAACCACCACCCCCCTCCAAAAAAAAGAGGACACAGATTTACATGTGCTACTTTATATTTATAGGTGCAAATTTAGAAACAGTTAGAAATACAAGGCATTATAATCATCATCATCATCCTGCCCTTCCTCCCCCAGAAGCCCTTGGCAGCATACAGAAGTGGAATTTAATAGAGAAACAATGCAAATATTTTAAAACAGATTAAAACATTCTAAAAAGATCTAAAATCAATTGCAGCTTTAAGAAAACATCGTAAAAAACAATTTAAAACATTCTTTCATCCAAAGCTCTTAGGGCTGCCTGGAATAGTATTTTAAAGCTACCAAATCGCTCTCCCTTCTGACAATTCTTAATCTTTAAACCAATGCAGCTTTTTCAACAGAGGGCACCTTCAAAGAGAAGACTGTCCTCTGTATAGCGGGACCCGTGGAGGCTGGTGCCCATGGAGACTGGCAGGGCAGGCGTCAGGGAGGCCAACAGGAGGAGGCACCAAAGCAAATGGCTGGCAGAACTGGAGCTGATGGTAGAGCCAACTCATTGCCGTTTTATTCCTCTACTCTTCCCTGCTGAGTTATACAAAGGCAGCACTGAGGGCTTATCCACATGTACCTTTTGCCCTGCTCTTTCCTGGCATGGTCCATGGCTGAAAGCACCATTTTTTTGCCTTGGAGCTTCCCCTGCAAAAACCCACACTTTAAAGCTCAAGCGCAGCAAATGGTGATTTGGGTTTTTGTGGGGGAAGCTCCGGAGCAAAAGAAAGGGGCACTCGGAGACAGAGCTTTAAAGCAGGGGTCGGCAAGGTTTACCTTGCCTGGGCTGGTTCACTCCAGCCGAGATCCCTCCGTGGGCTGGATCACGTGTGTGCATGAGCGCACCCACGATTTCCGGCGTCCGCGTCTGTGCAGACATGATTTCTGGTGCCGCAGAAGTGAGTCCCCACGCACCGATTTAGTGCAGTGCGCAGGGACTTGCCAAGAGGGTGGTTCGTGGGCCGGTTAAACGACCCCCGTGGGCTGCTTGTGGCCCATGGGCCTTAGGTTGCCAACCCCTGCTTTAAAGCATGGGCTGTGCCTAGGAAGTGCAGGGGAAAGTAAGTGCGGATAAGCCCTGAGACAAAGAAGACTGACAGGCAGTGCCATTCCCTGGAGTGGCTGTCAGCAAGGAGGTAGGCGCTGGCTGAGGGCCTCCTGAGCTTGCCTAAATGGACTGCCCACCACTGAGCCGGACACCGTGAGTAGCCCCTCTTGTTGGTGTTGTGGCACCACATTAAGATTGCAATCCTGTATAGCGATGCGCTTATCGAATTGACTCCCATGATCTATCAAGCTGAACCAGGGGCAAAGGACATGCAGTTAGAAGGAAAGGACAGGGTGAGCAGAGGGATTTCTTTTCAGGACCAGAACAGAGCAGAGCTCACACATCCCTTCCACACAGAAGTCCACTTCTGGTTAGCCTTCTCCATTTCAGCCACATGTTTAGGACCTTGGCTTTTTTGTTGCTGTTGGTAAGCAACTGGGAGGCAGAAGTAGCTGTATTTGAAGAACTGCTGCAATTCACTAGGGGAATCAGTCTGCCAGTAGACCTTGATCTACCTTCTGCCCACACACCAGGGGAAGGCAAGCTGCTGAACTCCACGTTCAACTCCTACTTTCACCAGTCCTGACCAGCATCGCTAATAGTCAGGGGTGATGGTAGCCTTGTTGGCTACTCCCAGTGTATACACTTAGTGCCAATCCACACTTGCCTGAAAAATCCTGACTTGCTTTGCTTGGTGGCTCTATCGGTGCACTTTCTACTTCTGTCCTGGAACCATCTCCAGGAAACCAGGTTTCTTTGTGCACACTTGGGTTGTGCATCGTCAGATTTTTCTGAGTATTATCTGCCTTGCTCCACCCTCTGGGGGGTCAGTGTGGGGGTTATCTGTTGCTAAAAGGTAAAGAGAATAAGCTAAGTTTCCAGGACTCTTTGCTCCCCCCTCCAAATATGTTATTAAGAGGGTTTCTAAAGGCACTCTAGGCTTCTGGCCTTCTTGCTCCAAACTTATCACCTCTGCATTCTTTAGAACGGCCTTTCAATTTTTTAAGAGGGAAGGCTTTGCAGTTATGCAGAAAGATGTGATACGATCAAAACGTGAGTGTTTTATTGCAGAACAGGGTCATCTGGAAAATGAGGGGGAAATCCCAGGTCCCAGACAGGCAATAACTGGGGGGGGGGTGCAGTTCAATGGTGGGAAGCTCTAATGAAAAACTATTGCCAGGGAGGGGGCATGGGAAGAAAGGGAGGAGGTGGGAGGAGACGGCCCCTGCCGGCAAATCTGCAGAAACTTCAAAGAAAGCTATTCACAAGACCTTCCAAAATCAGTTTGCGTGGACAGGCAGAGTCCCTCAAACCCTGGGCGGCCCCCATGTGGAATAACGACTCAAGACAACATGCTATGGGATTAAAATTGGCCACAACTTTATTATGTTTCAGATGTGGGTAGACCTTGGCTCAGGCATTGGGCGTTTATCCCTCCCAGTTCCCCACTGGGGATCTGGGGAACATCAGGGTTATCCAGTGGGCGGTGGGTGGGCTGGCTCTGGAGAACATATGTTCAAGCAGAGAGAGTCTGCCCCCGTTACGGCACCGTCGCAGGGGAGAGCAATGACGACCTGTAGGCGTACGGCCAAAGCCTCCCCTCAAACAACCCCTTTAACGGGGAACCCTGGTATCGCCGCCGCAAAGAGGAAGGGGGCGTGGGTCACCGCTGCATGCCCCACCCCATTCAGGGAAGATAGACTAAAGGATTCCGCCCAAGGCCTGATACCGCCAAAGTTGTGCCATTTTGCTACGGGAAAGGCAAAACCTGCCAATGCAGGGGAATTCCTTTCTGGCCCTTCAACAGCGACCCTGACGTAGCAGCGCCCGCGTACCTGTGGAGAAAAGGTTAACCTGCAAAAGAAGTCTTAACTGAGGGTGGGTAGGGTGGGAGAAGCTCTGGAGCCAACTGAAGATTCCCAGGTAAGATCCTCCCTCTATTGTGTGGGCAGGGGTCCCTCACCCTACCTAGCCTGATCACCTTGGCAACGCCTGCCCAGGCGGAATTCGGCAACTGACTGAGGTAGGCAGAGACCTCCAGGTATCTCACCTGGGGGAGGCGAAGCCAAGCCTGTGCTAATGGTGCCGCGTAGGGTCCAGGGGCTGCGTGCGACCACGCAAACGCCGCCCCCCCATTTAATGTGGGGAGCGGTCATTATCAAGTGGGCCAAATCTCTCTTCAGGTTTTCTGGCAAGATCAGATTTTCTCAAGAAACTTATGGCACAGCTGCAGAACAGCATGAAAAGCTCTAGGACCCAGAATCATTAGTTGGTACACAATACGATCAAAATACAAGTCAAGCGAATGTGAATGTGGACTTATGAGTAGGCAGGCAGAGACTGCACTGAAAGATGTTAGCGATAGCTAAACTGGTGTGTCATTTTAGAGCTTCTTTAAAGGCTGTTGCAATTCAAGACAAACCTTGTTTCATACTTAATGCTTCTTCTTTTATTAGCATACCTGGAACCAACGGGAAATGATGATGCTTCGCAGCTGAATTTTGAAGCTATAAAGGGACCCATGACAACTGTGTTTTGAAGCTATACAAACCTATTCCATTCCCTTCATGTTAGAGAACCTGAATAAATCAGTCAATGTCTTCATCTCTGCCTCTTTTCTTCCATGAGTGCCAAAAGGATGAGTGTATCTTTATTGAATGATATGGCGGGGGCCTCGTCAGGTGGAGGGTCTCTCAAAGGGTTGGCCTGGGTCAATTTTTCATGTGTCCATTCCTACAATCTTTCTATTTCCAGATTTAACTGTGGATTCTGTTTTCTAAATCTCGTAGAAAATCCATACTTAAATACTATTTAAATGTGTGCTTTACCACAAAATACATATTTAAATGTTGTATCTCAGCTCCTAAACAACTTTTATCAAAGATTAACAAATCTAAAAATGCATTTTAGGTAGGTTTTTGAGCCAAGAACTGAATCTCAGGTTTTGCGAGAGGAACAAAAATCGAAGTGTAATTATGATCCATGTATTAGTTTGGGAAGTAAGCTGAGGATTCAGTCGTGTGGGTTCTGCTTTGCAGGGGCTTTCCTTGGGGCAAAGGCACTGGCAAAGCAGACAAGGCCCTGCAGCTTCACTTTCCTATTCCCCAACTGACATTCCTTCCCACCCTTCTTCCTACCCTGACCTTCTTCCCATTCACCTCTCCTTCTTGTCTGATGCCCCACCCCCTGGCAGCCTAGGATCACTCTGGGCAGCCTGGGGTGATCCCCCTAGATTGGTTTGGTTCCAGGGTCAGACTCTGGTAATCTTTGGTAATATGCGCCAAGTGAGCCCAAAATTTGGCACCCCAAAATGGATCTTCTCAAATTTGCGCCCCCTTGGCTCAGCGCCCTGTATAGGGGAACCACTCGCACCACCCTAAATCTGGCACTGCTGGTTCTTGAACCAGGATTTGGTGGAGTTGGGCACACAGCCACAATCCCTACCTGACAAATTCACTTTATTTCGGTTTGTTTCCTCTGCCGAGGGATACTGAGGTCTCCCAAATCTTGGCCAGTGAGGGAATTAAGACTCCACCAGCCTCAGAATGCAGTCCTTCCCTGGAGCTTCTTGCCTTCCAAAAGTGGGAGACATTTAATCTACAGGTTCAGAATCCCTGGGAGGTGGGTGTCTTTGTTCTATGCACAAACTCAAGTGCATGCAGGGAATGTATGCAATTACTCATGCATTCACCACCCATCACTATTATAAGTAACCACACAGTGACAATGCACAATGTAACATACACACAAAGTATCTGTTATTTTTGTAAGCCACTTAGAGACTGTTTTAGTATTAAGCTGTATATAAAGATATGAAATAAAGAAACGATAAATAAATAATATTGGGGAAAGGCTATTACATACCCTGCCACTGTCTTCTCTTTAGCCTTTCCTCATAGGGCTTGTTTCTATACTGCTGCTGACTATATATGCCCCCCACCCCAATATCATGAGGAAACGTGGTCAGAGATACTCATTCAAAGAACCAAAAAGAAGGAGACATCCACCATTTCAAACCAATAAATCTATTGCAAAATCACACGGATCAACTTTTCAGATTACATGCCTTTGTTTATGGGTCGCAAGATGTGTAACAGGTGATTTGTGGGACCACAGGGGAAAAAGTATGTCACATCACTAGGTTTTCTGGGGCAACCTGTCTGTCCTGTGACTCTGGTTCCAAATTCCTGCAGTAAACACTCCTAGATGCCTATCAAGCAGCTGGCCTAAGGTCAGCTGGAGAAAACGTCAGACTAAGATGCTGCAGGTAACAAGTCTCTGCTAGCTTGACAGGCTTTTTCATTTAATAAATTTATAAAGGGCACAAAAGGTACAATTTTGAAACAATAACAGAGTAAAATAAAACTTAACAATACATTATTCCAGGGTGGCAGTAAAGTTGGTAAAATTTGTAAAAGCAATGAAAACAGTATAAAAACATACTGGAATGCCTGGGCAAATAAAATAAAAACAAGTCTTTGCCCTCAAAAAGATACCAAGACATCCTATATGAGAAGAGCTACGACTGAGAAGCACACAAGGTTGCTATTTAGCAGAGATCCAGATATTTATTTTATTTTATTGCATTTGCCTGGTTCTCCCCTTCTTCATCTAGTCCCCACAACAACCCTAAGAGGTAGGATGGCCTGAGGGGCAGAGAGACGGGTCCAAGGTCCTAGTCTGACACTCTAACCCCTACACCACACTGGCTCTGAGGGGACATGCACTGCTATGGTGCTCAGCTCCTCCTTGTGGGCTTGTCCTAAGCGTCTGATTGGCTTACGTGGGAAAGAGTGTGCTCTGCAATTCTATTAAGCAGGCAAATCCCGTGCTAGGGATCATTAGGGAAGGCACTGGAAATAAAGCTGCTGATCTCATGAAGCTGTTAGGCAAATGTATGATGCGATGGCATTTGGAGTACTGTGCACAGATCTGGTCACCTCACCTCCCAAAAGATATTGTAGAGTTGGAAGAGGGCGGCCAAAACAATTAAGCAGGTAGAGAAACTCCTCTGCAGGGAAAGGTGGGTGGGTGGGTAGTTTAGAGAACAGGTAGGCCAGAGGTAGCATCAGAGAGGTCTGTGCATTTATGCAGAGCATGGAGAAAGTGGAGAGGGAAAACCTTCTCTCTCTCTCGCTCATAACAATAAAACTGTTGGACATCCAATGAGGCTGAACGTTGGAAGATTCAGGACACATAAAAGGAAGCATTTGTTCTTACAGCACATAGATTAATTATGGAACTTTCTCCCCAGAAGGCAGTCATGGTCACCAGCTTGGGTGGCTCTGGGCCAAGTGGACCAATTCATGGAGGAGAGGGCTATGGGGGCTACTCACTCTGATGGCTCGGATGTCAGAGGCACTATGTTTCTGAATGCCAGTTGTTGGAAACCACAGGAGGGGGGGCGCTGTTGTGCTCAGGTCCTGCTTGTGGGTTTCCCATCAGCCTCTTGTGGTTTTTAAAAAAATATTTTTCATATTTTTTAACCTTACAAACGTCAATTGAAACAAAATAACAAACTCCCCCCCGCGCGGTTTTCAAAATGTACATTTTTTTATATTTACCGCATTTGATTACATTTATCTAACTTTAATTTAATCCTTTTTTTTAGTCTTGGTTTTTGCAAATTACAAGTGTTATAAAAATCCTGCTAACGTCTTTAAGTGTTTACAATGTTCTTTAATATAGTCTATGTATTTTTTCCATTCTGTATTAAATTTGTTGTCCTCTTGGTGTCTGACTCTTCCAGTCATCTTTCCCATGTCAGCCTATTCCATCGCCTTCATAATCCACTCTTCCTTAGTTGGTGTTTCCTCTTCCTTCCATCCCTGGGCGTAAAGCATTCTCGCAGCTGCCATCATATACATAAACAGTCTTTTCATATCCTTTGGTAATTCTTCTCCTATTATACCTCTTTAAAAGGTATAATAAATAAATAAATAAATAAATAAATAAATAAATAAATAGTTTTTAAACAAAAGTTATCTTAAACATTTTTTTCAATTCATTATATATATAATTTCCCAGAATGCCTTTGCCTTTTTGCGTGTCCACCACATGTGGTAGAACGTGCCTTCTTTCTCTTTACACTTCGAGCATATGCTAGTATTATTTTTATATATTTATGCTAGTCTTACCGGGTCAAATACCATCTATACATCATTTTCATATGGTTCTCTTTTAACGTACAGCATGCTGTAAATTTCAAGTCCTCCTTCCACAGTCTTTCCCAATCTGCAAGTTGTATATTATACCCCACATCTTTTGCCCAGTGGATCATTAATGATTTTACCTCTTCATCTTTAGTTTCCCATTCCAGCAATAATTTATACATTCGCATCAGCCTCTTGCTGTCCACTGTGAGAAAAGGTAAGAGGCGGCATGATAGAGGTGTATGAAATCATGTCTGGTATGGAGAAAACAGGTAGAGAAAAGTTTTTCTCCCCGTCTCTCTCACAGAGATGAACTTGTGGTCATCTAATGAAAGTGAAGATTCAGGGAAGATAAAATGACGCATGCTGCCCATAGTTAAATTATGGAAACGTCTCACATGGGAGGCAGTGATGGCTACCAACTGGGAGGGCTTGAAAAGAGGATTGGACAAGTTCATGCAGGGTAAGGCTACTAACTCGGATGGCTGTGTTCTCCCTCCACTTTCATGAGCCATAGGCTTCTCAGTAGGCGTTGTGTTGGCGGCTGTGAGAACAGGATGCTGGACTGGGGAGGGCCACAATGCATAAAGTGATGGAAGCTGCTCCCACAAGATGTAATGATGGCCACCAATTTGCTAAATTTAGGTAAGTGTGGATTTTGAAGGTGGCTGTATTTCAGTTCTCTTACTGTTTTGGAAAGTGCAAACCTGTTAAATTTTGGGTTAAATGTGAACTGAATCAAATTTCTCCCCCCCCCAAGAGAAAGTGGTAGCCACTTTCACCCAAGAGTGGCCTCTAAAAATGCCAGGGGGGGGTTCCTACTGAGGAGTGCTATTTTTCCCATTACAATGCAGGGGAAAGAATGGGGGGAAACTATGGTACACAATCAAACAACATTGTTAATGCCCAACAAAAGCCGGGGGGGGGATATAATTCTTTACCACACCCAGAAAAGGTGTCAACAAAAATGCCAGGTGGATCTCATTAGGAGGGTGTTCCACAAAGCATCAACAATTCCCGCTTTGAAACTGCCTGGCTTCAAAGCCTGACCTGGTATAAATTCACTAGTCATCTTCCTCTCAGCCCAAATTCTGTGACTCTGCCCTGACCCAATCCAGCTAAAAGAACTGCTATTTGCAGTTCTCAAAGTTGGGCAAATTCTGTCTGCCTGAAAAGCATGGTTGCTTACATCCATTTCATCATGCCCTGCTTATTCCCACCCTATCCCAACTCTACAGCCCTCGTTGTCAGGTAAGTTATTGTCCCCAAGCCATCTCCCCCTCAAATGACACCCCATTTCAAGCCCCTCTCCTCAGTGGGCAGCCCTCTCTTTCCACAGCCTGTTGTTGTGAATATCTGGCGCTAAACTTCATGCAGGCTTCACTTTGCCAATGATGTTTTACAAGCTGTTCCTGTTCTGGTTTCTGCATGTTCTTACCAAGAAACAGATCTGAAGACAATTCAGCTGATAATACTCTGCCACCTACTCTAGTGTTCTCCGTGCAAAGAGAAAAAAGGCCCAGCTGAGAAATGTTTTCTTCAAAACAAACATGATGTGGGCACAATAGTACACCACAAACACCAGGTCAAGGGAGACTTCCCCCTCAGCTTTGCCTCTCCACCTTCTCCTTCGTATAAATGTAGGCAGTGGATTCCCTGCAGGCTTAAGCGAGGGACACGCTCTTGCTCTCCACTGCTACCAGAACCAGGCCCCGTAAGGAGACTTTGCCAGCAGCATATGGAAAGACCAAGATGGTAAGCAGCACAATGCTTTTGCACTAAACTATATCCAATGGTTTGCTGAATCTGGACTAGGTAAAGCTGTGCAAAGGCCACCCTAAAGTGGATTTATTTCAAGGCAGGGGAGCTGCAAAGGCATTCAGAATTTTGATGCAGTACATCAAATACTTGTAAACTGCTCTGATACTTTTGTATGAATAGCAGTATATAACAATTATGTTCAAAAACATACAATAAAAACATTAAAATATTAAAATAAGAAAACTATTATGGAAAGGTGTGTTTTTAATAAGACTGATGGAATAGAAAATTTTCAGGAAGCATCTGAAGTCTGAAACAGAAGGCACCTGCTGAACCTCTGTTGGCAGAGTATCCCACAATACTGGACTTATGACACTAAATGCTCAGTTTCTTGCTGTTGTCAAATGAGCCTTATCCACCCTGCAGATGATCTCGGGGATTGAGCTGGGCCAGAAGGGGTCCCTGAGTTACCCTGGACACCTCAGTTGTTCAGAGCGTTGTAAATTAAGTGGATGGGCAGCCAGTGCAGATGTTTTAACAGTGGTGTCCCATGTTCTCAGCCAGATGGCCCCATCTGCATTTAGTCCATTATGATGCTTTGGTAAAGGTAAAGGGACCCCTAACCATTAGGTCCAGTTGTGGTAGACTCTGGGGTTGCGGTGCTCATCTTACTTTATTGGCCGAGGGAGCCGGCGTACAGCTTCCGGTTCATGTGGCCAGCATGACTAAACCGCTTCTGGCGAACCAGAGCAGCACACGGAAACGCCGTTTACCTTCCCGCCGGAGCAGTACCTATTTATCTACTTGCACTTTGACATGCTTTTGAACTGCTAGGTTGGCAGGAGAAGGGACTGAGCCACAGGAGCTCACCCCGTCGCGAGGATTCGAACCGCCAACCTTCTGATCGGCAAGTCCTAGGCTCTGTGGTTTAACCCACAGCGCCACCCGTGTCCCTTCATTATGATGCTTAGTCCTTCTAATACATGCCTGCTTCTGCCTATTCTGTTTTCTGTCTGATTATTACTTCTTACTACATCTCGCCAATAATCGTGGGCACAGCCAGGATGCTGGACCAGGTGGGCCATTGGCCTGACCTAGCAGGCTCTTCTGACGCTCAGATGTTCTTAAGAGAGCTTCGGTGTTTATCTGATCTGGAGGGAAGGAAATAGTGTTGCCTTTGCTGCAGTACTTTCCCTGATTACAAAAGCAGGTATATAAACTGAAGTTATTTCTGACATTGCTCATTCAGTGATTGGCCCTTCCTTATGTTTTCATTTAAAAAAACAACAACTTGGGCATGTAAGTGATCATGTGGTTTTCCTGATAGATCCAGAATTTTATGTAGACACTTCTCTCAATTTTTTTAAAAAACCCTTTGCTTCTGTTTCAGAAAGTGATCTTCCACCTGTCTATTTTGTTCATCTTTCTGGACTTGTGCCATGAACATTGCATCCATAATTCCTTTACCGCGGACAATAAAGATGGTAATATTTTCAAACACTCTTTTAGTTTGGGCAGAAGGATTGTTCCATAAGGAACAAGGTGCTCCTGGTACAGGTGGATCCACACCATATGTATAAAACATATTCAGGGACTTAGCTTCCCCCAAGGAATAATGGGAACTGTGGTTTGTTAAGCTTGCTAGGATTTACAGTTCCCATGGCTGGGGTGTCACTAGCTTTAAATGCAGGGTGTGGCTCTATGTGTACCTTGACCACTTGAAGTATCTGCTTTTAATGCAGATCTCACCCAGTTGGGGTTTCAGCTGAGCAAGGTGGGCTAATTATGAATTCAGGTTCCAGCAAGGGTAGCGTGGCATTTCAGCCAGGTGAGGCAAGCAAAACAAGGTCATCTTCCAGCAAGACAAAGCTGAAATTAAGCTCCAGTCAAGTGGAGTGGGAAGCCTTCTAGATCTCTCCATATGGAGCTGTGGCAGCAAGCGGACACAGACTGAGGCTGCACCTCCAGCTGTCTCCACCTCCAGCCATCAAAGTCTCTCCAGCAAGGCTAGGAATGCAACTCCCTTAAACTGGGGAACTGCCAGCAAAATGGGCTTCTTGTGTGCTAGAGCTCCCAGGACAGTGGAGGCGTTCTGGACCAATTCAAAGGGCAGCTGCTGCCTCACCCATTTCCTCTGCATTTTGTTCATGTGTGGAAAATGCCATGTGAAAAACTTTCTGATATAACTACTCAGAGACTCCTTAGCATCTCTGTAATCCCAGAGAAAGCAAAATATATATCAGCCTGGTCCCGACTATGGCAACCAGATATATCACAGAAAAGTCAAAGAATAGGCTCTGCCCGCTCACTTTTGAGCAGGGCACACAAGGGAGGGAAGGTGGGGACTGCACTGCTAGGGAAAAGTACAGCCAGCTTTTACCCTCCCCCTTGCCGGGCAGTGATAGGCCACTTCATGTTTGGATTTCATGGGTGACTTCTGACCACCACCGCAACCAACAGAGGAGCTGATGTCACTCAGCAGCCGCACGGGACACCCCACCCCCCCCGGCCACACTGGACCGCAATTGCCACTCCTGGTGAATCAGGTAAGCAGTCCTTTCCAGCCTTCTATGCCAGGAAAAGAGCTCTGAGCAGCAGTTCTAGCTTATTTGTTTGCAGGGAGATTAGGCAATGCTGGCTGTTTAATGACCATTCATTCTTATTTGTTTATGGGAGATTAGATGATGTTGCATCAAAGCAAGTGTTACTATCCCACAAAACCCAGTACATTTCCCCATCACTTTCCTTCTCTCAGATAGTCCAGTCTTTTGAGGAGGTAGGCTTGTTGTGGAAAACCTCCAAATCAACTTTAATTGTGCAACCTGATCTTGTCGGCATGTGACTGAATCCCACCTTAATGTGACAGTTGGAAGCTCCCTCTGACATTACTGATTTATCCAAATTATGTCAACAAGATTATATCAATTGTATCACTTTTGAGGAGTCTTTGCTAGAGAAATAAAGGTGGTTTATCTGCTATACCTCTGTATATCAGGTTACTATCAAACGAAGAGGAGCCGTATCAGAAAAACGAACAATCTGGCAACTACAACTTGATTGTAGTGATCATTGTGACGAATGGCGGTTTCCCCAGACACACCTATAATTTCACTGACACTTGGAGGCTTGACACTAATGCAGAGGAATTGGTTCCAGGTGAATGTACTGATTCTTATGATGCAAGCAAGCATCCATCTGGGTCAGCATGGAATACATCTGAGTGCATGAGTTGCGAGTGTAATAATGGCACCATGAGCTGCTGTTCCAGGTAAGCATGAGCTTCCAAATTATTGATCTCTCAGCCAGTGGGTTTCCAAAAAAACCCCACCCAACCCCAATTGTCGTGTGGCAGAGATTTGGGAGGAGGGTACCACACAACCCTCTCGGTTGTGACCTTCCTAACACACCACCCCCTCCGCCATGCAGCAATCAGCCTTGGGAACAAGGCTTCCGTTGTTACCAGTGTAAGGTTTTCCTCTTAGGATTAAGAGGGCTAATTGCTGGAGCAAGCAGGGTTGAGATGGGATAATGGTGTGACTCCACAGGCAGGCAGCCTTTTGTGTTTTCAAAGACAGAGCTGCATTCCATACTGGGATATTAACTTGCAATAAACATTCAAAAGTTAAGCTGTATTTAAGTCAGCTTCTTTTAAGTCACCATCTATCAAAAGGGGTCGATTTAGAGAGGCACTTAGCAAGGTTTATTTTTCTGCTTCATCTTTATTGGTGATGTTTCTACAGAACTTCAGTTAGCGCACAATTAAACCTCAAGGTCATTGTACTACAAAATGGAGGGGGGGATTGCATTGCATGCCAGCATTAAGGCATAATAATGAGTTTAGGAGTGCTGGTGAATTTAGCTACAACATATCATTTATTTTGTTTAAGAAAATATATTGCCGCTCTTCCCCTGTTATCACAACACTCAGGGAAGCATCCCATTTAAAAACAATCATAAAATAATAAAAGTTTAAATTAACCCCAGATTCATTAAATTAACATTGAACAAAAATGTTTATATTCTGTATTGGGTGGGGTGTAATTTTATAACAACCTTAAACATAAGAGAATTTTTACTAAATCTTGGCTCCTAGGAAAAATGAGAGCTCAAAAGACTGTGGGAAGTAAAGACGGAACTTATGTTTAAACATGTTTTTGTTTTTTAGATATGGTGCCATTGCTCACTTAGAAGGATGCACTTCGTATCTTGATAAAGAAACGTGTACATACAAGTCTCATAAAATTAATGACCCCTCAAAACCATGTGATGTACCTTAAAAACCCAGCCTGTCTTCTTGTCATGTTTATATGAGGACATGAATAAACTGAGTGATTGCACAGCTCTCAGTCTCTGACTTCTTCCTTTCAGCAGCCAACAAACTAATGTCTTTATTTTCACTGTGTGGAGTGGGGAGAGGTCTCAGGGCCAGGCCAGGCCATTTTGCAACCTGAGGTGGGACCATAAACATGCACTGCAGACCACTGCCCCAGCAACTAATCTTGCTGTAGCCAATTGCACAAGTTTTAAATTAAAAGCCAGAAGGTTATCCGCCCACCTCCACTGTGGGCAACTTTGAAAGTGAGGACACATTCTCCTGTTAATCACCTGATATCATTGCGACCACAAAAATCACCAACACAAATGGAATAGGAATATTTAAGCCTGGGAACCATTAGCAAATAATTATGCACAAGTTGTGCCATAAACAGACTGCTTGCGAGTTTAAACTCCTTCTACAATTAGGGATATCTTTGTGCATTAAGCCAGGGCAGTCGTGACAGGAAGGCAAGTGTAACAGGAAGATTCAAGGAAAATCAATATAGCATTTAAACATTTCAGTGTAGTATAGCATAGTATCACAAAAATGTTTTGGATATACAACCAGAAACAGTATCCATTCCTCTCTTCAAAAGCATTGGCTATTCTTCTACAGTTCTCCATGACATAATGTTGTGAACAGGGATTTTCAACTCTGACAAATATGAAAAATCAGAAAACAGTAAGGCTTCTTTGTGTTGATGAGGAGATGAGTGTTTGTTTGCCTCAAAATAGACCCAATATAAATGAGATTATCTGGCAAAAGTAAGCTCACAAATCTCATTGAGTTTGAACACATACTTAAGGTACGAGGCTCATATATAATTATTTTGGGAATGATCCATGTTCTTTTGTAGCTGCATTGTTTTATACTTTCCAGATGCCCCATGATAATATTATAAAGTAGGTACATTCTGTGCTATAAATCAAGCACTGCTAGGAGTTGCTTCTTTTTGTTTCCCCATACATTTCTTCTCAATTAAAAAATTGGTGTGGCACGAGCAAATTTTTATTCTGAAAGTGTGGCCAGAAAAAAAAGTTCAAGAACTACTGAGCTAAGGGAAGGGAGCCCCAGGCTCACAGGCCCAAAGTGGCCCTCCAGTCCTTTCTCTCCGGCCCTCAGGCAAGCCTTTCTCCAGGTCATGCCCTTCATGGGCGCTGCTCTGTTCTTTCCTTGAGTGCTTGGATTTGACTGGAATGTTTTCCTTGAGCTCTGGTGAAGTTTCCCATTTGCCTGTTGGAGAGGTGGGTACAGAAACATCTGACTTCTTCGTGGCTGGAATGTAGCCTCCTGTACAAAAGTAAGACTCACCTCTGTTGCTCTTCCCACATTTGCCTCTAGCCCTATCCATCTCTGCCATTTGAAGCTTGGGATGTGGTCATCCAGGCTGATAAATGCACTCCCACAACCCCTGTATTAAGCAGACACCTTCTCTCAGGTGTGACATGTCTATGCTAGAGGCATGAAAGTAGCTTGTTGAGCTACTCAATGAGCATCCATCTAAGACCCAATTGGTAAGGACATAGAACGTATTTTAATGTGATTGTGGCTATAAAAGAGTTAACACTCTCCCATTACCCAGTCACAACCCAATGGTCAGTTACTTCCAGTAGCAAAAGTCAGAGGGGGACAGGGAGTGAAGGAAGTAGGATGCTTTTGAAGGATTGTCCTGAAGTGGGAGAGTTAAACTGGACTCAGTTATGTCCTCTGAAAAGATGGGGTGGTATTGTACTACATGCCAATCTGTCAGGCAGGTTCTGACTCTTCTTGGGATAAATGGTGCTCTCTTTCAGGCCCTTTTCATCAATGGACAGGGATTTTCCACCAAAAGTCTTTTCCACTACGAATCTTTTGGTGCCAAGCCTCACACAATTTTCGCTGCTCCACTTGTGTTTTACGAGATGTTCCCATTCTGTTTTCAGTGTGTTCCTATTAAACAACATCTTCAAAGCTTTAAAACAGGGGTCAGCAACTTTTTTCAGCCGTGGGCTGGTCCACCGTCCCTCAGACCATGTGATGGGCCAGACTATATTTGGGGGGAGGGGAATGAACGAATTCCTATGCCCCACAAATAACCCAGAGATGCATTTTAAATAAAAGGGCACATTCTACCCATGGAAAAACACACTGATTCCCGGACTGTCCGTGGGCCAGATTTAGAAGGTGATTGGGCCGCATCTGGCCCCCAGGCCTTAGGTTGCCTACCCCTGCTTTAAAAGGCTGATAAGACCCTTCTGGGTTCTCCACTTATCTTCAGTGCAAAAGAAGCACCATTTGAATCAGAAGTCAATGTTTTCTTCCTGGCAAACATTTGTGCTCACATTAATTTTGCCCAAAACCTCTGGTGCCAAGGAGGCTTTCTCTCTGGGTTTGTCTCTCCTCCTTCTCCTTTGTCTAAAGGTGGGTAGTGGGTTTCCTGGAGACTTAAGTAAAGGGGCCTCCAGTTGCTACTAGACCCATTTCTGCCTCCAGTAGCAGCACACTGAGAAGCAAGATGGTAAGCACAAAGCTTTTGCATTCCACTATAACCAACTGTGGGTTGTATGCAACTAAATCCTACTCAGGGTAGACCCACTGAAATTAATAACTCTAAACCAGTCCTTGTATTGGATCCCACCCTGTTTGTTTAATCTGGATTTATTCCAAATTTTGAAAAGGAGTGGGAAAATATGTCATTTTTTTGTTTCTTTCAGTTTCTCATTTTTCTACTTCTGAGTTCTATACATTTCCACACCAGTTTGTGAAACCTTTAAAAAAGTCACCATGAAAAATTCAGCAGCATTTAACTGCAACTTCCTCCTAATATACATCTTTCTATGTAATTTTACACATTTTATGCATTATACTCATGTTTCCAAAGTGACTTTCCTTTATATAATGCATCTTTGTATTCTAGTTTCAGTATAACAACAACAACAACAACAACAATTTATTTATACCCCGCCCTCCCCAGCCAAGACCGGGCTCAGGGCGGCTAACATCAGGTATAAAAACAATTGATTAAAATACAACTTAAAAACAGGATTAAAATACAACTTAAAATGCAGCCTCATTTCAGTGGAAGCCCAGATCAAAACCTGTTTGAGGGGAGAAAACGTCAAATCTTCACCAAGGCCAACTATCCAGACTGGTCATACGTGGGCCAGAAAAAAGCCAGGGAAGTCCCCAAATAGGGGTTCCATCACAGAAGGAAAAGGAAAGAGGGGGAGGGGATCAGGCTGATTCCAAGCCAAAGGCCAGGCAGAACAGCTCTGTCTTACAGGCCCTGCAGAAAGAAATCAGATCCCTCAGGGCCCTGGTCTCATGAGGCAGAGCGTTCCACCAGGCTGGAGCCAGTGTTGAAAAGGCCCTGGCTCTGGTTGAGGCTAATCTAACTTCCTTAGGGCCCGGGACCACTAGGGTGTTGCTATTTATGGACCTTAAGGTCCTCCGCGGGGCATACCGGGAGAGGCGGTCCTGTAGGTATGAGGGCCCTAGGCTGCATAGGGCTTCAAAGGTCAAAACCAGCACCTTAAACATGACCCTGTACTCCACCGGGAGCCAGTGCAGCTGGAAAAGCAATGTTGTCCCGCGGCGAGGATCCCGTAAGGAGCATTCTGCACCTGCTGGGGTTTCTGAGACAACTTCAAGGGCAGCCCCACGTAGAGCGAGTTACAGTAGTCAAGCCTGGAGGTGACCGTTGCATGGATCATTGTGGCCAGGTCGGGGCGGGAAAGGTAAGGGACCAACTGCTTGATGCGGTGGAGATGGAAAAATGCCACCTTTGCAGTAGCTGCAACCCGTACCTCCATGGAGAGGGAGGCATCGAAGGTTACACCCAAACTCTTGACAGAAGGCACTGGCACAAGCTGAGCTCCCACAAGAGATGGGAGTTCGCCCCCCAATCCCATGTCGTCCCAACCCAGCCAGAGGACCTCTGTCTTCAAAGGGTTTAACTTCAACCAGGTCCCACACAGCCATCCAGCCACAGCTTCCAAGCATCTGATCATTGTGTCCGGAGCCAAGTCAGGGCGGCCGTCCATCAACAGATAAAGCTGGGTGTCATCAGCATATTGATGACAACACAGCCCAAAACTCCAGACAATCTGGGCAAGGGGGTGCATAAAGATATTGAAAAGCATTGGGGAAAGGATTGCGCCCTGTGGGACTCCACACACCAAGGAGTGCCACGGCAACAACTCCTTCCCTAGCACCACCCTCTGTCCCCGACCTGAGATAAAGGAGCGCAGCCGTTGCCTGACTGTGCCCTGAATCCCCATGTCGGCAAGGCAGTGGTCCAAAAGATTGTGATCAACCATGTCGAAGACTGCTGACAAGTCTAAAAGAATCAGCAGTCCTGACCTGCCTCGGTCCAGCTGTCTATGGAGATCATCTGTTAGGGCGACCAAAGCCACCTCGGTCCCGTAACCAGGGTGAAAGCCAGACTGGAATGGATCCAGAGCTGATGTTTCATCCAAAAACTTGCCAAGCTGTTCAGCAACCACTCTCTCAATTACCTTACCCAGGTACGAAAAATTCGAAACTGGACGGTAAGTGGATAGATCTAAAGGATCTAACGATGTTTCCTTTAAGACCGGACACACCACTGCTCCCCTGGGAATGTCCCCGTGCCAAGGGACAAGTTGATGATCTCACTCAGGGAGACCCGCACCTCGTCTTGGCATGCTCTAATCAGCCAAGACGGGCACGGGTCAAGGAGGCAAGTGGTGGGCCTTCCAGCTCGGAGGAATCTGTCCACATTGGCAGGGAATATCCGGTCGAAATGGTCCAATACTGGACCCGAGGACAGTCGAGGGGCCTCCAGTTCTGTTACTCTATCCAAATTGGCAGGGAGGTCATGGCAGAGCAGCAGGACTTTCTCCGCAAAAAAGCTTGCAAATGCCTCACAGCTATGGGTCAAATTTATATTTAAATTTGGCTGTCCCACTGGGGACGTTAAAGACCTAATTATTCTGAAAAGTTGTGCCGGGTGAGAGCTAGTGGATGCAATGGAAGCTGAGAAGTAAAACTTCTTTGCAGCTTTCACTGCCATCTCATAGGCTTTCAAAGGCGTCCTATAAGATGTTCTTGAGGCTTCGTTGCAAGCACAGCGCCATACACGCTCTAGCCGTCTGAGGTCCCGCTTCATTTTCCAAAGCTCCTCGGTAAACCAGGGGGCCCGGTTTTGGCAGGGTTGCAGAGGGCGCTTAGGTGCGATCTCATCGATGGCTGCCAGGAGCCGGTTATTCCAGTTCTCAACAAGCTTATCTAGTGAGCCGCCAGGGGGAGCAGGGTCCTGCAAGGCCTGATGAAATCCATCAGGATCCATCAGCTTTCGCGGGTGAGCCCAAATAGACTTGCCACCCCCTTGCTGGTCATTGACCGTATTAAAGATTTTGAATTTGAAATTTGAATTTGACTTGCCACCCAAGCGGGATGGGGGCGGGAAGTCAATCTTGGCTTTCAGAGTGTAGTGATCAGACCATGGCATTTCCACAGGGGAGGACATGATCACATCTATGCCCATGCCAAAGATCAGTTCCAGCGTGTGGTCTGCTTGATGTGTGGGACCCAAAACAAACTGGGAGAGACCTAATGTCGCCATGGAAGACACCAGGTCCAGAGCCCGTAAGGAGGGGGCGGCATCAGCATGGACTTTGAAGTCCCCCCAAACCAGTATGAGTTACCTGAGTATAGACAGTTTTGTACAAGCTACTTGGAGCAAAATTTGGAGAAGTGCAGAGAAGTGCCATTGGCTACCTTTGGGTTTGTGTATTGTTTCATAAAGTGTGAACTGGGTAGGTTTGTCTGTAAATGCAAATTGAAACACATTTTTCTGCCACTCCTACGTAAGGTAGACTTCTTTCAGGTGAGAGGAGCTAAAAAGGCATTCAGAATTGTGAAGACAAAGTGCTTCCAATATTGACACATGATCTATCTGTTTATGTTTGTTTCTGCCCATTTGCTCATTGTCAAGACACACCGTATGTGTGTGTGAAAGGGAGATGAGAGAGAGAAAGAGAAGGCAGCATATTCATGCATTACTGGGAAAAATTACAAAAATGCATTGTCTTAGGGAAAATCTATATTAGGGGACACCCCAATACAAAGATGTGTATGTGTAGGAGAAATTCACACCAAACTACTGATGTGGGAATGTGGAAAGCTGAGAGTTGAAGGAGGAGGGAACTGTAACTCACAGATCTTCCCATTCCTGGCTTAAGACCAGCTTGCCGGTTGGTTAAAGGTATACAGGTCGGAGCCAAACAGTACAAACTGAGAGCATTTGCAGATGACTTAGTATTGACGTTACAGGAGCCAGAATCTAGTACTAAAAGGGTTTTAGAACTGATTCAAGAATTTGGTCAAGTGGCAGGATTTAAATTGAACAAGTCAAAAACTAAGGTTTTAGAGAAAAATTTAACACTGATTGAAAGAGAGAGGTTTCAGAATGAGACAGGTTTAACAGTGGTTAAGAAAGTTAAATACCTGGGGATTAACATGACAGCAAAAAATGGGAACTTATTTAAAGATAACTATGAAAAATCAGGGACGCGGGTGGCGCTGTGGGTAAAACATCAGTGCCTAGGACTTGCTGATCACAAGATCGGCGGTTCAAATCCCCGCGGCGGGGTGAGCTCCCGTCATTCTGTCCCAGCTCCTGCCCACCTAGCAGTTCGAAAGCACGTTAAAGTGCAAGTAGATAAATAGGTACCGCTCTGGTGGGAAGGTAAACGGCGTTTCCGTGTGCGGCGCTGGTGCTGGCTCGCCAGATGCCGCTTAGTCACGCTGGCCACGTGATCCGGAAGTGTCTCCGGACAGCGCTGGCTCCCGGCCTCTTGAGCGAGATGAGCGCGCAACCCTAGAGTCGGACATGACTGGCCCATACGGGCAGGGGTACCTTTACCTTTTTATGAAAAATGTAAAGAAACTGAAGGTACATTCTTTCACGTTTGGTGGACGTGCCCAAAGATTAAGGCTTTCTGGGAAATGATATATAATGAATTGAAAAAGGTATTTAAAAGGTATTGAAAAAGGTATACCTTCCTGAAGAAACCAGAGGCCTTTCTTTTGGGCATGGTCGGCCAATTGGTGCCAAAGAAGGACAGAACTTTTTTTATGTATGCTACAACAGCAGCAAGAATACTCATTGCAAAGTATTGGAAGACACAAGATCTACCCACTCTGGAAGAATGGCAGATGAAGGTGATTGACTACATGGAATTGGCAGAAATGACTGGCAGAATCCGAGACCAGGGAGAAGAGTCGGTGAAAGAAGACTGGAAGAAATTTAAAGACTATTTACAGAAATATTGTAAAATTAATGAATCTTAGAAGGATGTTGGATAGAAACTAAGTGGTTTCCAGCTGTAATGCTTTAAGAGATACGAAAAAGGTTTACAAGTGGGTAAAAGCTTAATGGTAAGGATTTGCTGAACTAACAAACTGAACTGGAATACAAAAAGGGAGGTACGAGGAGGTCCGGGAAATAAGTGTAAGGAAGATATGCTATGGAAAATTAATGTGTTTTTAACTGTTTTTATTTTGTATGTTTCTTTTTATTTTTCATTTCTTTGTTATACCTTAATAAGGGTTTTTTTATTCTTCTTGCTGTATTTTGTATTTTCTTGTATTTTTATTTTTTGATTTTGTGTAATTCTTGTATTCTTTGAAATTTTAATAAATATCATTTTAAAAAAAATCAGACTGCTGCAGTTTAGATCCTATTCAACTCAGTACATAACATCCTCTCAGCGAGCTACACTTCCAGAGTAGTTTAACAATCAATGCCTCTTCCCAGGCAAGTCTGGAGAAGGGACTAGGACACCTCTCAGCACCCTTCACATCCTTCCCAAGATGATTAGGGGGACACCATGACTGTGAAAGGGACCTCCGAGTGCTTTCAATGGATGCTGCTCATGTGGCCTTAATCTCAGCTGACCCAAGTGACTTGTGGGCCTGAGGTGCCTTGCCTGCGTTTTCTTGGGAGAATGGGGGTAGTTTTTGGGTCACAGTGGAATACACTTGTTTTTATCCACGGTAATAAATACTCAATAAAAGATAAGAGACACACACAAATAACTGATTTATTTAGATTCCCGTATGTGAAAGGACAGGGATGTGTGTTGAAAGCTTAGAAACATGCCTTGGAGGGGCCTTGGATTTTAATGTACTTCTATTCCCATGTTTTTTAACCTAACTCCCCTTTGCATCCATCAGCACCTGCAGAATCACCGTATCTAAGAAGGAGCTGAACATGCAGGCCAAGCTTGATCTAAAGTCGCCAAGGTGTTTTTCTTCCACAGCCTTCATCTATCTTGGAAATGCTTTGCTGGATCCCGGGGAAACGAAGGTTTTGGAAATCATACCTGGGTTTGCCTGAGGCAGATTTGCTTGGGGAATCTCGGGCTGGGTGTGCACCAGGCCCAGCTGTGTAGAAATGTGTTTCATTCCACACAACATTTCAAACACACACACTGCGCGAAATGTGCTTGGCTGCACATTAGAAGAAACCGGTCTTGATTAGGAATTGGGGGGGGGGGGTTCACTTAAGTTCATACTGAAAGGCAAATTTATCAAATTTGCACTTTTCAAAATAATATGAGAACCAAAACAGAGGCATCTCTGGAAATTCAGTTATCCAAATTTTGTGATGCAGTTCACCAACTAACCATTGTTTACCAAAATACATGAAGTGGGTAAAAATGTGCATAAAAATGAATATATTAGTGGAAATTGCATATATATCTCCCAAAATATTGCTGAGGAATTCACTTAACTGGGGCTCCAGGGAAGTGGCGTTTTCTGCCTCAGTGCAGCCGTAGTCTGGTCCTGGGGGGCCATGTTTCCCTCCCTGCGTGGCCCTTGGTGCCTCTCCCTTCTTGCTAAAAAGCCCCTGACCGCAAGGTTGCTAAAGATGCCTTATGACTGAAGCATGGCAAGATCTTCTTTTCTTGCTAGAACCCCCTGGCCATAAGGTTGCTAAAGATACCCAATTTCTTCAGAAACATGCAACAACTTGTTTTTCTTACTAAAAAGTCCCTAACCTCGTGATTTCTAAAGAAACATCACCCTATAGAATGTTTAGCCACAGCTATTTTGAAATACCAATAGCAACCTATGCCCTAACTGCTTTAGTCATTTAGCCTTGTGACCTTCATAATTAATTTAAAAACTCATGTTTTATTTTGCGAAAGCAATCTGAAAAGACAACTTATATAATTTCTCACAGCCAGGGAGGAATTTTTCCTGCAGATAAATGGGCTTTTGTTTGTCTCAGAGCAAATGTCACAACTTTGGCAGATGACTGACTGCAGAGGCAGAACAGTGACTGGTAGTGGATGAAAGCCCTCTCCTAATTTCATGTGCCTGCATCATGTCACCTCTTACTTGCCTTTTCTCTAGGGTAAGAAATCCCAAATGCTGCAATCTTTCCTTGGGCGAGTTGCTCCACCCCCTGTTCATTTTGCTTGCAATGTTTTCTTCCTGGCAAGCATTTTCTTGGCCAGTTTGCTGGCCTTTTTTGACAGTATCCTTGTTGAGGTGAGGCTGTAAAGACAAATATCTAGAGCCATATCTCTTGCAGAACTCAACACTATCCTGGTCTAATAACGTTTAACCTGATTTTCCTGTTCCCGGTTCTGGTTCTGAACTGCACTTATCAATGAATATCTCCTCTCCCAGCTGTTATTGGAAACATGTATGTCAGCAGAAGCAAATATTTTCTTCGGCCAGTTAAGACCTCCATCCCTCTCATTTTGCCCCTCCTCCTTCCCATTTGTATAAAGGGGGTATGGGATTCTCTACAGACTTACATGAGGGACACCAGAGCTCTTTCCTCCACGCCCCAGTAAGAGTTTGCCAGCAAATCATTGAAAAACCAAGATGGTAAGTGGAATGCTTTGGGGATGGTTGGCACACAACTTTTTCTTTAATCTAGATTAGGTTTAAATGGTGGAAAGGGAGATTTGTGTGTGGAGAGGGGGTGTGCAAAGGCATTCAGAATTATGAGGATTGTGTACCTCACTTGCTGAGGCTTTCTCAGACTCCAGGCTTATCTGAAGGCTTATCCACCCTTACTTTTCCTCTGCTCTTTCCAGGCACAGTCTGTGCTTTGCAGCAGGGGTAGGCAACCTAAGACTGGATGCGGCCCAATCGCCTTCTCAATCCGGCCCACGTACAGTCCAGGAGTTTTTACATGAGTAGAATGTTTCCTTTTATTTAAAATGCATCTCTGGGTTATTTGTAGGGCATAGTAATTTGTTCATATTTCCCCCCAAAATATAGTCCAGCCCACCACATGCTCTGAGGGACGGTGGGCTGACCCACGGCTGAAAAAGGTTGCTGACCCTGCTCTATAGCTTTAGAGCTCACATTTGGGGATCAAATCCAAAGCCGGGATTGCTTTTGTAATTCTGGAACGGTCCCTCTTAAAAATCCCTCTTAAGTATAAAATGACCCAACTCAGCTACTCAAGTGTAGAAGCTTAATATAGAGGGATTTTTTCAAAGGCCTAGGGTTGAATCCAGTGCGAATCATACCCAGAGTAGATCCATTGAAATTGATGGACAAGACTAACTTACGCACATTAATTTCAGTGGGTCTGCTCTGAGTACAATTTAGGCACATAGAATCCATTTTTAACAGAACGAGAGGTTCTAGATATAAATATATGATAGCACCATCTTGAATGATTTGTGCATGTGTGTGTCTGTTTTGCAGAAAATTCTCTTGAGCCTGACTGCCTTGTCTTTGACACTTGCCTTGTGTCAGGGATTCTGCATGTTCAGCGAGCACAAAGCAGAGATTAAAGATGGTAAGTAAACAGCAACGTAATGTTAATATGTAACCTATTCATGGCCAAATAATTATTTAATGTTTGAAAAATGTGTTCCTGACTAGAGATGAGGGGGGAAATGCACCCCATTCATATTTTAACATAAACCTACCAAATCTGCTCTTGCAGAACCAGAACACAGACCAAAATGCAGCTACCTTCAAAATCTACACTTCTCTGGATGTTGTGATGCTGCTCAGAGTCTAAAATGACCTGTCACTGCTCCCGTCTCATCTTCTCATTGATGAGTCCCTGCTTAAGCTCTTACTTTTATTGTGTATTTTGTGTTTCTTATATTGTATTTTTAGGTTGTGAACTGCCCTGAGGATGGTATATAAATAGTAATAATATTAACTGTTAGAAATTGAAACGGCCAGATTCCCCATCCACAGGGCACCCCATTCACTCCCACCATGTTTTAAGCTTGGAACCACCGTCTGCAGACACAAGCAGGAGACTGCATGGCCGCTGTATAAGTCACTGTGCTTTGTGCTGAGCAGCAGCTTCTTACTGCATGAGCTGTTTGGGGGCTAATGTTAAATTTCTCTCCCTAGGTAAACCGGTGCCGCCCACTGAGTGTACCGATCCATATGATGGCAGCAAGCATCCATTCGGCTCTAAGTGGAATACAGCGCAGTGCATGGGATGCACATGTAGTGAAAGTGGAACGGAGTGCTGTTCCAGGTAGGCCAAATACCCAGAATGGCACTGGGTCTATAAATCTCTTTCAAATTATTTTGCCCCGTTCTCTTTGGAAGATCTTCTGCTCAATAAACATTCAGGGACGGAATTAGCTGAAGACAGGTGTCCCAATAAATCTATACCTTTGAAGATAGGTTGCATAAAATTGTGGCCTACATTTCCTTGAACCAAACAGTGAATTGATTGATTAATTCAGATATTTATAGACTTTATAGAAAGCAGACTCATGAAATTTGATCTGGAACAAGCACTGAGCATGTCCAGAGTGCCTTTCCAATCATCCGATGACCAGGCATTCGCTGTGTGGAAGCTTGGACTTTGGGATCTCCCTGAGTCCCAGATCCTCTCATCCGGAGACCACCTAAGAGCTGGTGCTGGGGAGAGGGACCCCAATGCGCCCAATGGAACAGGACCCCTCCTCTTTCCTGCACCTTCCTGTCTCCTTCTGTCTCCCTCCTGGCTGGCCTCTTGGTTTCGCACCAACATTTTGCTACACCCTTTTTTGTGCATGGGTGCTGCCCTCAACCACTGCAAACATAGTGGGGGGTGGAGGGTCATCGTACAGCAACATGCAATGGCATATTGTGCAAGACATTCAGCTTGGATTCCCCAGGAGAATTTGGCCTCAGGCCAAATGTTTTCCAAGGGCTTGGTTTTCCCTGGATGGAGCAAACATCTTGCAAAACTGCTTTTCTGCCAGGTAGTTCCAATCATTCTTGGCATGTCCTAAGTGAGCAGGAGAAAGGAGCGCTCCTCTACAAGATCTCCATAAGCTCAGGGAAGCCTAAGTTTACACATTGTTCTTCTTCTTTTTAGGTACGGTGGTACTGCTGATGTTCTGGGATGTAAAGCAGTGGTAAATCCAAACACATGTGAATATGAGTTCTATAAACTGGACGATCCCTCCAAACCCTGTTTCTGAGCTTTACAAATCCCACCCAAATTCCCTTCATGTAAGAGAATCTGAATAAATCAGTCATATATGCATTTTGGTGTGTATCTGTTGTCTTTGCTTGATATCACTACTTGCAGAATTTGGTACATATCATAATGAAAGTGATGGACATGCCTATCTCAGCTATCAGCAGCTTTTTAGAGTCTAATGGATTATTAACTATTGCTTAATTTGAAATAAGTTGTTTATTTTAAAGTTATTGTGACTTTTTTTGTATTGGATCAGATACAAGTCACTCACCAATCACAATTCTGACTTGGCTGAACCCCCTGACAGACAGGAGTGGCCAGGCTGGCTCATTTAACAGAGGTTGCTTAGAACATGCACATTGTGCTTCATAACTTTCTCCCTAGAAGGGTTAGAGACTCATCTTTTAAAATTTATTTTTATTATATTTGTATACTGCCCTCCACCCAAAGATCTCACGGCGGTTGACAGCATAAAACTACAAAATAAAATGCAAAATACCTACTAAAAACAGGAGGAGAAAAAGAAAAGGAAAAAGGAAACTACCTCTCCCACCCACTGGACCTTTTGGGAAGGAGGCACATGAAGAAGGGCCTCAGAAGATGATTGTAGGGTCCGGGGAGTGTCTTGCTTTGGGGGGGTCAAATCCCTCCCACAGCGGCAGCCAAGAGGCAGAGAAAGGATGAAAGTTCTTAAAAGAACTGGCAGATGTGATCTCAGAACCACTGGCAGTCATCTTTGAGAATTCCTGGAGAACAGGCGAAGTCCCGGCAGACTGGAGGAGGGCAAATGTTGTCCCTATTTTCAAAAGGGGGAAAGAGAGGACCCAAATAATTACCGCCCAGTCAGTCTGACATCAATACCAGGGAAGATTCTGGAGCAGATCATTAAGCAAACAGTCTATGAGCACCTAGAAAGGAATGCTGTGATCACCAATAGTCAGCATGGATTTCTGAAAAATAAGTCATGTCAGACTAACCTGATCTCGTTTTTTGTTTTTTTGTTTTTTTTAAATGATTTTTATTAAGATTTCAGTAAAAGATTAAACAGAAAAACATAAAAAAGAAATATACAAATACACAATACATAATCCACAGAAGAAGAAAAAAAAACACAGAGAACAAAAAACGAAAAAAGAAACAGAACAATTAAAAACAATATCACCTTTTCATTTCCGTTTTTAAATTTACTTATTTTCTGGACCTCCTCATACCTCCCTCTTTTGTATTCCAGTCCAAATTGTTTGTCCAGCAATTTCTTTTCCACTTTTTAATCCCAATCTTTAATCTTAATGTAATATAGCATTAAAATTTTACCTCTTAAATACCAAATTTCCATTTCCTTAAACTTCTTTAATCCTAATCTTTAATCTTAGTCTATCTATAACTTTAAATCCTGTACAGCTGGAAACCACTTATTTTCAATCCAACATCACTCTAGCATTCTTTAATTTTGCAGTGTTTCTGTAGATAATCTTTGAATTTCTTCCAATCTTCCTCCACCGACTCTTCTCCCTGGTCACGGATTCTACCAGTCATTTCCGCCAGTTCCATATAGTCCATCAGTTTCATCTGCCATTCCTCCAGCGTGGGAAGTTCTTGTGTCTTCCAATACTTTGTGATGAGTATTCTTGCTGCTGTTGTTGCATACATAAAGAAAGTTCTATCCTTTTTTATCACCATTTGGCCGACCATGCCCAGAAGAAAGGCCTCAGGTTTCTTAGGGAAGGTATATTTGAATACCTTTTTTAATTCATTATATATCATTTCCCAGAAAGTCTTAATCTTTGGACACGTCCACCAAAGGTGAAAAAATGTACCTTCAGTTTCTTTACATTTCCAACATTTATTATCGGGCAAATGATAGATTTTTGCAAGCTTGACTGGGGTTATGTACCACCTGTATATCATTTTCATAATATTCTCTCTTAAGGCATTACATGCCGTAAATTTCATACCTGTGGTCCACAACTGTTCCCAGTCAGCAAACATAATGTTATGTCCAACATCTTGTGCCCATTTAATCATAGCCGATTTTACCGTTTCATCCTGAGTGTTCCATTTCAGCAGCAAGTTGTACATTCTTGACAAATTCTTAGTTTGGGGTTCTAACAGTTCAGTTTCTAATTTTGATTTTTCCACCTGGAAGCCAATTTTCTTATCCAAATTATATGCCTCCATTATCTGATAATAATGAAGCCAATCTCTCACTTTGTTTTTTAGTTTTTCGAAACTCTGCAATCTCAATTTATCTCCTTCTTGTTCCAAAATTTCCCAATAATTCGGCCATTTGACCTCCATATTGAGCTTTTTCAAGGCTTTCGCTTCCATTGGTGACAGCCACCTTGGGGCTGATCTCGTTTTTTGACAGAATTACAAGCCTGGTAGATGAAGGGAACGCAGTGGATGTAGCCTACCTTGATTTCAGCAAGGCATTTGACAAGGTGCCCCAGGATATTCTTGTAAAGAAGCTGGTAAAATGTGGTCTTGACTATGCTACCACTCAGTGGATTTGTAACTGGCTGACTGACCGAACCCAAAGGGTGCTCATCAATGGTTCCTCTTCATCCTGGAGAAGAGTGACTAGTGGGGTGCCACAGGGTTCTGTCTTGGGCCCGGTCTTCTTCAACATCTTTATCAACGACTTGGATGATGGACTCAAGGGCATCCTGATCAAATTTGCAGATGACACCAAACTGGGAGGGGTGGCTAGCACCCCAGAGGACAGGATCACACTTCAAAACGACCTTGACAGATTAGAGAACTGGGCCAAAACAAACAAGATGAATTTTAACAGGGAGAAATGTAAAGTATTGCACTTGGGCAAAAAAATGAGAGGCACAAATACAAGATGGGGACACCTGGCTTGAGAGCAGTACATGTGAAAAGGATCTAGGAGTCTTGGTTGACCACAAACTTGACATGAGCCAACAGTGTGACGCGGCAGCTAAAAAGCCAATGCAATTCTGGGCTGCATCAATAGGAGTATAGCATCTAGATCAAGGGAAGTAATAGTGCCACTGTATTCTGCTCTGGTCAGACCTCACCTGGAGTACTGTGTCCAGTTCTGGGCACCACAGTTCAAGAAGGACACTGACAAACTGGAACGTGTCCAGAGGAGGGCAACCAAAATGGTCAAAGGCCTGGAAACGATGCCTTATGAGGAACGGCTAAGGGAGCTGGGCATGTTTAGCCTGGAGAAGAGGAGGTTAAGGGGTGATATGATAGCCATGTTCAAATATATCAAAGGATGTCACATAGAGGAGGGAGAAAGGTTGTTTTCTGCTGCTCCAGAGAAGCGGACACGGAGCAATGGATCCAAACTACAAGAAAGAAGATTCCACCTAAACATTAGGAAGAACTTCCTGACAGTAAGAGCTGTTCGACAGTGGAATTTGCTGCCAAGGAGTGTGGTGGAGTCTCCTTCTTTGGAGGTCTTTAAGCAGAGGCTTGACAACCATATTTCAGGAGTGCTCTGATGGTGTTTTCTGCTTGGCAGGGGTTGGACTCGATGGCCCTTGTGGTCTCTTCCAACTCTATGATTCTATGATTATTACCAAGCAATTTATTCAGTAATTCACAAAGCGTGACAAAGGAATGCAGTCTTCCCTAAATAAAGGCATTGCTCCAAGTAAAGTCCCCTCCCCTCCAGGTCTCCCCTATTCTACGTCACTCCTGCATCGGCTGATTTGAGCTGTCTGCCTCTGTGCTCTCTGTTCTGCTACCCTCGATGCCCACCTGGCCCTGGAAGGGGGGCTGGCCAGGAATCCTTTCCAAGGACACGGAGTCTGTCAGCTGACTCTCCCCTGGTGCTGCTGCTGCTTCTGCTCTTCCTCTCCCAATATTTCCCAGCTTCTGCCCTCTGCAGCCTCTCGGTTATGCCCTTCTGCAAACCACTGTTCTTCATTGGCTTCCCGATAGATATGCTATTTCCACTAATATATTCATTTTTAAGCACATTTTTACCCACTTCATGTATTTTGGTAAACAATGGTTAGTTGGTGAACTGCATCACAAAATTTGGATAACTGAATTTCCAGAGATGCCTCTGTTTTGGTTCTCATATTATTTTGAAAAGTGCAAATTTGATAAATTTGCCTTTCAGTATGAACTTAAGTGAACCCCCCCCCCCAATTCCTAATCAAGACCGGTTTCTTCTAATGTGCAGCCAAGCACATTTCGCGCAGTGTGTGTGTTTGAAATGTTGTGTGGAATGAAACACATTTCTACACAGCTGGGCCTGGTGCACACCCAGCCCGAGATTCCCCAAGCAAATCTGCCTCAGGCAAACCCAGGTATGATTTCCAAAACCTTCGTTTCCCCGGGATCCAGCAAAGCATTTCCAAGATAGATGAAGGCTGTGGAAGAAAAACACCTTGGCGACTTTAGATCAAGCTTGGCCTGCATGTTCAGCTCCTTCTTAGATACGGTGATTCTGCAGGTGCTGATGGATGCAAAGGGGATTGGGCCGAATTGCTGCGATAAAGATGAATGTATTGCCTAGAATGTTGTTTTTGTTTCAAACATTGCAAATTATGGACAAAATGGACTGTTTCAAGAGGTGGCAAAGAGATATTTCTAAATTTATCTGGCAGGGCAAAAAGCCTAGAATAAAATTTAAAATATTAACAGATGCAATGGAAAGAGGTGGATTTGCCCTGCCAGATCTTAAACTTTATTATGAATCAGCCGCATTTTGCTGGCTGAAAGATTGGCTACTTCTTGAAAATACGGACATTTTGGACTTAGAAGGTTTTGATAATGTGTTGTTTTTTTTAAAATAATTTTTTATTAAAGTTTTAAACAAACAAAAAAGAAAAACAACACACACACAAAACAATACAAAACTTAACAATATAAACACAAAACAATTAATAACAAACTCTCTTTTCCATTTCCAATTTTAAATTACTTATTTTCTGGACTTCCTCATACCTCCCTCTTTTGTATTCCAATCCACATTATTTATCCAGCAGTTTCTTTTCCACTTTTTTAATCCCAATCTTTAATTTAATAAAATGTTAAAATATATAGCTTCAACTTTTTTAAACCTAATCCTTGATCTTAATATCCTGTAACTTTAAAGTTTTCCCTTTTAAAATCAAATTTCCATTTCTTTAAACTTCTTTGATCTTAATCTTTAATCTTAATCTATCCTTAACTTTAACCTGTGCAGCTGGAAACCACTTATTTTCAGTCCAACATCACTCTAACATTCCTTAATTTTACAGTGTTTCTGAAGATAGTCTTTGAATTTCTTCCAATCTTCCTCCACCGACTCTTCTCCCTGGTCGCGGATTCTGCCAGTCATTTCCGCCAGTTCCATATAGTCCATCAGTTTCATCTGCCATTCCTCCAGCGTGGGAAGTTCTTGTGTCTTCCAATACTTTGCGATGAGTATTCTTGCTGCTGTTGTTGCATACATAAAGAAAGTTCTATCCTTTTTAACACCATTTGGCCGACTATGCCCAGGAGAAAGGCCTCTGGTTTCTTAGGGAAGGTATACTTAAATACCTTTTTAATTCATTATATATCATTTCCCAGAAAGCCTTAATCTTTGGGCACGTCCACCAAAGGTGAAAAAATGTACCTTCAATTTCTTTACATTTCCAACATTTATTATCGGGCAAGTGATAGATTTTCGCAAGCTTGACTGGGGTTATGTACCACCTGTATATCATTTTCATAATATTCTCTCTTAAGGCATTACATGCCGTAAATTTCATACCTGTGGTCCATAACTGTTCCCAGTCAGCAAACATAATATTATGTCCAACGTCCTGTGCCCATTTAATCATAGCCGATTTTACCGTTTCATCCTGAGTATTCCATTTCAGCAGCAAGTTATACATTCTTGACAAATTCTTAGTATTGGGTTCTAACAATTCTGTTTCTAATTTGGATCTTTCCACCTGGAAGCCAATTTTCCTGTCCAATTTAAATACCTCCATTATTTGATAATAATGAAGCCAGTCTCGCACTTTGTTTTTTAGTTTTTCAAAACTCTGCAATTTCAGTCTATCTCCGTCTTGTTCCAAAATTTCCCAATATTTCGGCCATTTGACCTCCATATTGACCTTTTTCAAGGCTTTCGCTTCCATTGGTGACAGCCACCTTGGGGTTTTATTTTCTAGCAAATCCTTATATCTTATCCAGACATTAAACAGCGCTTTCCTGACAATGTGGTTTTTAAATGCTTTATGTGCTTTGACCTTATCATACCATAAATATGCATGCCAACCAAATACATTGTTAAAACCTTCTAGATCCAAAATGTCAGTGTTTTCAAGAAGTAGCCATTCTTTCAACCAGCAAAAGGCTGCTGATTCATAGTACAGTTTAAGGTCTGGCAGGGCAAATCCACCTCTTTCCTTTGCATCCGTTAATATTTTAAATTTTATTCTGGGTTTCTTGCCCTGCCAGACAAATTTAGAAATATCTTTCTGCCACTTCTTGAAACAATCCATTTTGTCCACAATCTGCAAAGTTTGAAACAAAAACAACATTCTGGGCAATACATTCATCTTTATCGCAGCAATACGGCCTAGCAGTGAAAGCTTCAAATTTGACCAAATTTCTAAATCTTTTTCACTTCTGACCAACATTTTTCATAGTTATCTTAAAATAAATTCCCATTTTTTGCTGTCATGTTAATCCCCAAGTATTTAACTTTCTTAACCACTGTTAAACCTGTCTCATTCTGAAACCTCTCTCTTTCAAACGGTGTTAAATTTTTCTCTAGAACCTTAGTTTTTGACTTGTTCAATTTAAATCCTGCCACTTGACCAAATTCTTGAATCAGTTCTAAAACCCTTTTTGTACTAGATTCTGGCTCCTGTAACGTCAATACTAAGTCATCTGCAAATGCTCTCAATTTATAGTGTTTAATTCCGACCGTTATACCTTTAACCATCTGGTCCCTTCTAATCATATTCAGCAGAACCTCCAGGACCGAAATAAAAAGAAGTGGGGAAATTGGGCAACCTTGTCGTGTCCCTTTTTCAATTTTCAGTTCTTCCGTCACAACGTTATTTACAATTAGTTTAGCCTTTTGTTCTGAATAAATTGCACTTATACCATTCTCAAAACCTTGGCCTACCCCCATACCCTGAAGATTCTTCTTCATAAAATTCCAAGAAATATTGTCAAAGGCTTTCTCCGCGTCTACAAATATCAACACTGCTTTAGTGTTTATATTCACTTCTAATTTCTCCAAAATATCAATTATATTCCTCAAATTATCAGACAAATGTCTTCCTGGGAGAAAGCCCGCTTGGTCTTTATGAATCTCTTCCAACAGCACTTTTTTAAATCTCTTCGCCAACATATCTGCAAAAATTTTGTAATCCACATTAAGTAATGATATAGGGCAGTAGTTCTTAAGTTGTGTCTTTTCAATCTCTGTTTTTGGTACAAGTGTAATATATGCTTCTTTCCACGACTCTGGTGCCCTCTTCCCCTCCATAATTTCGTTACAGACCTCTTTCAAAGGTTGAATTAACCATTCTTTTAAAGATCTGTAGTATCTAGAGGTCAAGCCGTCTGGTCCTGGAGATCTACCCAGTTGCATGTTTTGAATGGCACCTTCTAATTCCTGTTCAGTTATTCTGTCATTCAAAATTAGTCTCTTTTCTTGAGATATTTTTTGTAGTCCATTTGTTTTCAAAAATTGGTCTAAATCTGTTCCTTTCACTGGCCCTTGAGTATATAATCTTTTAAAATACTTCTGGAAACAACTTCTAATCTCCGCAGGGTTCTGTATATTCCTTCCTTCCACTTCTAAATTCATAATCGTATTTAGTTTTTGTCTCTTTTTCATTTGCCATGCCAACAATTTACCACATTTATTGGCCGATTCAAAAGTCTTTCGTCTCATTTGTTTAATTTTCCTTTCTATTTCCTGATTCATTATTTTCATATATTGTACTTGATATAACTTTAACTCTCTCAGAATCTCTTGAGATTTGGGATTTACTCTCAGTCTTTTTTCACATTCATTCATTTTGTGTTTGGATGGCATGCATATTTATGGTATGACAAGGTTAAAGCGCACAAGGCCTTTAAGGACCACATTGTCAGGAAAGCACTGTTTAATGTTTGGGTGAGATATAAGGATTTGTTGGAAAGTAAAACACCAAGGTGGCTGTCACCAATGGAGGCTAAGGCTTTGAAAAAAACTAATATGGAGACAAACTGGCCAAAATACTGTGAAATTCTAGAACAAGTTGGAGATAAATTAAAGCTGCAGAGCTTTGATAAACTAAAAACTAAAGTTCGAGATTGGCTTCATTATTATAAAATAAGGGAGGCTTTTAACCTAGATAAAAAGATTGGTTTCCAGGAGAAAAAATCCAAACTGGAAACTGAATTGTTAGAGCCTAAAATTAAGAACTTGTCAAGAATGTATAACTTGTTGCTGAAATGGAATACACAGGATGAAACGGTTAAATCTGCTATGATTAAATGGGCACAAGATTTTGGACATAATATTATGTTTGCTGACTGGGAACGGTTATGGACCACAGGAATGAAATTTACGGCTTGTAATGCTTTAAGAGAAAACATAATGAAAATGATTTATAGGTGGTACTTAACCCCAGTCAAGCTAGCCAAAATTTATCATACGCCCGATAATAAATGTTGGAAATGTAAAGAAAATGAAGGTACTTTCTTCCACCTTTGGTGGACGTGCCCAAAGATCAAGGCCTTCTGGGAAATGATATACAATGAATTAAAAAAGGTATTGAAATATACTTTTCTAAAGAAACCAGCGGCCTTCCTCTTGGGTATGGTCGGCCAATTGGTGCGAGGGAAGATAGAACTTTTTTTATGTATGCGATAGCAGCAGCGAGAATACTTATTGGGAAATACTGGAAGACACAAGAATTGCCTACCCGAGAAGAATGGCAGATGAAAGTGATGGACTATATGGAACTGGCTGAGATGACCGGCAGAATTCGAGACCAGGGAGAAGGGTCGATGGAAGAAGACTGGAAAAAATTTAAATTATATCTTCAAAAATATTGTAACATAAAAGAATGTTAGAAAGAGGTTGGAAAAAGATCATTAGGTCGTTTAGGCTGAGATGATATTATGGACTAAGTAAAAATGAAGTGTAGAAATGAAGTGATGGGATAGAGGAGTACTAATTATGCTATCGAATGTTAAAATAAGTAATGAAAAGAAGGTTAGAAGGATTTGCTGGAAATATGATTTAAACTAGAATACAAAGCAGGGAGGTGAGAGGAGGTCACGGAAATAAGTAAAAGAAAAAAAGGTTGTAAAGGTTTAACTTTATAATATAAATATAAAAATACATTACAATAAAATGAAACAAAAATCTTGTTTCATTTTATTGTAATGTATTTTTATATTTTTTGTTGCGTTTTTCTTATTGTTTGTTTTTTTGTTGTATGTTTATTCTATTGTGTATGGTTTTCTTTTTCTTTTTTAATTTGAAATTTGGAATAAATATCTTAAAAAAAAACAAAAAACAAAGGGGAGTTAGGTTAAAAAACATGGGAATATAAGTACATTAAAATCCAAAGCCCCTCCAAGGCATGTTTCTAAGCTTTCAACACACATCCCTGTCCTTTCACATACGGGAATCTAAATAAATCAGTTATTTTTGTGTGTCTCTTATCTTTTATTGATGCCTTTATTATCGTGGATAAAAATAAGTATATTCCACTGTGACCCAAAAACTACCCCCATTCTCCCAAGAAAACGCAGGCAAGGCACCTCAGGCCCACAAGTCAGTTGGGTCAGCTGAGATTAAGGCCACATGAGCAGCATCCATTGAAAGCACTCGGAGGTCCCTTTCACAGTCATGGTGTCCCCCTAATCATCTTGGGAAGGATGTGAAGGGTGCTGAGGGGTGTCCTAGTCCCTTCTCCAGACTTGCCTGGGAAGAGGCATTGATTGTTAAACTACTCTGGAAGTGTAGCTCGCTGAGAGGAATTGACACTACTTGTAAAAAGGTAAAGGACCCCTGACAGTTAAGTCCAGTTGCGAACGACTCTGGCTTTACTGGCTGAGGGAGCTGAGGTTTGTACACAAACAGTTTTTCCGGGTCATGTGGCCAGCATGACTAAGCCACTTCTGGCAAAACCAGAGCAGCGCATGGAAACGCCGTTTACCTTCCCGCTGGAAGTTTATCTACTTGCACACTGACGTGCTTTCGAACTGCTAGGTGGGCAGGAGCAGGGACCAAGCAACGGGAGCTCACCCCGTCGTGGGGATTCGAACCACTGACCTTCCGATCGGCAAGCCCAAGGCTCACTGGCTTACACCACAGCGCTACCCACATACATCTCCCAAAATATTGCTGAGGAATTCACTTCCCTGGGGCTCCAGGGAAGTGGTGTCTTCTGCCTCGGCGCAGCCGTAGTCTGGTCCTGGGGGTCCATGTTTCCCTCCCTGCGTGGCCCTTGGTGCCTCTCCCTTCTTGCTAAAAAGCCCCTGACCGCAAGGTTGCTAAAGATGCCTTATGATTGAAGCATGGCAAGATCTTTTCTTGCTAGAGCCCCTGGCCATAAGGTTGCTAAAGATACCCAATTTCTTCAGAAACATGCAACAACTTGTTTTTCTTACTAAAAAGTCCCTAACCTCGTGATTTCTAAAGAAACATCACCCTATAGAATGTTTAGCCACAGCTATTTTGAAATACCAATAGCAACCTATGCCCTAACTGCTTTAGTCCTTTAGCCTTGTGACCTTCATAATTAATTTAAAAAATCATGTTTTATTTTACGAAAGCAATCTGAAAAGACAACCTATATAATTTCTCACAGCCAGGGAGGAATTTTTCCTGCAGATAAATGGGCTTTTGTTTGTCTCAGAGCAAATGTCACAACTTTGGCAGATGACTGACTGCAGAGGCAGAACAGTGACTGGTAGTGGATGAAAGCCCTCTCCTAATTTCATGTGCCTGCATCATGTCACCTCTTACTTGCCTTTTCTCTAGGGTAAGAAATCCCAAATGCTGCAATCTTTCCTTGGGCGAGTTGCTCCACCCCCTTGTTCATTTTGCTTGCAATGTTTTCTTCCTGGCAAGCATTTTCTTGGCCAGTTTGCTGGCCTTTTTTGACAGTATCCTTCTTGAGGTGAGGCTGTAAAGACAAATATCTAGAGCCATATCTCTTGCAGAACTCAACACTATCCTGGTCTAATAACGTTTAACCTGATTTTCCTGTTCCCGGTTCTGGTTCTGAACTGCACTTATCAATGAATGTCTCCTCTCCCAGCTGTTATTGGAAACATGTATGTCAGCAGAAGCAAATATTTTCTTCGGCCAGTTAAGACCTCCATCCCTCTCATTTTGCCCCTCCTCCTTCCCATTTGTATAAAAGGGGGGTATGGGATTCTCCACAGACTTACATGAGGGACACCAGAGCTCTTTCCTCCACGCCCCAGTAAGAGTTTGCCAGCAAATCATTGAAAAACCAAGATGGTAAGTGGAATGCTTTGGGGATGGTTGGCACACAACTTTTCTTTAATCTAGATTAGGTTTAAATGGTGGAAAGGGAGATTTGTGTGTGGAGAGGGGGTGTGCAAAGGCATTCAGAATTATGAGGATTGTGTACCTCACTTGCTGAGGCTTTCTCAGACTCCAGGCTTATCTGAAGGCTTATCCACCCTTACTTTTCCTCTGCTCTTTCCAGGCACAGTCTGTGCTTTGCAGCAGGGGTAGGCAACCTAAGGCCCAGGGGCAGGATGCAGCCCAATCGCCTTCTCAATCCGGCCCACGTACAGTCCAGGAGTTTTTACATGAGTAGAATGTTTCCTTATATTTAAAATGCATCTCTGGGTTATTTGTAGGGCATAGTAATTTGTTCATATTTCCCCCCAAAATATAGTCCAGCCCACCACATGCTCTGAGGGACGGTGGGCTGACCCACGGCTGAAAAAGGTTGCTGACCCTGCTCTATAGCTTTAGAGCTCACATTTGGGGATCAAATCCAAAGCCGGGATTGCTTTTGTAATTCTGGAACGGTCCCTCTTAAAAATCCCTCTTAAGTATAAAATGACCCAACTCAGCTACTCAAGTGTAGAAGCTTAATATAGAGGGATTTTTTCAAAGGCCTAGGGTTGAATCCAGTGCGAATCATACCCAGAGTAGATCCATTGAAATTGATGGACAAGACTAACTTACGCACATTAATTTCAGTGGGTCCGCTCTGAGTACAATTTAGGCACATAGAATCCATTTTTTAACAGAACGAGAGGTTCTAGATATAAATATATGATAGCACCATCTTGAATGATTTGTGCATGTGTGTGTCTGTTTTGCAGAAAATTCTCTTGAGCTTGACTGCCTTGTCTTTGACACTTGCCTTGTGTCAGGGATTCTGCACGTTCAGCGAGCACAAAGCAGAGATTAAAGATGGTAAGTAAACAGCAACGTAATGTTAATATGTAACCTATTCATGGCCAAATAATTATTTAATGTTTGAAAAATGTGTTCCTGACTAGAGATGAGGGGGAAATGCACCCCATTCATATTTTAGCATAAACCTACCAAATCTGCTCTTGCAGAACCAGAACACAGACCAAAATGCAGCTACCTTCAAAATCTACACTTCTCTGGATGTTGTGATGCTGCTCAGAGTCTAAAATGACCTGACGCTGCTCCCGTCTCATCTTCTCATTGATGAGTCCCTGCTTAAGCTCTTACTTTTATTATGTATTTTGTGTTCTTTATATTGTATTTTTAGGTTGTGAACTGCCCTGAGGATGGTATATAAATAGTAATAATATTAACTGATAGAAATTGAAACGGCCAGATTCCCCATCCACAGGGCACCCCATTCACTCCCACCCTGTTTTAAGCTTGGAACCACCATCTGCAGACGCAAGCAGGAGACTGCATGGCCGCAGTATAAGTCACTGTGCTTTGTGCTGAGCAGCAGCTTCTTACTGCATGAGCTGTTTGGGGGCTAATGTTAAATTTCTCTCCCTAGGTAAACCGGTGCCGCCCACTGAGTGTACCGATCCATATGATGGGAGCAAGCATCCATTCGGCTCTAAGTGGAATACAGCGCAGTGCATGGAATGCACATGTAGTGAAAGTGGAATGCAGTGCTGTTCCAGGTAGGCCAAATACCCAGAATGGCACTGGGTCTATAAATCTCTTTCAAATTATTTTGCCCCGTTCCCTTTGGAAGATCTTCTGCTCAATAAACATTCAGGGACGGAATTAGCTGAAGACAGGTGTCCCAATAAATCTATACCTTTGAAGATAGGTTGCATAAAATTGTGGCCTACATTTCCTTGAACCAAACAGTGAATTGATTGATTAATTCAGATATTTATAGACTTTATAGAAAGCAGACTCATGAAATTTGATCTGGAACAAGCACTGAGCATGTCCAGAGTGCCTTTCCAATCATCCGACGACCAGGCATTCGCTGTGTGGAAGCTTGGACTTTGGAATCTCCCTGAGTCCCAGATCCTCTCATCCAGAGACCATCTAGGAGCTGGTGCTGGGGAGAGGGACCCCGATGCACCCAATGGAACAGGACCCCTCCTCTTTCCTGCACCTTCCTGTCTCCTGCTGTCTCCCTCCTGGCTGGCCTCTTGGTTTCGCACCAACATTTTGCTACACCTTTTTTGTGCATGGGTGCTGCCCTCAACTACCGCAAACATAGTGGAGGGGGGGAGGAGGTCATCGTACAGCAACATGCAATGGCATATTGTGCAAGGCATGTCCTTTGTGCATTCAGCTTGGGTTCCCCAGGTGAATTTGGCCTCAGGCCAAATGTTTTCCAAGGGCTTGGTTTTCCCTGGATGGAGCAAACATCTTGCAAAACTGTTTTTCCGCCAGGTAGTTCCAATCATTCTTGGCATGTCCTAAGCGAGCAGGAGAAAGGAGCGCTCCTCTACAAGATCTCCATAAGCTCAGGGAAGCCTAAGTTTACACATTGTTCTTCTTCTTTTTAGGTACGGTGGTACTGTTGATATTCCGGGATGTAAAGCAGTGGTAAATCCAAACACATGTAAATATGAGTTCTATAAACTGGATGATCCCTCCAAACCCTGTCCCTGAGCTTTACAAATCCCACCCAAATTCCCTTCATGTAAGAGAATCTGAATAAATCAGTCATATATGCATTTTGGTGTGTATCTGTTGTCTTTGCTTGATATCACTCCTTGCAGAATTTGGTACATATCATAATGAAAGTGATGGACATGCCTATCTCAGCTATCAGCAGCTATTTAGATACTAATGGATTATTAACTATTGCTTAATTTGAAATAAGTTGTTTATTTTAAAGTTATTGTGACTTTTTTTGTATTGGATCAGATACAAGTCACTCACCAATCACAATTCTGACTTGGCTGAACCCCCTGACAGACAGGAGTGGCCAGGCTGGCTCATTTAACAGAGGTTGCTTAGAACATGCACATTGTGCTTCATAACTTTCTCCCTAGAAGGGTTAGAGACTCATCTTTTAAAATTTATTTTTATTATATTTGTATACTGCCCTCCACCCAAAGATCTCACGGCGGTTGACAGCATAAAAATACAAAATAAAATGCAAAATACCTACTAAAAACAGGAGGAGAAAAAGAAAAGGAAAAAGGAAACTACCTCTCCCACCCACTGGACCTTTTGGGAAGGAGGCACATGAAGAAGGGCCTCAGAAGATGATTGTAGGGTCCGGGGAGTGTCTTGCTTTGGGGGGTCAAATCCCTCCCACAGTGGCAGCCAAGAGGCAGAGAAAGGATGAAAGTTCTTAAAAGAACTGGCAGATGTGATCTCAGAACCACTGGCAGTCATCTTTGAGAATTCCTGGAGAACAGGCGAAGTCCCAGCAGACTGGAGGAGGGCAAATGTTGTCCCTATTTTCAAAAAGGGGAAAAGAGAGGACCCAAATAATTACCGCCCAGTCAGTCTGACATCAATACCAGGGAAGATTCTGGAGCAGATCATTAAGCAAACAGTCTATGAGCACCTAGAAAGGAATGCTGTGATCACCAATAGTCAGCATGGATTTCTGAAAAATAAGCCGTGTCAGACTAACCTGATCTCGTTTTTTGTTTTTTTGTTTTTTTAAAATGATTTTTATTAAGATTTCAGTAAAAGATTAAACAGAAAAACATAAAAAAGAAATACACAAATACACAATACATAATCCACAGAAGAAGAAAAAAAAACACAGAGAACAAAAAACGAAAAAAGAAACAGAACAATTAAAAACAATATCACCTTTTCATTTCCGTTTTTAAATTTACTTATTTTCTGGACCTCCTCATACCTCCCTCTTTTGTATTCCAGTCCAAATTGTTTGTCCAGCAATTTCTTTTCCACTTTTTAATCCCAATCTTTAATCTTAATGTAATATAGCATTAAAATTTTACCTCTTAAATACCAAATTTCCATTTCCTTAAACTTCTTTAATCCTAATCTTTAATCTTAGTCTATCTATAACTTTAAATCCTGTACAGCTGGAAACCACTTATTTTCAATCCAACATCACTCTAGCATTCTTTAATTTTGCAGTGTTTCTGTAGATAATCTTTGAATTTCTTCCAATCTTCCTCCACCGACTCTTCTCCCTGGTCACGGATTCTGCCAGTCATTTCCGCCAGTTCCATATAGTCCATCAGTTTCATCTGCCATTCCTCCAGCGTGGGAAGTTCTTGTGTCTTCCAATACTTTGCGATGAGTATTCTTGCTGCTGTTGTTGCATACATAAAGAAAGTTCTATCCTTTTTTATCACCATTTGGCCGACCATGCCCAGGAGAAAGGCCTCTGGTTTCTTAGGGAAGGTATATTTGAATACCTTTTTTAATTCATTATATATCATTTCCCAGAAAGCCTTAATCTTTGGACACGTCCACCAAAGGTGAAAAAATGTACCTTCAGTTTCTTTACATTTCCAACATTTATTATCGGGCAAATGATAGATTTTTGCAAGCTTGACTGGGGTTATGTACCACCTGTATATCATTTTCATAATATTCTCTCTTAAGGCATTACATGCCATAAATTTCATACCTGTGGTCCACAACTGTTCCCAGTCAGCAAACATAATGTTATGTCCAACGTCTTGTGCCCATTTAATCATAGCCGATATTACCGTTTCATCCTGAGTGTTCCATTTCAGCAGCAAGTTGTACATTCTTGACAAATTCTTAGTTTTGGGTTCTAACAGTTCAGTTTCTAATTTTGATTTTTCCACCTGGAAGCCAATTTTCTTGTCCAATTTAAATGCCTCCATTATCTGAAAATAATGAAGCCAGTCTCGCACTTTGTTTTTTAGTTTTTCAAAACTCTGCAATTTCAGTCTATCTCCATCTTGTTCCAAAATTTCCCAATAATTCGGCCATTTGACCTCCATATTGAGCTTTTTCAAGGCTTTCGCTTCCATTGGTGACAGCCACCTTGGGGCTGATCTCGTTTTTTGGCAGAATTACAAGCCTGGTAGATGAAGGGAACGCAGTGGATGTAGCCTACCTTGATTTCAGCAAGGCATTTGACAAGGTGCCCCATGATATTCTTGTAAAGAAGCTGGTAAAATGCGGTCTTGACTATGCTACCACTCAGTGGATTTGTAACTGGCTGACTGACCCGAACCCAAAGGGTGCTCATCAATGGTTCCTCTTCATCCTGGAGAAGAGTGACTAGTGGGGTGCCACAGGGTTCTGTCTTGGGCCCGGTCTTATTCAACATCTTTATCAACGACTTGGATGATGGACTCAAGGGCATCCTGATCAAATTTGCAGATGACACCAAACTGGGAGGGGTGGCTAACACCCCAGAGGACAGGATCACACTTCAAAACAACCTTGACAGATTAGAGAACTGGGCCAAAACAAACAAGATGAATTTTAAAAGGGAGAAATGTAAAGTATTGCACTTGGACAAAAAAAATGAGAGGCACAAATACAAGATGGGGGACACCTGGCTTGAGAGCAGTACATGTGAAAAGGATCTAGGAGTCTTGGTTGACCACAAACTTGACATGAGCCAACAGTGTGACGCGGCAGCTAAAAAGCCAATGCAATTCTGGGCTGCATCAATAGGAGTATAGCATCTAGATCAAGGGAAGTAATAGTGCCACTGTATTCTGCTCTGGTCAGACCTCACCTGGAGTACTGTGTCCAGTTGTGGGCACCACAGTTCAAGAAAGGACACTGACAAACTGGACCGTGTCCAGAGGAGGGCAACCAAAATGGTCAAAGGCCTGGAAACGATGCCTTATGAGGAACGGCTAAGGGAGCTGGGCATGTTTAGCCTGGAGAAGAGGAGGTTAAGGGGTGATATGATAGCCATGTTCAAATATATAAAAGGATGTCACATAGAGGAGGGAGAAAGGTTGTTTTCTGCTGCTCCAGAGAAGCGGACACGGAGCAATGGATCCAAACTACAAGAAAGAAGATTCCACCTAAACATTAGGAAGAACTTCCTGACAGTAAGAGCTGTTCGACAGTGGAATTTGCTGCCCAAGGAGTGTGGTGGAGTCTCCTTCTTTGGAGGTCTTTAAGCAGAGGCTTGACAACCATATTTCAGGAGTGCTCTGATGGTGTTTTCTGCTTGGCAGGGGGTTGGACTCGATGGCCCTTGTGGTCTCTTCCAACTCTATGATTCTATGATTATTACCAAGCAATTTATTCAGTAATTCACAAAGCGTGACAAAGGAATGCAGTCTTCCCTAAATAAAGGCATTGCTCCAAGTAAAGTCCCCTCCCCTCCAGGTCTCCCCTATTCTACGTCACTCCTGCATCGGCTGATTTGAGCTGCCTGCCTCTGAGCTCTCTGTTCTGCTACCCTCAATGCCCACCTGGCCACAGAAGGGGGCTGGCCAGGAATCCTTTCCAAGGACACGGAGTCTGTCAGCTGTCTCTCCCCTGGTGCTGCTGCTTCTTCTGCTCTTCCTCTCCCAATATTTCCCAGCTTCTGCCCTCTGCAGCCTCTCGGTTATGCCCTTCTGCAAACCACTGTTCTTCATTGGCTTCCCGATAGATATGCTATTTCCACTAATATATTCATTTTTAAGCACATTTTTACCCACTTCATGTATTTTGGTAAACAATGGTTAGTTGGTGAACTGCATCACAAAATTTGGATAACTGAATTTCCAGAGATGCCTCTGTTTTGGTTCTCATATTATTTTGAAAAGTGCAAATTTGATAAATTTGCCTTTCAGTATGAACTTAAGTGACCCCCCCCATCCCTAATCAAGACCGGTTTCTTCTAATGTGCAGCCAAGCACATTTCGCGCAGTGTGTGTGTTTGAAATGTTGTGTGGAATGAAACACATTTCTACACAGCTGGGCCTGGTGCACACCCAGCCCGAGATTCCCAAGCAAATTTGCCTCAGGCAAACCCAGGTACTGATTTCCAAACCTTCGTTTCCAGCAAAGCATTTCCAAGATAGATGAAGGATGTGGAAGAAAAACACCTTGGCGACTTTAGATCAAGCTTGGCCTGCATGTTCAGCTCCTTCTTAGATACGGTGATTCTGCAGGTGCTGATGGATGCAAAGGGGAGTTAGGTTAAAAAACATGGGAATAGAAGTACATTAAAATCCAAGGCCCCTCCAAGGCATGTTTCTAAGTTTTCAACACACATCCCTGTCCTTTCACATACGGGAATCTAAATAAATCAGTTATCTGTGTGTGTCTCTTATCTTTTATTGAGTATTTATTACCATGGGTAAAAAACAAGTACCGTATTTTTTGCTCTATAAGACTCACTTTTTCCCTCCTAAAAGTAAGAGGACATGTGTGTGCATCTTATGGAGCGAATGCAGGCTGCACACCTATCCCAGAAGCCAGAACAGCAGCGATCCCTCTTGCTGTTCTGGCTTCTGAGATTCAGAATATTTTTTTTCTTGTTTTCCTCCTACAAAAACTAGGTCCGTCTTATGGTCTGGTGCGTCGTATAGAGCGAAAAATACGGAATATTCCACTGTGACCAAACAACTACCCCCATTCTCCCAAGAAAACGCAGGCAAGGCACCTCAGGCCCACAAGTCACTTGGGTCAGCTGAGATTAAGGCCACATGAGCAGCATCCATTGAAAGCACTCGGAGGTCCCTTTCACAGTCATGGTGTTCGCCAAATCATCTTGGGAAGGATGTGAAGGGTGCTGAGGGGTGTCCTAGTCCCTTCTCCAGACTTGCCTGGGAAGAGGCATTGATTGTTAAACTACTCTGGAAGTGTAGCTCGCTGAGAGGAATTGACACTACTTGTAAAAAGGTAAAGGACCCCTGACAGTTAAGTCCAGTTGCGAACGACTCTGGCTTTACTGGCCGAGGGAGCTGACGTTTGTCCACAAACAGTTTTTCCGGGTCATGTGGCCAGCATAACTAAGCCACTTCTGGTGAAACAAGAGCAGCGCAGGGAAAGGCCGTTTACCTTTCCGCTGGAGCGATACCTATTTTTCTACTTGCACATTGACGTGCTTTCGAACTGCTAGGTGGGCAGGAGCAGGGACCAAGCAATGGGAGCTCACCCCGTCGTGGGGATTCGAACCACTGACCTTCCGATCGGCAAGCCCAAGGCTCACTGGCTTACACCACAGCGCTACCCACATACATCTCCCAAAATATTGCTGAGGAATTCACTTCCCTGGGGCTCCAGGGAAGTGGTGTCTTCTGCCTCAGCGCAGCCGTAGTCTGGTCCTGGGGGTCCATGTTTCCCTCCCTGCGTGGCCCTTGGTGCCTCTCCCTTCTTGCTAAAAAGCCCCTGACCGCAAGGTTGCTAAAGATGCCTTATGATTGAAGCATGGCAAGATCTTTTCTTGCTAGAAGCCCCTGGCCATAAGGTTGCTAAAGATACCCAATTTCTTCAGAAACATGCAACAACTTGTTTTTCTTACTAAAAAGTCCCTAACCTCGTGATTTCTAAAGAAACAACACCCTATAGAATGTTTAGCCACAGCTATTTTGAAATAGCAATAGCAACCTATGCCCTAACTGCTTTAGTCCTTTAGCCTTGTGACCTTCATAATTAATTTAAAAAATCATGTTTTATTTTGCGAAAGCAATCTGAAAAGACAACCTATATAATTTCTCACAGGCAGGGAGGAATTTTTCCTGCAGATAAATGGGCTTTTGTTTGTCTCAGAGCAAATGTCACAACTTTGGCAGATGACTGACTGCAGAGGCAGAACAGTGACTGGTAGTGGATGAAAGCCCTCTCCTAATTTCATGTGCCTGCATCATGTCACTTCTTACTTGCCTTTTCTCTAGGGTAAGAAATCCCAAATGCTGCAATCTTTCCTTGGGCGAGTTGCTCCACCCCCTTGTTCATTTTGCTTGCAATGTTTTCTTCCTGGCAAGCATTTTCTTGGCCAGTTTGCTGGCCTTTTTTGACAGTATCCTTCTTGAGGTGAGGCCCTGGAGACAAATATCTAGAGCCATATCTCTTGCAGAACTCAACACTATCCTGGTCTAATAACGTTTAACCTGATTTTCCTGTTCCCGGTTCTGATTCTGAACTGCACTTATCAATGAATATCTCCTCTCCCAGCTGTTATTGGAAACATGTATGTCAGCAGAAGCAAATATTTTCTTCGGCCAGTTAGGACCTCCATCCCTCTCATTTTGCCCCTCCTCCTTCCCATTTGTATAAAAGGGGGTATGGGATTCTCCACAGACTTACATGAGGGACACCAGAGCTCTTTCCTCCACGCCCCAGTAAGAGTTTGCCAGCAAATCATTGAAAAACCAAGATGGTAAGTGGAATGCTTTGGGGATGGTTGGCACACAACTTTTTCTTTAATCTAGATTAGGTTTAAATGGTGGAAAGGGAGATTTGTGTGTGGAGAGGGGGTGTGCAAAGGCATTCAGAATTATGAGGATTGTGTACCTCACTTGCTGAGGCTTTCTCAGACTCCAGGCTTATCTGAAGGCTTATCCACCCTTACTTTTCCTCTGCTCTTTCCAGGCACAGTCTGTGCTTTGCAGCAGGGGTAGGCAACCTAAGGCCCAGGGGCAGGATGCAGCCCAATCGCCTTCTCAATCCGGCCCACGTACAGTCCAGGAGTTTTTACATGAGTAGAATGTTTCCTTTTATTTAAAATGCATCTCTGGGTTATTTGTAGGGCATAGTAATTTGTTCATATTTCCCCCCAAAATATAGTCCAGCCCACCACATGCTCTGAGGGACGGTGGGCTGACCCACGGCTGAAAAAGGTTGCTGACCCTGCTCTATAGCTTTAGAGCTCACATTTGGGGATCAAATCCAAAGCCGGGATTGCTTTTGTAATTCTGGAACGGTCCCTCTTAAAAATCCCTCTTAAGTATAAAATGACCCAACTCAGCTACTCAAGTGTAGAAGCTTAATATAGAGGGATTTTTTCAAAGGCCTAGGGTTGAATCCAGTGCGAATCATACCCAGAGTAGATCCATTGAAATTGATGGACAAGACTAACTTACGCACATTAATTTCAGTGGGTCTGCTCTGAGTACAATTTAGTCACATAGAATCCATTTTTTTAACAGAACGAGAGGTTCTAGATATAAATATATGATAGCACCATCTTGAATGATTTGTGCATGTGTGTGTCTGTTTTGCAGAAAATTCTCTTGAGCCTGACTGCCTTGTCTTTCACACTTGCCTTGTGTCAGGGATCCTGCATGTTTAGCGAGCCCAAAGCAGAGATTAAAGATGGTAAGTTAATAACAGCAGCAGCAATGTCAACATGTAACAACATAATATCATGTTGCCAAACAGCCTATTTAATGTTTGCAAAATCAGTGTTCCTGACTAGAGATTGGGAAATGTATCCTGATTCAGATTTTTTAGCATACACCTACCAAATCTGCTCTTGCAGAACCAGAACACAGACCAAAATGCAGCTACCTTCAAAATCTACACTTCTCTGGATGTTGTGATGCTGCTCAGACTCTAAAATGACCTGACGCTGCTCCCGTCTCATCTTCTCATTGATGAGTCCCTGCTTAAGCTCTTACTTTAATTATGTATTTTGTGTTTTTTAGGTTGTGAACTGCCCTGAGGATGGTATATAAATAGTAATAATAATAACTGATAGAAATTCAAACGGACAGATTCCCCATCCACAGGGCACCCCATTCACTCCCACCCTGTTTTAAGCTTGGAACCACCATCTGCAGACGCAAGCAGGAGACTGCATGGCCGCAGTATAAGCAAGACAGACGTCCAGGGTCACTACCTTTCTTGTCAGCAACCAGGACATGCAAGAATAAAGGTGGCAAAGCTTCCCATTCCACTCCTCTCCATGTCAGGAATCGCTTTACCTATTACATTTTCACTTATCAGGCTGCGGTCAGAAGCACAGGAGGAGCTGGACAAGTGGACAAGTTGCAGCCACTGTGCTTCTCTTGCGCAGTCTCTGCATTGTGCTGAGCAGCAGCTTCTTACTGCATGAGCTGTTTGGGGGCTGATATTAAATTTCTCTCCCTAGGTAAACCGGTGCTGCCCACTGAGTGTACCGATCCCTATGATGGGAGCAAGCATCCATTCGGCTCCAAGTGGAATACAGCGCAGTGCATGGAATGCAGATGTAGTGAAAGGGGAATGCAGTGCTGTTCCAGGTAGGCCAAATACCCAGAATAGCACTGGATCTATTAATCTCTTTCAAATTATTTTGCCCCATTCTCTCTGGAACATCTTCTGCTCAATAAACATTCATGGACGGAATTAGCTGAAGATGGGTGTCCCAATTAATCTTTACATCTGAAGATAGGTTGCTTAAAATTGAGCATGTCCAGAGTGCCTTTCCAATCATCCGATGACCAGGCATTCGCTGTGTGGAAGCTTGGACTTTGGGATCTCCCTGAGTCCCAGATCCTCTCATCCGGAGACCACCTAAGAGCTGGTGCTGGGGAGAGGGACCCCGATGCGCCCAATGGAACAGGACCCCTCCTCTTTCCTGCACCTTCCTGTCTCCTTCTGTCTCCCTCCTGGCTGGCCTCTTGGTTTCGCACCAACATTTTGCTTCACCCATTTTTGTGCATGGATGCTGCCCTCAACCACCGCAAACATAGTGGGGGGTGGAGGGTCATCGTACAGCAACATGCAATGGCATATTGTGCAAGACATGTCCTTTGTGCATTCAGCTTGGGTTCCCCAGGTGAATTTGGCCTCAGGGCAAATGTTTTCCAAGGGCTTGGTTTTCCCTGGATGGAGCAAACATCTTGCAAAACTGTTTTTCTGCCAGGTAGTTCCAATCATTCTTGGCATGTCCTAAGCGAGCAGGAGAAAGGAGCGCTCCTCTACAAGATTTCCATAAGCTCAGGGAAACCTTAGTTTACACATTGTTCTTCTTCTTTTTAGGTACGGTGGTATTGTTGATGTTCCGGGATGTAAAGCAGTGGTAAATCCAAACACATGTAAATATGAGTTCTATAAACTGGACGATCCCTCCAAACCCTGTTTCTGAGCTTTACAAATCCCACCCAAATTCCTTCCATGTAAGAGAATCTGAATAAATCAGTCATATATGCATTTTGGTGTGTATCTGTTGTCTTTGCTTGATATCACTCCTTGCAGGATTTGGTACATATCATAATGATGATGATGATGATAATAAATTTTATTTATATCCCACCCTCCCCAGCCGGAGCCGGGCTCAGGGCGGCTAACAACAATAAAACAGTACAACACTCTAAAATCATTCATTATAAAATTAAGTCAAATCAAACCAATGGCAATCATTGGGCCAGAGCTCCGCGAAGATTGCCAAAGGAAGAAGTCAAGTCAGGTTGTGCCCTGGCCAAAGGCCTGGTGGGACAGCTCTGTCTTGCAGGCCCTGCGGAAAGATGTCAAGTCCCGCAGGGCCCTAGTCTCTTGTGACAGTGCATTCCACCAGCTTGTAGCCACAGCCGAAAAAGCCCTGGCTCTAGTTGAGGCCAGCCTAACCTCTCTGTGGCCTGGGACCTTCAAGATGTTTTTATTTGAAGACCGTAAGTTTCTCTGTGGGACATACCAGGAGAGGCGGTCCCATAGGTACGAGGGTCCTAGGCCGTATAGGGCTTTAAAGGTTAAAACCAGCACCTTAAACCTGATCCTGTACTCCACCGGGAGCCAGTGCAGCTGGTATAGCACCGGGTGAATGTGATCTCGCAGCGAGGACCCTGTAAGGAGTCTCACTGCGTCATTCTGCACCCGCTGGAGTTTATGGGTCAGTCTCAAGGGCAGCCCCACGTAGAGCGAGTTAAAATAATCCAGTCTGCCCTGCAGGGCAAGAAGCCAAGAATAAAATTTAAGATTTTAACTGATGCTAAAGAAAGAGGTGGATTTGCCCTGCCAGACCTTAAACTTTACTATGAATCAGCCGCATTTTGCTGGCTGAAAAATTGGCTGCTTCTTGAAAACACGGACATTTTTGACTTAGAAGGTTTTGACAATGTCTTTGGATGGCATGCATATATATGGTATGACAAGGTTAAAGCACATAAGGCCTTTAGGAACCATATTGTCAGGAAAGCATTGTTTAATGTCTGGGTGAGATATAAGGATTTGTTGGAAAGTAAAACACCAAGGTGGCTGTCACCAATGGAGGCTAAGGCTCTGAAAAAAACTAACATGGAGACAAATTGGCCAAAATATTGTGAAATTTTAGAACAAGATGGTGACAAACTAAAGCTGCAGAGTTTTGACAAATTAAAAACTAAGGTTCGAGACTGGCTTCATTACTATCAAATATGGGAGGCATATAACCTAGATAAAAAGATTGGTTTCCAGGAGGAAAAATCAAAATTGGAAACAGAACTGTTAGATCCTAAAACTAAGAATTTATCAAGAATGTATAACTTGCTGTTGAAATGGAATACACAGGATGAAACGGTTAAATCTGTTATGATCAAATGGGCACAAGATTTTGGACATAACATTATGTTTGCTGACTGGGAACAGTTATGGACCACAGGTATGAAATTTACGGCTTGTAATGCCTTAAGAGAAAATATAATGAAAATGATTTACAGGTGGTACTTAACCCCAGTCAAGCTAGCAAAAATTTATCATTTGCCAGATAGTAAATGTTGGAAATGTAAAGAGACGGAGGGTACATTTTTTCACCTTTGGTGGACATGCCCAAGGATTAAGGCTTTCTGGAAAATGATATATAATGAACTGAAAAAGGTATTTAAATATACCTTTCTGAAGAAACCAGAGGCCTTTCTTCTAGGCATGGTCGGCCAATTGGTGCGAAGGGAGGATAGAACTTTCTTTATGTATGCTACAACAGCAGCAAGAATACTCATCGGGAAGTACTGGAAGACACAAGAATTGCCCACCCGAGAAGAATGGCAGATGAAAGTGATGGACTACATGGAACTGGCTGAGATGACCGGCAGAATTCGAGACCAGGGAGAAGGGTCGATGGAAGAAGATTGGAAAAAATTCAAAATATATCTTCAAAAGTATTGCAATATAAAAGAATGTTAGAAGGAGGTTGGAAAAAGAATATTAGGTCGTTTTGGTAGATATGATATAATGGAATAAGCAAAAATGAGTTGATGAAACTGATGAAATAGAGGAGGTTTAATTACATTATTTTAATTTTAAAATACGTAAATGAAAATAAGGTTAGAGGGATTTGCTGGAAACACAATTTGAACTAGAATACAAAATTGGGAGGTGAGAGGAGGTCATGGAAATAAGTAAAGGGAAAAGGTTATGTAAAGGTTTAATCTGCTTTTGTTTTATTTCAACTTAATGTATTTTTATATTTTTTGTTAAGTCTTCTTTTTTATTCTGTCTTATTGTTCTTTTTACTCGTTTATCTTCTGCTTTGTTATGGCTAAAGTTTTCTTTGTATTTTGTATGGTTTTTCTTTTTCTTTTTTGTAACTTTAAATTTGGAATAAATATCATTTTTTAAAAAATAATAATAATCCAGTCTGGAGGTGAACGTCGCGTGGATCACACTGGCTAGGTCAGGGCGAGAGAGGTAAGGAGCCAGCTGCTTAGCTTGGCGGAGATGAAAAAATGCCGCCTTTGTTATAGCTGCAATCTGCACCTCCATGGAAAGGGAGGTGTCGAAGATTACACCCAAACTCTTAACGGACGGTGCTGGCACTAATTGCGCCCCCGCAAGAGATGGGAGTTGCCCCCCCAATCCCATATCCTCCCTTCCCAGCCAGAGGACCTCTGTCTTCGAAGGATTTAGCTTCAACCGGCTCCCACGTAACCATCCAGCCACAGCTTCCAAACATCTGATCAGTGTGTCTGGGGCCGAGTCAGGATGGCCATCCATCAACAGAAAGAGTTGGGTGTCATCAGCATACTGATGGCAGCCCAGCCCAAAACTCCGGACAAGCTGGGCAAGGGGGCGCATAAAGATGTTAAAAAGCATCGGGGAGAGTATCACACCCTGAGGCACTCCACACACCAAGGAGTGGCGCGATGACAATTTTCCCCCAAGCGCCACCCTCTGTCCCCGACCAGAGAGAAACGAGCGCAGCCATTGAAGGACTGTGCCCTGGATCCCCACGTCGGCAAGGCGGTGGTCCAGGAGTTTGTGATCGACCATGTCGAAGGCTGCTGACAGGTCTAGAAGAATCAGCAGCCCCGACCCGCCTCGATCCAGCTGCCTGCGGAGATCATCTGTTAGGGCGACCAGAGCCATCTCGGTCCCATGACCAGCGCGGAAGCCAGACTGGAATGGATCCAGAGCCGATGTTTCATCCAGAAACCCACCAAGCTGTTCAGCAACCACTCTCTCAATCACCTTACCCAGGAACGGAAGATTCGAAACCGGGCGGTAATTGGATAGATCTAAGGGATCTAATGATGTTTTCTTTAAGAGCGGGCGCACCACTGCCTCCTTCAGTTCCCCTGGGAATGTCCCGGTGCCAAGGGACAAATTGATGCTATCCCCTAGGGGGGCCCGCACCTCGTCTGGACACGCTCTAATCAGCCAAGACGGGCACGGGTCAAGAGGACAGGTGGTGGGCTTTCCAGCTCGGAGGAGTCTGTCCACATCGACTGGGGATATCTGGTTAAAGTGGTCCAATACTGGACAGTCGAGGGGCCTCCAGTTCCTTTATTGTATCCAAATTGGCAGGGAGGTCATGGCGGAGCAACAAGACCTTCTCCGCAAAAAAGCTTGCAAATGCCTCACAGCTGTGTGTCAAATTGTTATTTAAATTTGGCTGTCCTTCAAGGGACGTTAAAGACCTAATTATACTAAATAATTGCGCCGGGCGAGAGCTAGCGGATGCAATGGAGGCCGAGAAGTAAGACTTCTTAGCGGCCTTCACTGCCATCTCGTAGGTTTTCATAAAAACCCTATAAGATGTTCTTGAGGCTCCGTCACGGGCACCCCGCCATCCTCGCTCTAGCCGTCTGAGGTCCCACTTCATTTTCCGAAGCTCCTCGGTAAACCAGGGAGCCCGGTTTCTGCGGAGTCGCAGAGGGCGCTTAGGTGCTATCTCATCGATGGCTGCCAGGAGCTGGATATTCCAGCCCTCAACAAGCTCAGTCAATGAGTCGCCAGGGGGAGCAAGGTCCCGCAAGGCTTGACGGAATCTATCAGGGTCCATCAGCCTCTGCGGGCGAGCCCAAATCGGCTCGCCACCTAAGCAGGGTGGGGGTGGAAAATCAATCCTGGCTTTCAGAGCGTAGTGATCAGACCATGACACCTTCATTGAAGGAGACATGATCACATCTATACCTACGCCAAAGATCAAATCCAGCGTGTGGCCTGTTTGATGTGTGGGGCCCAAAACAAATTGGGAGAGCCCTAGTGTCACCATGGAAGACACCAGGTCCAGAGCCTGTGAGGAGGGAGTGGCATCAGCATGGATGTTGAAGTCCCCCAATACCAATAGGTTAGGGAACTCCAAGGCCCAGCCGGCCACCGCCTCCAGTAGGCCTGACAGGGTGGCTGCTGGTGCGCTAGGTGGCTGGTACACCAGCCAGACAGCCAAGCTCACCTCAGAGCCCCACACTAGGCCAACACATTCAATGCCGGGGATCGATGGTGATAGTAGAGCCCTGAAAGAACAATCTTCCCGGATTAATAATGCCACCCCTCCCCCCCGGCCCACCATCCACGACTGGTGGAGGATGGAGAAACCCGGGGGCGCCATCTCTTATAAGGTAACAGTTTCCCCTTCGCGCACCCAGGTCTCCGTCATACAAGCCAGGTCGACCCCCTGCGAGGTAAAGAAATCTTGCAGGGTGGCGGTTTTGTTGCCTATAGACCTGGCATTGCACACTACCAGTGACGGAGGTGAGTAATCCTTGCTCACCCTACCCTCGTCCCTCAGGATGGGGCACAGATTGGAAGGGGTACGAGCATATCCATAGCTCGATGCCCTTCGCCTATGACATCTGCCCCCACCGGCATACCTCCCTCGCCCCTCCACGGTAGCAATCCCAAGCCTCATATTAGCCTCCATTGATGGCAATTGATGTTATTCTTTCCCAGCCTAGTTATTCTGGTTATAGTATCAGCAACTCGATAACTCTAATTAGTCGAGTAGAACAAACCAGCTAAACATCAGCTACCTCTCTGATTGTATGA